TACAACCCCCCTTGGATATGGTGCCTGTAAGCCATCTCTCAGGTGGGGAGACTCAGGCTAGAAATGGGTCTATCTGTGTGAGGAGTGATCTGGGATGCTGTGGGCCCAGGGCTGTGGCTGCTGGGGGCCCTGAGTTCATGCTGCATGCTCCCGGGGCATGTGCCCAGCAGCCTGCATGGGGACCACATCGGGAGGTGGAGCCCGCAGATGGCCCCAAGTGCAGAAAGCCCAGGGGCTTGGCCCGGGCCCAGGGAAGTGGAGCAGAAGAGATTGGATTGGAAGGTGCTGGGGAGGGCCCATATGTCACGGTCTTCCTCCCACCCCAGGATGTCATCCAGTCTCACCATGTCCTGCCCCCGCCTCACCCTGTGCCAGCCAGAACTGATGGTCCACCTGGGAGTATGTGGGCATGGGCAGAGGTACACTGGCTGGGAGAGGCCGTGTCTTTTGGCCCCTCACACCGTGCCATCTCTGACCTAGGCAGGCACTGGGGTACCAGGCCTTTGCCATGAGGACTGCCTTCCCCTGAGCGGGGAGTTCTCACTCAGCTCATGCCTCCGTCCCTCTGCCTGCAGCCTGGCCATCGTCCTTGGAAGTTGGGGGGACCTCCTGTGCCCAGAGCCCGCCTTAGACGCTGTTTGGGGATGAGGTGGTGAGCTGCTCAGAACTCACCCAGTGGCCAGCTAGGGGCCCCCAGCCTTGACCTCCCTTCTGTGAGGCAGATCCAGGTTCACTGGGGGTGGGGGATTTGTTGGGGTTAGCGCTGGGCAGAGTCCCTCCCTTAGGGGTAGTGGCTGTTTGTGTTTGGGGTGGGGCCGTGGGTGAGGTGGGGCTGGGTCTCTTAATTACAGGATGGGGAGGGGGGTCAGATCCTATAATTGGCTGGTGGGGGTGCTTGGGCTCTGGGGCCTTGGGAGGGGCAGCTGCCCTAGCTTCCCTCTTTCCTGGCACTGCCAGGTTTCACATCCCCTGACACAGGCCCCTGCTTCTTCCCATACCCCCAGATTGTAAGAACCCCCACCTCTCTGCTGACCGGGGAAGGACCCTGCTCTGTTCTGGGCTCCCCCAGTTACAGGCTCGGCCTCAAACCAGGTCCTAGCACAGCGACACCCCCCTGGCCTGGAAGCCTTACCGAAGGCCGAGCATGTGAAGGGGTTGGCTGAGCCCCTGCCTTCTGGTCCTGAGCATTGGCACCGCCCTGAGCACTGGCACCCAGTGGATCCACCCTGCTCAGTGCTATTCATGAACTGGTGACAGTGACTGGCCCCAGGCCCCGCTGCAGCCTGGGATGGTGGAGCAGGCTGCCCCTGGTGGTACTGCAGGTCTGCCCCACCCCCTGGGGATGTCTGTGTCTCTGGGAGGAGCCTGGGGCTGCCTTGGGTGTGGAGCTGGGTGGGGGTTCTGTTTCTGCAGCCTGGCTCCTGGAGTGGGTGGCCCCTGAGGCTTCGTGGAGGCCACACCTGAGCTGCCTCCTGTCCCAGGCTAGGTGAGGGAGGAGATGGCCCTGGGCTGGGATCAGGGCGCCTGGGGGCAGGGCCAGCTCTCTTCCTCAGCCCCTGAGGTCTCCTGGCTTCTGAAAGCCAGCAGTTCCTCATTCCTTTGCCAGCTGTGTCCTGGTCCAGGCCTGGGGTAGGAGAGGGAGGTGCTGTCTCAGTTCTGCCCCCAGCTCTGCCTCAGGTGCACGGGCTGGGCTCCCGGGGGTAGGGCCTCTGTCCCTCTGGCACAGCTGATCAGCAGCTTCCATGGGGGCTCCTGGGTGGAGCCACAGTGTCCAGCACCGATCTCTGGGCCTGATACCGCCCCCAGCTGGGCCTGCAGCAAGAGCAAGAAAGAGGAAAAGGGCTTGGTGTCCACCTCAGAGGAGGCCTCCTTTGTCCACACGACCCCCTGAGGGGCCTGTGGCAAGGGCGTCTGCTCCTGTAGCTGGGACTCTCTTCCCAGGTGGCCTCCTGCTCTGGTCTGGGGCCCCTGCTCAGCATGTCCCCTGCTCAGTGACAGATTGGGCCACCTGTCAGATTGGCAGCTGGGGACACTGTCCACTCTTTCCATGCAGTTTTGAGGGCTTCTCAGAGGAGGAGCATTCCCCCCGTCCTGCTTGTCCAAAGAGGGAGCCCCCTCTTTGTATGTGGCCTTGTAGGTGGCTGTGGTAGGAGGGTGCTCTGTGATTGTCACTGCACCTGCCTGGGGCCCATGCTTTGTCCTCAGCTGGGCTCTGGCTCTGAACCTAGGTGAGTTCTGGGGCTCTGAGGACAGCCCAGACACGGAGCACCGGGGGTCTGTCCTGGGGGGGGGGCAAGGGAGGCCTGGGCATATGTGACTTGGAGGCCACAGCTTGGTGGGATGACGGGGGCTTGGGGGTGACCCAAGTCTTTCAGGACCCAGCCACGAAGATGAGGGTTTCAGAACCAGCAGGAGGTGAGGACTCCGTGTATCCCAGCTCTGCCAGCTGTTTCCAGAGCTGGGGCCTGCTTTGGAGGAGGTGGAGGGCACAGGACACTGCTGAGCCCAGGCCCCGGGCCCAGCCCTGCTCCAGCCTACCGGCTGGACACCAGGGCCTCCCTCCCACCAGCAAGGGGGAGAAGCTATTTTAAGTGGAGCCAGCAGTTGACAGGGGCAAGGGGCAGGTGGTGGGAGGGAGGGACTCCAGCATGGCCCCCACCACTCCCTCAGCCTCAGAGACTGGCCAGGGGAGCTGAGGGGCTTGGCCTCCCCACTCCCATCTTGGCACTGTGCCTGATTTGGTGACCACCCTGAGGGACCTCTGGACAGAGAAAAGGATGTTAGGGAGAAGGGTGGGAAGGCAGGGCACCCCAGACAGGCCGCCCAGGCCCTGCAAAGCTCACTGGAGAGTCTCCCAGTTCCACATCTAGACAGGGTCCCAGTGACTCTTGACCAGGCCCTGGGGGATTTGAAGTCCTCAGCTCCATCATGAACAGAGCAAGCCCCCTTGTGGAGCAGGGGGCTCGTCCCCCAGGTCTCCAGGGAGACCCTGTTACCTTGCAGGGAGACCCCACCCACCTCTCCACAAAGCTCCAGCCACGAGTATCTCCTTCCGCTCACTGTCCTGCCCCCACTCTGAGCTGGGCATTTCCTCATTGGGAAATCCCGGTCCCTCTGCCCTCCCAAAGCCCTGAGTGTTTGCCCCTGTGGGGCCCAGCCCACATTCTGGGCTGCCTTACCTTCTGCCTGGACCCAGATGCTACCCAGCACCCAGATGCTGCCCAGCACCCTGTGCCTTGCCAGCCCCTAACTCATCCAGGGCAGATGCAGCCCCTCTCCTCTGCTGAGACTGCCCTTCCCACCCCCCCACCCCATGCCACACATGGCCCCTCCCTTAGGGCTGGCTCCAGGCATGCCCGGTTATGAAAGCCTCATTGCCAGGATCCCAGCTACCCACAGCTCCTCTCAGCCCAGGTGTCCCCGCTGAGGCACCTATCCCAGGCTCTTTGTCCTGGGGATGAGTTATGGGTGTTGGGTGAGACCCCTGTTGGCAGGGCTCTTCCAGCAGCACCCAGCCGTGTGTGTCTGCACTTGCGTGGTCCATGTGTGCAAGTGGTGTCTGGCACACAGGCTTGGCGAGGTGCCCCAAGCTAATTGTGGGGTTCATCGGTGATGGGAGAGGCAGGGCTGGGGTGAGTGCTGAGGCGCTGACAGGCTGACGGGGAGATTACAGGCCTTGCTTGCTGCTCACTGGCTGGGGCCTCACCCGTCTGCCCCTCTTGCCCACCCGAGGGGGGGGTGAGAAGCCCCTGCTGTGGGCGGGTCTGGTCCTAGGCCAGCTGCATCCAGGCAGGACCTGGTCTTTGAGGAGCTGGCTGCTGCAGGGTTGATCTGGAAAAGGGGAGATGCATGGGGCCACTCAGAGGAGAGCCTGCAGGTGGGGATGGGTACTAGTGGGCGGGCATGGGCACCAGTGGGCTGGGAGGTCTCTGTGCAAGAGAGGCTCTGGGTCACCGAGCCCCAGAATCCCACGGGAGTCCTTCTGTGGCTGGGCCATCAGACCACACATCCTGACCTGGTGGTTCCTGCTGCAGTGGCCACTGGCCTCATGTGTGTGCCCTGAGTGCCTGGCAGTGCCCGCCCCTCCCTCAGGAGGTCTTCAGGGAGCACAGGGACGTCGGTGGGTTCATTGCACTGCCCAGCTTTCTGACCCAAAGGACTGCTGTATGGGGAAAGTGGGGCTGCAACTGTGTCCAAGCTGGACAGGATGGGGGCTGGGACCCCAAAACGGGTGGTTGAGGAGAGAGATGGTTCTAGGCCTGGTGGGTGTGGGGACAGGGTGCCATAGCCAGCCGGGTCCTACCTCTTGTCTGAGGGCTGGGGAGGACCATTCTCCAGATGCCCCAGTGGGCCGTGGTCAGAGGGGAGGCCGAGGAGGTCCCCAAAACTGTGTGTGGCTTGGGAGGGCAGCCCTGGGCCCCAGGCTAAGGACCTTCGATACACAAGGGATGATACACAGGGGCTTCGCTTGACGCACAGGCAGGGATGGGGCTGGGGCAGGCCCCTTGGGCATGACCAGGTGAGCTCAGGCAGTGCCTGAGGGCCAGGGCTAGAAACAAAGGCCCTCGGTACCTGGTGGCCTGGGCGCCTCAGGAGGTGGACCCGGGGGCTGTGGCCATCTCGTCTGAAGCAGGTGACAGGGAGACTGGAGGAGCTGGGGCTTCTTGGGGTACACCTCAGGATCCTCGGCTGGTGACCCCATTGCTGCCACCAGCCAGGGTTACTTACTGCTGGGACTGGGAGCCCAGACTGGAGCCCAGACTGCAGGGAGGCTGGCCCCAAAGGAAGGAGCCCAGCCCCTGGAATCCAGGCTGGCAAGGAGGGAGTGAGACCACCTCCACCTAGGAGGGGTTCTCGCCCAGAGTCCTGCGGGAACCGCTCTAGGCGCTGACGCAAGGCCCAGGCCACATTATCAGTCTGTCCCTGGAGCCCCGCCCCGCCCCATCCCAGCTCCTAGGTCGGGTTGTGCCGCGAGCGCTCGGCCTTTGCCCCGGGTGAGTCTGGCCTTGACCTCAGGTCGCGAGTCCTGCGGGAGGCTGCTGCGGGCAGGGTCGTGCATACTTGGCAGCTGGGCCGGGAGGGGCCGAGCCTGGAGACCTACCCTGGGGCACGGGCGGAGCCACAGTCAGCCGGGCGGAGCAGCTCCCCGCTCCCCTTCCCAGGCCCGGCGGACTTTTGTCCCAGCCGGCCGCGCGCTCTGATGTGCCTGACGCCAGGTGAGCGCTCCGCGGGGACGCCGTCTCCTGTACTCCTGTGACTGCGCCGCCGCCGTCACTGTTACTCGGGTCAGGCTCCCACTCGCCCGCGGGTCCTGGGTCCCCGGGCCTGGTGAAGTTCGTCCCGGAGGCGGCCACGTGCTCCCTGCAGGTGCGCACCTGGGGCGCTGGGCGGAGGGGCGGGCGCGGCGCCGGAGTCCCCGGGCGGTGGCCGCAGATCTCCGGTCGCGGGGGGGCGGTGGGCGGCGCGGAGGACTACTGGGCCTAGCACCGGCGCTTCCTGGCCCCGGGTGCGCTTTGCGCCTGGCTCCCAGGCAACCGTTCTGCGCCCTCCGGGGAGTCTGGCGGCGCCGGCGCCGGGGGAGGGGTTGTGCCACCTCGGTCTGTCTGGGAGGAACCAGGCCAGGGCGGTCCGCACAGGCCGGGGTGCCCGCCTTTGGGTCTGGCCTGGTACCGGGCCGGGTACCGGACAGACTCACCCAGGAGACGACCCTTCCCGCCCCGTTGGCTCCGGGGAGCCGCCCCCCTCTCCCCTCTTCTCCCCGTCACTGGGCTGAACTCTGACCCGGGTCACTGGAGGGTGGGGATGGGCGCTGGACTGCCGGGCTCGCCGTCGCTGGGTCTCCCCGCGCGCTCTCGGGCCTGTCCCTCCCCGCGTCTGCCCGTGGGCGCTGTGCCGTGGGGAGGCACGGCCGGGGTCCTTGAGGATCCACCCCCCGACCCCCGCCCCTTTGCGCCCCCGACCCCCGCCCCTTTGCGCCCCCCTCCCGCTTGTTTTGAAAACAGCGGAGGCTGGGATTCGCCGGCGCGACTGTTTTGTTTCCTCTGATTTGTTTAGCGCTCAGGGCTAATTGCAGATTTGCGTGTGTCGCTAGCATTGGCCCGGCCCCCAGGCTGCTGGCTGCAGGGGCTGGGGGGGGCTCCCTGGCTTCTCCGTGACGCTTCTCCCCGCCCCCCCGCGCCCTCCACCCCCCGGTTCCGGGACAGCCACTCTCAGACCGCCTTGGCCTGTGCTCCTGGCAGCGAATCGCCCACTTTATCCAAGGCTGCCTCCTCCACCACCCCCTGGCTGAGGACCCCAGTGCAGGGCCTGTGCCCACCCCAGTGCTTTGACCCCTGGAGGGCTGCACAGCCCTAGCACCCCTGCCTACTCCACCCAGGGGTGGGGGGTTGTGTTCATGCAACCCACTCCAGTCCTCCTAGGTCTGGGCCTGAGCTACCCTGTTCTCCATGGCTGCTGGTGCCCGGTCCCCATCTCAGATTTGGCCAGCCCAGGCACCTCCTCTGCCCCCTCCTCTGGTCCCTACCCTCTCTGTTTCACCTCTTAGAGCCCACAGCCTGGCCTGGCCAAGAGCAGCTCCCAAGCTGGGCCCCTCCTCCACTGGGCCTGACTGCTTTGTGGTGTTTTTTTTTTTTTTTGAGATGAGTTTCGCCGTTGTTACCCAGACTGGAGTGCAGTGGCACTATCTCGGCTCACTGCAACCTCCGCCTCCCGGGTTCAAGCAATTCTCCTGCCTCAGACTCCTGAGTAGCTGGGATTACAGGCATGCACCACCATGCCCAGCTAATTTTTGTATTTTTATTAGAGATGGGGTTTCACCATGTTGACCAGGATGGTCTCGATCTCTTGACCTCGTGATCCACCCGCCTCGGCCTCCCAAAGTGCTGGGATTATAGGCGTGAGCCACCGCGCCCGGCCCACTGATTTTAGCATTAAGAATGGTTCAGGCCGGGCAGTGCAGTAGGCTGTAATCCCAGCACTTTGGGAGGCTGAGAGGGCGGATCACGAGGTCAGGAGATTGAGGCCAGCCTGGCTAACGGTGAAACCCTGTCTCTACTAAAAATACAGAAAGTTAGCTGGGTGTGGTGCACGCACCTGTAATCCCAGCGATTTGGGAGAATCACCTGAACCCGGGAGGTGGAGGTTGCAGTGAGCCGAGGTTGCACCACTGCACTCCAGCCTGGGCAACAGAGCGAGACTCCATCTCAAAGGAAAGAAAAGAAAAGAATGGCTCAGCCTGTGTTTGCTTGAAAATGCTGAAAGGCAGAGAACCCCCAATTTTAGCCCCCCCAGAACCCTCTCCCAGTGCAGCCAAGACTTGAGGTGGTCTCAGAACCAAGGCTGGCAGGAGCTGGAGGACCTGGCAGCCTCCACTCTTGGCCTCATCTGGAGTAGGGCTCTGTCCTTCCCCCTTAGATGCCTCTTGTTTACCTTTACCTGGTGGGAGGGGTGGTGACCAGACTCAGTCGGTGCAAGGGGCCTGGGGGCTGCTGGTCAGAAAAAGAAGGACCCAAGAAAGAGCCACAGGTGCCCAGCCAGCAAGCGGCTCCTGCTTCTCCCCAGGCTGCCTGGGGCATAGGGGGAGGTCCAGCATCCCTGGGCTGCCCTCTCCCCCATTGGAGGAGGAGGTTTGGGGGAGGAGACCCTCCTCCGCTCTCTTGGAGGTCTGGGGAGGGCCTACGGGGGCAGATGTGCTTTTGGGCTCTCCACGCCTTCCAGGCTCTTGGAGCTTGGCAAGCTGCCAGATCCAATGTTTGGACTTGCTGGGTTGGGGGGGCGGGCAGGGCCTCTTGGTGAAGACCATAGACCACAGAGCAAGGCCAGTCCCTCAGGGGCTGGGTCAGGGAGGGTGTCTGGGTGTTCTGAAGGATGGGCGGGAGCTTTCCCGGGAGCACAGTGAACGTGGACGTGGGAACGTCGTGAGGCAGTGTTCCCTGGGTGCCTTCTCTGAGCAGGCACAACTGTAAAAGTTTCCACACCCACTCAACCTCAAGGCAGCCCTCTGAAGTGGGCACCATTATGACCCCCAGGCTACACATGGGGAAACTGAGCCACAGAGCAGCTTTCTTTTTTCTTTTTCTTTTTTTTTTTTTTTTTGAGACCAGCAGAGTCTCACTCTGTTGCCAGGCTGGAGTGCAGTGGCGCAATCTCGGCTCACTGCAACCTCCGCCTCCCGGGTTCAAGCGATTCTCTTTCCTTGGCCTCCCAAGTAGCTGGGACTACAGACGCCCCAGCTAATTTTTATATTCTAGTAGAGACAGGGTTTCACTATGTTTGCCAGGATGGTCTCGATCTCTTGACCTTGTGATCCGCCCGCCTCAACCTCCCAAAGTGCTGAGATTACAGGCGTGAGCCACTGTGCCCGGCCCAGAGCAGCTTTCTGAATGGTCCACTTGACCCAGCTAGAACATGGCAGAGCTGGGATGTGAATGCAAAGGTCTGGCTCCTGAGTTCAGGCCCTGAGGCCCCAGCTCTGTGCAGCCGCATCGGGGGTGACCACAGCCTCCCAAGGAAGAAACTCCTTTTTCTGGGGTAGCTAAGTGGGAATCCTGTGAGCAAGAGACGGAGCCTGGCAGAGTGTTGGGGGGCCGGATGGGTGAAGGTGGGAGAAGCCTGTGGCCAGGTAGAGGAGGTAGAATGGGCCAGGAAGAGTCCCATCGAGGGTGGGAGGGGTCCAGGTATTATTCTCTGGGAGGGGGAATCCCTGACCTTCCTCCACTGTGAGAGCCAGGGAAGAGGACAGTAGGAAGCCCCCTCCAGGAGAGTGGCGTGTGGGTCCTGCCTCTGGCTTTCTGAGTGCATTGATCACTTGGGGCAGGTCCTTGGCGGGAGTTCCGGGGTGGGCTGGAAGGAGGCCAGCCTCCCCTGACCTTGGCTGATCCCCCCACCCTGGGGCCTGGGCCGGTGGAGGCTGGGCCTTGGCCATGTGCTGCTGGGAGAAGTTTAGGGCTGCAGGAGGCTGAGGGAATGGGCACAGGGGCACACAGGCCAGCATGGGGTTCCTTCAGGGTGGCAGGTCTGGGGTCACCGTGCCACCACTATCACTGCCACCTCCTTCAGCAGCTGAGGCTCCAGTCCCGACAGGTCCCAGCTATCTCAGGAGGCCACATCCTCCCAGCAAGACCCAGAGGTGCCCTGTGCTTTGGTTTCTGAGTTTGCCAGAGGAGCAGGCTTTTGGCCCTTTCACAAAGGCACTGTTGAGTCTCAGGTCAAAAGGACACCCTCTCCCTGCAAAACCCCATGCTCCCCAGCCCATAGGCCAGGTCAGCCCTTACCTGTGCAGCATGGTGTCACAGTCCATGCACAGCTGTGGTGCTCACCTCTCTTCCTGCCTCCCCCCTGCCAGTGTCACCGCAGGTCCAACCCTGGGTGCCTCCGCACAGGACACAGGAGGATCCCGGCAGCGGGGGAGGAGGAGAGCCGGGCCTGGTCCTGTGGGAGGAGGCGCTTTGCTGGCACCCAACCTAGCCAGGCTGCGAGTGGACTCTGGGGCCCGAGCAGGATTCAGCAGAACCTTGGTTGTGGGGTGGCCTGGAGAGTCACGTCCCGAGGCAGAGTGGAGCCCACCTTCTTTTTTTTCTGAGATACGGAGTTTTGCTCTGTTGCCCATGCTGGAGTGCAATGGCGTGTTCTCTGTTCACTGGGAACTCAGGCGATCCGCCCGCCTCGACCTCCCAAAGTGCTGGGATTAATAGGCATGAGCCACCATGCCTGGCCCAGGTTACTTAGAGTCCGGGTCTTGTCCTGTCAGCCTCCTGAGTACCTGGGACTTCAGGCTGCACCACCACACCCGGCTTTAAGCTTTTTTGTTGTGGTGTGTGTGTGTGTGTTTTGAGACAGACTCTCTGGCCTGGGTGGGAGCGCAGTGGCCTCCTCCTTGCTCCCAGAGTTCACCACTATTTTCAATTTGAGGGTTTCTGGAGCCTCTCAGAGATGGCTGGGGCTGGACCCTGCACCCCAGACTTCCCCATCAGAGTCAGCAGAGACCCACCTGCTTGCAAATACCTGTAGTTTTCCACAGTGGTCTCTGGTGGGATGCTGGGTGGCTGCCAAATTTTCACTAAAACCAACCATGCTGAGAAGCACCCTGGGTCTGTGCCTGGCTGTGGGTATAGTGGGTGTTTATCCAGAAGGGAAGATAGATACAATAGCAAGCATTGCTGAGTGCTACAGTGTAACACTCTGAAGCTTTTTGTGAATGGATTCATATAGTCCTTACAGACCCCTGGGTAGCTCAGTGTTACTATTTCCATTCCACAGATGAGGAATGAGGCACAGAGAAGTTAAGTGACTTGCCCAAGGTCACACTGACTTGCCCAAGCTAGTCAGTGAAATTTCAGGGTCATGGGTATGCATATTTTTCAGAAAGCAACTTTTTTTCAGAAAGTTTACTTTAAGCAATGTAATAGAGCTATACCTAGTTTAAACATGGGCAGATGGTGTCAACGGACTTAAACTGAAAAGAAGTCCCTGGCAGAGAGGAGTGCCGGGAGCCCTGGAGGTGTCTCAGGGCTGAGGGAGGGGCCATGCAGGTGGCCAGAGGGAGAAGGCAAAGGCCAGATGGGGTCCTGTGGGCTGTTTCTTCCCCCAACCCCTGCCAGCATGGGACAGGTTTGGGGGCTCCACAGCAGGCCAGGCTCCTCTTGTGACCACCATCTCCTTTGCCTCCTAGAGAATCTCGATGCTGGCCTGGAGCAGAGACTGAGCCGGACCACTGGAGCCTTGGTGAGGGGGCTGCACCCCGCCTGGGAAAGGCTGTGGGTGGCTGGGGCTATGTGGACAGGGAGGGTGGAGGTAGCTGGAACTGCCATGTGGTGTTTGCGAGGCTCTGCCCAGCCAGGTTTCGACCATAGCTATCCCTCTGCAGCCCCTCCATGGCCTGGCCTGGCCTGGATTAACAGAGGGCAGGGGTAGGAGCGAGCGGCGAGCTTCCCTGCACACAGAGCCACTGTGAGGCCCCCCAGGTTCTGAGGCCAAGCTTTTGCTCAGGTGGTGTGAGCTCTGCAGTGAGACTGGGGCACCCAGTTCTGGGAATTAGCGCCGGGAATTCAGGCATTGGGGGTGTGGTGAGGGGCGGTGCCTCGTGGGCCAGCCACAGCCAGAGTTGGTGTGGCCTCTTGAAAGTGCCCCTCTGAGCTTCAGCCAGAAGGAAGGCACCAGAGGGCCAGAGGAAATCCCCACCAGCCCTGTAAGTGGGGGTCCCAGGAGGGCTTCAAAACAGGAACTGCTTGCTGCCCGCCCTCCCTCCTGTTCCAGGAACACAGGCAGCAGGAAGCAAAGCTGGCTGTGCCTGGCACCTCCTGCCCAGACGAAGCTTTGCTGCTGGTCCGGTGGGTTGCCCTTTGCTCCTGGGCCTGGGCAGGTCACCTGAGGCCTTGTTTGTCCAGGAACCGGAAGGCAGCTGCCACCTGTGGGTGTCACCCCCAGATGTGCCTGCCACCCTGGAAGGCCTGGGAGCACGGCAGAGGGAGGCATTCCCAGTGGTGGTTATTGAGCTCTTAGGGTCTGCCAGCTGCCTGCGGGAACAGCAGGCTTCTTCCTGCACCGCGGCTCCTGCAGTCCTGGCCGGTGGGCGAGTGCCTTCCCTGGGTGGAAGTTCGCTGGGATGGGTAGGGGTGGCCGGTACGAGCCCAGAGTCATTGCTTTTCCTGGGATGGGTAGCGGGGACGCCGAAGAGTTCCCCAGGCTGCCCCACCGCGGTCCCGGCCAGATCCGAGGGGACCGCGGGCCCCGCCCACGCGCCGCCCCCGCGCCGCCCCGGCGCTCCCTCCCAGCCGCGGCGCATTCCATTCGTTCCCGGAGCTGCGCCCGGCCCCGAGGAGCGGGGCCGGATGAGCGGGGCCAGGAGGGGAGGGCAGCGGGCCTGGGCGCGGGCTGAGGGGCCTGGACATTGCCTGCCCCCGCGGGCGCCGCTGTGTGCGCTTAGAAGGCAGGGGCAGCTGGGGCGAGGCGGCAGGGTTTGGGGGGCCTTAGAGCCGGGCCTGCTGCTCCCTGGGAGGGCATTCCGCTGTGGCTGTAGCCTCTAGGTCTCTTCTGGAGGCCTGGGGCTCCTGCGCCATCCTCTCCTCTCCCTAGACAGGCTGCTGAGCCGGGCTGAGCTGGGCATAGAACCTCCTCCTCCAGGATCCTACCCTCCCAGTGGTCCCCAGGGGCTTGTAGAATCTTCCTGTCTCTCACTAAAGCCAGAGTCTTCTGGCTGATCACCCGTATCCTCGTGAAGCCTGCGATCCCCTGGCCCTACAAGGCCTCTCTGCCATCACCAAGCGGCCAGGGACTCCCTAAACTGTGGGTGGTCACCTCCCAGCCGCTGCTGTGCTCGTGGGCACCTGGGGGCTCCAGGGCTTGGGCAGGGGGCTTCAGGGGCTGGGCAACTGCTGAACACCGAATTCTCAGTGCAGGGAGCAGGGGGGCCAGTGCAGGACGGTCTCACCCATGCCGGTCCTGGGGTGGCTCGGATGTTATCGGTTGGTTGTGTCTTGGAAGCATGCGGGTAATCAGAATGGGTGGTGCCACAGGGAAGTGGAGGGCAGCTGTGCCAGTAAATATAGCTTCACCCAAAGCCAAGGCTCTGGAGAAACATCTCCCCTGGCTACGGAGCAGCAGAGTGGGGCGTCCCTGCCCTCCTGGGAGGACAGAGGCCAGTCCGGGGGGGTGGGGTTGCCAGTGTCAAAAGGTTGGAAAAGCACAGTGATCATAGGCCAAGCTGCTCCCACCACAGGTCAGAATCCCAGCCCCCCCCATATCCACAGCCTGGCCTTGGGCAAGTTGCCCTCTGTGCCTCAGTTTCTTCATCTGAGAAATGGGTCACAAGGCTGACGTGACTCAGCCTGCTCGTCAGACACAGGAATGTGGAAACATTTGCATCTTGTGGCTTGTTCTTTCTGCACTTAAAACTTTCAAATAGGCTGTGAGAAAGAGGATTGTCTTTCGAGGGGTTGAGCATATGCAGGCAGGTGACATCTGAGGTGGCCTGAGAGGGTGTGGCAGTCCCTCTGGAGGCCCGGGCCTCCGTCCATCATGACCCTCTGCCATCGGGGCTGGACCCACTTGATGGCTTCCCTGGACACCTGGGTGCTCCCAGCACTGGTGTACTCAGGGTCTGGGATTGGGGGTGGTTGGGGGCATGAGGAGGGGACACTGGCAGGGGAGGGTGATATAGGGAACTCTGGCCCTGATGGAGCAGGGTCCCTAGCGTGAGAGGGACAGACCACCCTGAAGGGGAGAGCTCAGAGGCAGAAAGGTCCTGTCTGCCACTTGTGTCTGAGCCCCCAAGATGCACCTGAGTTGGGTAGCGGAGGAAGGAGGGAGGACCATGCATGTCCTGGGTCCACCTGTGCGGCCTTAGATCGTCCTCCAGCCCCAGTCACACATCCCCCTCATCTACAGGCACAGACCGGGACCTCACATGGACACATGCTCGGTTACACACACAAATGTGGATGAGGCCTGTCCAGCCCACAGATATGGGGGCCTCTCCCTCTGATACCTGGTGGATTTGGAGCTGCTCATGGCTCCCCAGATCCTCTTCTAGCTTCCCCTGAGCCCACATCTGAGGTTCTGCACGGTGCACCCCTCACTCTCACCTGAGTCTCTGGTTTCTCATATACTTCACCTCTGCCCCACATGTGGTCTACCTGTTCACACAACCAGGGATATGTCTGTCAGCCTGGGCCTGTGTGCTGAGGCCAGTGCCTCCCCATCACCTGGAGCTCCTTGCAGTCACAGTTTGGGGGACATGTGTGTGAGCCCCTGGATCTCCTTGGAGTCACAGTTCGGGGGGCATATGTGTGAGCCCCTGAGAGCTCCTTGGAGTCACAGGCCGGGGGCATGTGTGTGAGCCCCTGGAGCTCCTTGGAGTCACAGGCCGGGGGCATGTGTGTGAGCCCCTGGAGCTCCTTGGAGTCACAGGCGGGGGGGTATGTGTGTGAGCCCCTGAGAGCGTTTCTGGGGGCATCGACTCCTGCCGGTGGTTTGAGCACCTACAGGAGGGATCCTGGCGTGGGTGGTGGCAGTGCCTTGGGCCCAGTGGTCGGTCAGGGTGGAGCTGAGGAGGGCAGGAAAATGGTCTCCAGTGAGACCTTGAGGATGGCGGGTTGTGAAGCAGGAAGGGGCAAAGCTCTGGGTTCCTTGATTTGTGACTCTCTGACTCTCTCTGTCCCATGTTCTGATGTTTGGGGCAGGGACTGGAGAGGGATTTGTTGGTGGGTCTTCTGGGCCGGGGCTCCCCTGACCCTTCTCTCTTCCTACAGGGTGCCGGGGGGGGCAATGGCACTGCAGCTCTGGGCCCTGACCCTGCTGGGCCTGCTGGGCGCGGGTGCCAGCCTGCGGCCCCGCAAACCAGACTTCTTCCGCAGCGAGAAAGAGCTGAACCACCTGGCTGTGGATGAGGCCTCGGGCGTGGTGTACGTGGGGGCAGTGAACACCCTCTACCAGCTGGATGCCAGGCTGCAGCTGGAGCAGCAGGTGTCCACAGGCCCGGCCCTGGACAACAAGAAGTGCACACCGCCCATCGAGTCCAGCCAGTGCCACGAAGCAGAGATGACCGACAACGTCAACCAGCTGCTGCTGCTCGACCCTCCCCGGAAGCGCCTGGTGGAGTGTGGCAGCCTCTTCAAGGGCATCTGCGCCCTGCGCAGCCTGAGCAACATCTCCGAGCGCCTGTTCTACGAAGACAGCAGTGGCGAGAAGTCTTTCGTGGCCAGCAATGATGAGGGCGTGGCCACGGTGGGGCTTGTGAGCTCCACCGGCCCCGGCGGTGACCGTGTGCTGTTTGTGGGCAAAGGCAACGGGCCACATGACAACGGCATAATCGTGAGCACCCGGCTGCTGGACCGGACTGACAGCAGGGAGGCGTTCGAAGCCTACACGGACCACGCCACCTACAAGGCTGGCTACCTGTCCACCAACACGCAGCAGTTTGTGGCCGCCTTCGAGGACGGCCCCTACGTTTTCTTTGTGTTCAACCAGCAGGACAAGCACCCGGCCCGGAACCGCACGCTGCTGGCCCGCATGTGCAGACAGGACCCCAACTACTACTCCTACCTGGAGATGGACCTGCAGTGCCAGGACCCCGACCCCAAGGCCGCCACCTTTGGCACCTGCCTGGCCGCCTCCGTGGCCGCGCCTGGCTCTGGCAGGGTGCTGTATGCCGTCTTCAGCAGGGATGCCCGGAGCCCTGGGGGCCCCGGTGCGGGCCTCTGCCTGTTCCCGCTGGATGAGGTACACGACAAGATGGAGGCCAACCGAAACACCTGCTACACGAGCACCCGGGATGTAGCCAGGGACATCTTCTACAAGCCCTTCCACGGCGAGATCGAGTGCGGCGGCCACTCACCGGTACGGGCTTCCGTGTGTCCTCGCAGGGCGCAGGCCTCAGGCGTCCACGTGTGGATTTTTGTGTCCTAGCCTGCCGGGAAGGGTGCGAGGCTAGGACATTCATGCCGGCGCCAGTCCCAGGCCCGTTCCAGGGACTAGGGAACACAGCAGTGAGCATGGCAGGTCTCCCTGCCATGGGGGCCCTGTTCTGGGGGTGTGTGTGGGGCCTTGTGAAGCCTGAGGGAAGGGAAGGACCTGGCCTGTCTTGGAGCCCAAGTGGGGAAGGCCCTCTAGGGCAAGGGTCTGCCTGCCATTGACACGTGGCGGTCCGCAGGGCTCCAGTCAGAACTTCCTGTGTGGCTCGGAACACCTGCCCTACCCTCTGGGCAGCCGCGACGGGCTCACAGCCACAGCCGTGCTGCAGCGTGGGGGCCTGAACCTGACGGCCGTGACGGTCACCACGGAGAACAACCACACTGTTGCTTTTCTGGGTACCTCTGACGGCCGGATCCTCAAGGTTTGGCCCGGGCTGGGGCAGGGAGGCTCTGGAGGGCCCGTCAGTGCACAAGGCCCCTGCCCTCACCGGCCTGCTGTCCCGCACACAGGTGTACCTCGCCTCAAACGGCACCTCCTCCGAGTACGACTCTGTCCTTGTGGAGATCAACAAGAGAGTCAAGAATGACCTGGTGCTGTCTGGAGACCTGGCCGTCCTGTACGCCATGACCCAGGACAAGGTGAGCCCCACGCAGCCCCGGAGGTCACTCCAGGCCAAGTGTGCCCAGTCGTTGCACCCCAGGCCTTTATGACAGGCCTAGGGGCCGGAGGAGGATGGGGCGCTGCAGAGCTGGGCCAGGCCTTTTCTTCTTTGGCTGCGTGGGTTCCTGGACAGTGTCTCCATCCTGTGTCTCTAACGCTACCCCGTTTCTGCTGCTCTTTCTGTCTGTCCTGTGTCTCCACCACATCTGTCCCTCTGGCCCCACCTCTGCCCCGTCCTGATGGAAGGGCCTCGTTGGTGTCTGGGGGGTGTTTCTGAGGGTGGATGAGAGGAGGGGCCCTACACAGCTTCTGTGAGCTCAGTCGGTGGGGGACACGGGTCTGGGCCCCAAGCTTATGGGGGAGTTGGTGCAGGAGCCCCTTAGGCTGGCCCTAGGAGGACCCCTCAGAGGGAGCCAGTGCAGAGGACTGACGTTGCCCCAGGGAGACACCACAGCCAAGACCTCCAGGCTTCCCTGGGCGCCCATCGGGTCCTGGGCCTGGCAGGGACACCAACCATGGCCATGCAGAGCCAGAAGTGTTTTGTAACAAGCCTGAGGTGTCCGAGGCTTTCGAGGCCCCAGGACGAAGCTGGGTGAAGCTGGGTCAAGCTAGCTCTCTGGGGGCATCTGCGGTGCATGAGAGGACCGTGCTGTGTCTGCTGTGGTCCCACTTACGGCCCCGCTGCCCCAGGTATTCCGGTTCCCGGTGCAGGAGTGCCTGAGCTACCTGACCTGCACCCAGTGCCGCGACTCGCAGGACCCGTACTGCGGCTGGTGTGTCGTCGAGGGCAGGTGAGCGCCCGGGGCTCGGGACACAGCTGCCTCTGGGATACTGGAGGGTCGTGGCCTGGGTCGGGGGGCACACTGCACTGTCGTGGGAGAGCAAAACCCCACTTGGGCTGAGGGGTCCTAATGCTGAGGCTGCCCCCTGCCCCTGCAGATGCACCCGGAAGGCTGAGTGCCCACGGGCCGAGGAGGCCAGCCACTGGCTGTGGAGCCGGAGCAAGTCCTGTGTTGCCATCACCAGTGCCCAGCCACAGAACATGAGCCGGCGGGCCCAGGGGGAGGTACGTGGTGGAGCTGAGGATGGGCCAGGTGGGGGCTCCCCCAGGCTGGGAGCTGTTGGGACAGTCAGCAGAGGGCCCACCTCTCCCCCGCCCGGGCTTTGGGCACTGAACCTTAGGGATGGAGGCCTGCCCTCCACTGGCCCCCTGGACCCCTGTGAGTAGAGGTGGGCTTGCCTCTATCCAGGGTAGATGCAGGCCCTGTTGCTGGGGTGACCACGTAGGGGCCTGTTTTGGAAGACGTGGAGTTGGGTTCTGGAGGCTCCTCTGGAGGCTCGAAAGCCTCGGACACCTCAGGCTTGTTACGAAGCCAGACACGCAGACGTCACTCACTGGCAAGTGGGTGGACCGGACTCAGTGGTCCCGGTGTGAGCCTCATGGTCCCTCCCTCAGGTGCAGCTGACTGTCAGCCCCCTTCCTGCCCTGAGTGAGGAGGATGAGTTGCTGTGCCTCTTTGGGGACTCGTCACCGCACCCCGCCCGCGTGGAGGGCAACACCGTCATCTGCAACTCCCCAAATAGCATCCCCGTCACGCCGCCAGGCCAGGGTGAGGCGCCTTCTGAGCCCCCTTCCCAGTCACTCCTGCACACGGAGCTCTGCGCACATGGGCTCTCGCCTCTGCCGGTCCCTGGGTGCATGTGGTGGGGTTGCTGTGCCTATGGGGGAGGTTCTGGGTCCCCCAGGCTGTCTGAAGCCACGCCCTCCAGGCCCGCCTCGAGGGTGACTTGGAGGGACAGGAGGTCCCCCAGCCTGCTCCCTCATCGTGTCCAGAGCGGCATCCGGGTGCCAGGTGCCAGGCCTTGTCATCTGGGCAGATGCCCCTCACCCCTCCCTGCCTTGTCTAGCCTGAGACAGTGGGACCATTTCCAGAGGCTGCAGGGCCCACATGTGGGCCAGGGCAGGCACCGTGCCCATGTCCCCTGAGTTTGGGGGCAGTGGGGCCATGCAGTGACGCGGGCAGGGACCTGGCAGGAGCTACTGTCCCCTGTGGGAACAGAGGGTACGAAAGCAACCCGGGCCCTGGGGAGCAAGGCGAGCCCCGCACTGGGCCTGACACCCGAGCTGAGATCTGATAGCAGGTGGCCAGGCCGAGCACAGCAGGAGCGCCCCACCCAAAGACCAGGGGTTTCTACCTCAGGCCCCTCCCCAGAGGAGGCCTAGCCCGCCCTCAGCTCAGCAGCCGCCACCTGATGCCGCCCCCTCTGCTGTCCGTAGACCATGTGGCTGTGACCATCCAGCTCCTCCTCAGACAAGGCAACATCTTTCTCACGTCCTACCAGTACCCCTTCTACGACTGCCGCAAAGCCATGAGCCTGGAAGAGAACCTGCCGTGAGTGTTGCCTGCTCTCAGCCCCACCCACCCCCAACCGCCCACCCACCCCCGCCCTGCTCACAGTCCTCTCTGGACGAAGGTGCATCTCCTGTGTGAGCAACCGCTGGACCTGCCAGTGGGACCTGCGCTACCACGAGTGCCGGGAGGCATCACCCAATCCCGAGGATGGCATCATCCGCGCCCACATGGTGAGGGGCCTCGGGGGGGACCATTCAGGGCCCGGCTGCCCTTCTGTGGCCAGGCAGTACCTGACCCACCTTGCTGTCCCAGGAGGACAGCTGCCCCCAGTTCCTGGACCCCAGCCCCCTGGTGATCCCCGTGAACCATGAGACAGACGTGACCTTCCAGGGCAAGAACCTGGACACTGTGAAGGTGCGGAAGTGGGGGGCGGTGGCCGGTGGGTGAGGGTGTGGAGGGAGGCTGAAGCAGGCTGATGGTGGGGGGAGCCTGAGCTCCCCCGGGTACCCCCCAGCGGGCTGGTGCTGATGGGTGGGTGCGGAGCCTGAGCTTCCTCTATGCCCCCCACCCCCGGCTTGGGGCCCCGACATGAGGTAGAAAGCACAGGTTATATAGGGGCAGAGGCCAGGAGGGAGCACATGGGGGCCTTTGGAGGGGCCTGAGTGGAGGCAGTGAAGGAGGCAGGTGCGTGGAGGCTGAGGGGCCAGCGCAGCCTCCCAAGGAGGGAGCAGTGGGGGCAGCAATGCCAGGTGGGCCAGGCGATGCCCTCAGGTGTGGACATGTGGTGTAGGTACCCCTGGGACTGCAGACACAGGTGGTTGGGCTCAGGAGGGGCTGCAGGGTCAGCTGGCATGGGAGCATCAAAGAGGGGCAGGCACGTATGGGGCAGGGATAGGGCTCCCACACTGTAGGCGCTGAGGAGGGCTGGGGTGCCAAGGCTTTGTGGCAGGACGGGTGGGCTGCCTGCCCAGGGTCCTGATGGGATGGTCTGCAGGGCTCCTCCCTGCATGTGGGCAGTGACCTACTCAAGTTCGAGGAGCCAGTGAGGATGCAGGAATCGGGGACCTTCATCTTTCGGACCCCAAAGGTACAGCTCCAGGGCAGGCCGGCTCAACCGCTGGACCCCAGGGCCCCAGATGGGGTGGGGGTCACCTCCAGGAGTGTGAAGGGAGGGGCGGCAGGGAGACTCCTGGGACCAGAGCCCAGCCAGGGGCTTGCCATGCCCTGCCCTGCTGGGGAAGCCCCTCTTCCCTCTCCCTCCTTGGGGACAGAGTGGCATAGAGCAGCATCTTTGGAGATCCTGAACTGCCCCCACCTGAAGGCCTCTCTTGCTGCCCTTGGCTTGGAAGGGACCCAGTGACCATGGGGTGGTTGTCCTTGTGACCCCTTCCCTACACCCCTCTGTGGGGGCAGGAAGTGCAGTGTGTCCCTGCGTGTCCCCCAGCTGTCCCACGATGCCAATGAGACGCTGCCCCTGCATCTGTATGTCAAGTCCTACAGCAAGAATATCGACAGCAAGCTTCACGGTGGGGCCACGGGCAGGGGACGGGAAGGGAGCAGGGCATGGGGTGGGGGATAGGTAGGGGGATGGGTAGGGGGACAGGCGGGCTGAGTGGGGAGCAGGCGGGGGGTGGGCAGGGGCAGTGGGGAGCAGGTGGGGGCGGGCAGGCTTGGGGTAGCCATTGACTGCTGCTCTCCCCGCAGTGACTCTCTACAACTGCTCCTTTGGCCGAAGCGACTGCAGCCTGTGCCGGGCCGCTCACCCCACCTACAAGTGTGCGTGGTGTGGGGGTCAGAGCAGGTGCGTGTACGAGGCCCTCTGCAACGCCACCTCCGAGTGCCCACCACCCGTCATCACCAGGGTGAGCCCCTTGAAGCCTGGCCCACGCCACCTATGCGCCTGGCCCAAGCCCCTGCTCACCTGGCTCTGTGGTTTCAGATCCACCCTGAGACGGGCCCCCTGGGCGGGGGCATCCGTGTCACCATCCTGGGGTCCAATTTGGGTGTCCGAGCAGAGGACATCCAGAGGATCTCTGTGGCTGGCCGGAACTGCACCTTTCAGCCAGAAGGTTACTCCGTGTCCACCCGGTAAGTGGACGGCCCTGGGCCCCTTCAGCTGGGTCAAAACCCATGCCGGGGTTCTGGGTGACTGGGTGTGTGTAGAGGCTGAGGAGTGAGAGTGTCAGGAAGCGGGTGGATCAGGGAGGGCCTGGGACACCCTGCCTGTCATCCGCCAGGATTGTGTGTGTGATCGAGGCTGCAGAGGTGCCCTTAACTGGGGGTGTCGAGGTGGATGTCCTCGGGAAACTCGGTCGTTCACCTCCCGACGTCCAGTTCACCTTCCAAGTGAGTGCCTGGCTTTGGGGACCTGTCCTGTAGCTGCTAAACCCGGAAGAGGGCTCTGCCCCCCGCCTTCCCACCAGCGTTATTATCCAGCCCAGGACTGAGGGTGTCCTGAGCCTCGTATTCACCCGAGTGCCCCTGCGGCTCTTTTAGCAGCCCCAGCCTCTCAGTGTGGAGCCGCAGGAGGGACCGCAGGCGGGTGGCACCATGCTGACTATCCACGGCACCCACCTGGACACAGGCTCCCAGGAGGACGTTCGGGTGACCCTCAGCGGCATCCCGTGTAAAGTGTGGGTGTCACCGCCAGCTGCTGTCTGGTTGGCTCTGGCCCTGGGTATGGAGGGGGGCACTTACTGAGACCTGCGTGGTGGAGGAGATGGCGAGGCCAGCCTGGTCGGGCTGGGGTTGGTCGGGGGAGGGGGTTGACGCAGACCAGCACCCTCCCTCCCCCAGGACGAAGTTTGGGGCGCAGCTCCAGTGTGTCACCGGCCCCCAGGCGACACGGGGCCAGATGCCCCTGGAGGTCTCCTACGGGGGCTCCCCTGTGCCCAGCCCCGGCATCATCTTCACCTACCGTGAAAACCCAGTACTGCGAGCCTTTGAGCCACTGCGAAGCTTTGCCAGGTGAGGCTGGTGCCCCGCCCCTTCGTCCCCTGTGGGGAGGAGGGGAGCTACCCTCTGCTCCCCACACCCACACACCCAGCTTCCTCTTCTGTGCTCTCGGCTGACTTCACTGAAAGGAATGTGGTGGGGCTGGTCTGCACAGTGGGAGGAGGCCTCCTGAAAACCCCACTGCACCCCAGATCCGCTTCCTCCTAGAAACCAGACGGGCACACCTCAGACTCTATGTTCACCAGGCCCCGCGTGCCCCCCTGCCCACTTGTGGCACAATCTCGAGCTCAGCACGGCCCATCATGTTGCCCCTTTGCCCACCCAGACCCACACGTGCACCTGGAAGCCCTGCGTGGCCTGAGCCAGGGTGGGTGGGGATGGGAGGGCAGCGCCTGCAGGGACCACCCCTGCCAGCTGAGCCCACAGAGGCACTCCCCTCCCCAGTGGTGGCCGAAGCATCAACGTCACGGGTCAGGGCTTCAGCCTGATCCAGAGGTTCGCCATGGTGGTCATCGCAGAGCCCCTGCAGTCCTGGCAGCCTCCACGGGAGGCCGAATCCCTGCAGCCCATGACGGTCAGTCCTGGTGCAGGCTGGGGCTCAGCTCTGGCGCTAGCCAATGGGGACGTGCCCGGGAAGGGCGGGGCTTGCACCCGTGGTCTGATGGCCGGGACTTGCCTGCAGGTGGTGGGCACGGACTACGTGCTCCACAATGACACCAAGGTGGTCTTCCTGTCTCCGGCTGTCCCCGAGGAGCCCGAGGCCTACAACCTCACGGCGCTGATAGAGATGGACGGGCACCGTGCACTGCTCAGGACAGAGGCTGGGGCCTTTGAGTATGTGCCTGACCCCACCTTTGAGAACTTCACAGGTGGCGTCAAGAAGCAGGTCAACAAGCTTATCCATGCCCGGGTGAGGATGCCGCAGCCACAGGGACTGGGTCCTGCTGGGGTCTGGGCTGAGCTGGGCCGTGTCCCCGTTTCCCTCCTGCTCACCCTGACCTCTGCCCGCTCCCCAGGGCACCAACCTGAACAAGGCAATGACGCTGCAGGAAGCCGAGGCGTTTGTGGGTGCCGAGCGCTGCACCATGAAGACGCTGACGGAGACCGACCTGTACTGCGAGCCCCCGGAGGTGCAGCCCCCGCCCAAGCGGCGGCAGAAGCGAGACACCACCCACAACCTGCCTGAGTTCATTGTGCGTGAGTGCGGGTGGGCGGGGGGTGCCCCCTCGGGACCCAGCTGAACCTGGCCCCCCACACAGGTGAAGTTCGGCTCTCGAGAGTGGGTGCTGGGCCGTGTGGAGTACGACACGCGTGTGAGTGATGTGCCGCTCAGCCTCATCCTGCCGCTGGTCATCGTGCCCATGGTGGTCGTCATTGCCGTGTCTGTCTACTGTTACTGGTGAGCCTGCCCCGTGGCTGTGCCAACGCCCTCCTGCCTCAGCCTCTCTGGCTTCACCTGCCGCCCTGCACAGGCAGGCATGTAGATCCACCTCCTCATCCGGGCAGCTGAGGGGCTGGCCGGGCAGGACCCAGGAGTCTCCCTGTGCCCCGCAGGAGGAAGAGCCAGCAGGCTGAGCGTGAGTACGAGAAGATCAAGTCCCAGCTGGAGGGCCTGGAGGAGAGCGTGCGGGATCGCTGCAAGAAGGAATTCACAGGTAGGGGCGGCTGGGTTGCAGGCGCCCGGGCACCTCCTGGGGCAGGAATGCTGTGTGTGGCGGGGGTCAGGGCCCCAGGTGGCCAGGACGTCTCACGCCAGCCTCCCCCTAGACCTGATGATCGAGATGGAGGACCAGACCAATGACGTGCACGAGGCCGGGATCCCCGTGCTGGACTACAAGACCTACACCGACCGAGTCTTCTTCCTGCCCTCCAAGGACGGCGACAAGGATGTGATGATCACCGGCAAGCTGGACATCCCCGAGCCGAGGCGGCAGGTGGTAGAGCAGGCCCTCTACCAGTTCTCCAACCTGCTGAACAGCAAATCCTTCCTCATCAACGTGAGCCGGGAGGCAGCGGGCCAGAGGGCGGGCGGGAGGGTGCACAGGCCCCGGGCAGGCTCTGACTGTCGGCCCCCGCAGTTCATCCACACCCTGGAAAACCAGCGGGAGTTCTCGGCCCGAGCCAAGGTCTACTTCGCGTCCCTGCTGACGGTGGCACTGCATGGGAAGCTGGAGTACTACACGGATATCATGCGCACGCTCTTCCTGGAGCTCCTGGAGCAGTATGTGGTTGCCAAGAACCCCAAGCTGATGCTGCGCAGGTGCACACGGGTGGGGTCACAGGCGGGCGGCTGCAGGGGCTCTGGGGCTGGTGGTGGGTGGCATGGAGGCCAGTGGGGCACCCAGGAGCCGGCAGGTGCCAGCCAGCACCGTTTGGGGGCAGCCCAGGGGTGGTGTCCCTGGCAGCAAACACAAAGCCAGACTCCAGCCCTTCCTGCCCGGTGGTTTCAGCTGGTCATGTTATTAGCCTGCTGCACAACGGGACCATTAGCCTGCCCCCCCCACAAGGGCTGGAGCTGCCACCAGGCAGTCCTCGCTGCAGGCCACACCCAGGCCTGGATCGGGGCGAGGTTGTTGGCCCAAGGGTGGCAGTTGCTTGGAGGGACTTGCTGGGCCTCAGGAGTGCTAGGGCGTCACTCGGTACAAGGCTCCCTGCACCCCCAGGTCTGAGACGGTGGTGGAGAGGATGTTGTCTAACTGGATGTCCATCTGCCTGTACCAGCACCTCAAGGTGGGTCCCGCCCAAGCTGGGCTGGGGTTGACAGGAAAGGCAGACTGGTGCCGTCCCCCTCAGTGTCCACCTGTCCGTACAGCACCTTGCGGGGGGCCTGCCTGGACAGCTTCGCTTCCTGTCCCTGACACCGCCAGCCCCATCTATGCCTCTGACCAGGCCTCAGGGGGCCCCTTATAGGCCGCAAGCCCCCTGACTTCCCAGCCTCCCCTCCGTGTTACCCCAGGACAGTGCCGGCGAGCCCCTGTACAAGCTCTTCAAGGCCATCAAACATCAGGTGGAAAAGGGCCCCGTGGACGCGGTGCAGAAGAAGGCCAAGTATACCCTCAATGACACGGGGCTGCTGGGGGACGACGTGGAGTACACACCTCTGGTGAGCTCCCGGGGCGGGCAGGGCTGTTGTGGCCTCCTCGGACCTGCCCTAAGGAGCTTGGGCATCCCTGGCTGTAGACAGGACCCACAGGCCAGAGCTGTCCGCCTCCTGTGTGGATTCAAGTAGAGCCAGCTCTCTGTGCTCGGGGAGGGCCTAGGTGCTCGTGGGTGCAAGCTCTGGAGGCTGTAAGTGTCAGCTCTTCCTGGGTGCCCCTGCCTCCTTTAGGGCATGTGAGGGGCCTGGTGTCCCATATTCTGTGCACGAGTGACCGGATCCTGTGCTCGTGACCTATACATGTGCTTCTGTGAGCTTGCGTGGTAGCCTGAGTGAGCAGTTCTGAGCTGTCCCCGCTTTCTGTCCTACTGAGCAGAGCAGGCAGGGGAAGGGCAGAGTGTGGTCATCGCGGAAGCCTCGGGGGCTCAGAGCAGGGCCTGCCGCCTGAGGGTGCCGCTGTGGTGGGCAGAGTGGCTCCTGCTTGGTGCAGGTGAGAGCAAGGGCCTCTCCCCTCGGGCTTCATCCGGTGTTTTCTGCAGACGGTGAGTGTGATCGTGCAGGACGAGGGAGCCGACGCCATCCAGGTCAAGGTCCTCAACTGTGACACCATCTCCCAGGTCAAGGAGAAGATCATTGACCAGGTGTACCGTGGGCAGCCTTGCTCCTGCTGGCCCAGGCCAGACAGCGTGGTCCTCGGTGAGTGCCGGCCACTGCCTGTCTGCACGCAGTGGACAGGTCCTGTGGCAGGTCCTGGCCGGCTTTCTCCCTTGGGAGTGGTGGGCAGTGGGAGGAACTTGGGCGGCCTGGGCCCAAGCTGGGCTGTCTCTTCCCACAGAGTGGCGTCCAGGCTCCACAGCCCAGATCCTGTCGGACCTGGACCTGACGTCACAGCGGGAGGGCCGGTGGAAGCGAGTCAACACCCTCATGCACTATAATGTGAGTGTGTGGTGGGCTGGGGCGGGCTAGAACCGGGAACCCGGGGGCAGGGCCCCTTCTCATTGCTGTGTTTCCCAGGTCCGGGACGGAGCCACCCTCATCCTGTCCAAGGTGGGGGTCTCCCAGCAGCCAGAGGACAGCCAGCAGGACCTGCCTGGGGAGCGTGAGTCTGTCCCTCTTGCCCATTTCCTTCTAGCTCCTGGAGGTCGGTGCAGACCGTGTTCGCCCTTGGCACATGCAGTCCTGCCCACCCTGACCTCAGGGGCACAGGCACGGGAGGTTCCTGAAAGCCCCTCTGGGGAGGTGGCCCAGTGGCTGTGGCCGAGGCCCAGCCCTCCCACCACCAACCAGGGGAGCTGTGGGACCCAGGCCCCAGGGGTCCCTCAGCGCCTGCTCCCCACAGGCCATGCCCTGCTGGAGGAGGAGAACCGGGTGTGGCACCTGGTTCGGCCGGCCGAAGAGGTGGACGAGGGCAAATCCAAGCGGGGCAGCGTGAAGGAGAAGGAGCGGACTAAAGCCATTACTGAGATCTACCTGACAAGGCTGCTCTCCGTCAAGGTAGGCCGCCGTGGGCATGTGGGCTGGCCCCAGGAGCCGCAGCCACGGCACCACGCTGAGCCCCTCTCCCCACAGGGCACGCTGCAGCAGTTTGTGGACAACTTCTTTCACAGCGTGCTGGCCCCTGGGCACGCCGTGCCGCCCGCGGTCAAGTACTTCTTCGACTTCCTGGACGAGCAGGCGGACAAGCACAGCATCCAGGACGAGGACACCATCCACATCTGGAAGACCAACAGGTGAGCCTCTGCACCCACCCGGCCGGCCCCGCCTCTCACTCATCTGAACCTCTGCACCCACCCCGCGGCCCACCCGGCCAGCCCCGCCTCTCTCTCATCTGAACCTCCTGCACCCACCCTGCGGCCCACCCGGCCCGGCCCAGCCTGCACCCACCCTTCATCTGAACCTCTGCACCCACCCCGCGGCCCACCCGGCCCGGCCCCGCCTGCACCCACCCTGCGGCCCATCCTGCGGCCCACCCTGCGGCCCACCCGGCCTGCCCCGCCTCTCACTCATCTGAACCTCTGCACCCACCCCGCGGCCCACCCGGCCGGCCCCGCCTGCACCCACCCTGCGGCCCACCCGGCCCGGCCCCGCCTGCACCCACCCTTCATCTGAACCTCCTGCACCCACCCTGCGGCCCACCGGCCCGGCCCCGCCTCTCACTCATCTGAACCTCCTGCACCCACCCTGCAGCCCACCCGGCCCGGCCCCACCTCTCAATGACCTGAACTTCCTGCACCCATCCTGCCGCCCAGCCCCGACTCTCACTCCCCTCTGCTCTGCCTCAGTTTACCGCTCCGGTTCTGGGTGAACATCCTCAAGAACCCCCACTTCATCTTTGATGTGCACGTCCACGAGGTGGTGGATGCCTCGCTGTCAGTCATTGCACAGACCTTCATGGACGCCTGCACACGCACGGAGCACAAGCTGAGCCGCGTGAGTGGGGCGGGGGCAGGTCTGGGGCAGGGAGGACCTTGTCTCGGGTGTGGATTTTTACATCTTGGGCCTGAGTCCTGGATGTAGGGGGTGGAGGGTGGCCGAGGCTGGGGGCAGAGGGGTCTGGGGCAGATCCTGGGAGATTCTGAGACCCCTCTCTCCTCCTGAGACCTGTACATAAGCAGAGAAGCTGAGTGTTGACACTGGTGTCGCAAAGAAAAATCAGCACCGAGACAAAGGATTTTTTTTTATGGCCATGCAATTTTTACCTCCTGGGCTGCAGGAAGGGCACCATCACGAGCCATCTTACCACAAGAGTGCAGTGAACAAAGGGAAAAACACGGATTTATTCCTCACGCATCTGGGGTCGTCCTTACTGCTGTGTCCGATCTCCGGTGGCCGGAGCCAGACCTCACCATCTAAACTAAAACCCGATTGGCTGACAACTTAAAATTTTGTTACTAAACAGAGAAAAGCAATGGAGAGCTGGGGCATGCCTGTGAGCACGTCCAGTGCAGATGTTTTGGTTAAAGTCCAAGGACATAGAACGCACAACATGGCGTGTCTAACAACTACATAGGAGAGGGCTTCACAAAGCCATTAGCACACTTACTCTTTTTTTTTTGAGACGGAGTTTCGCTCTTGTTACCCAGGCTGGAGTGCAATGGCACGATCTCGGCTCACCGAAACCTCCGCCTCCTGGGTTCAGGCAATTCTCCTGCCTCAGCCTCCTGAGTAGCTGGGATTACAGGCACGCGCCACCATGCCCAGCTAATTTTTTTTGTATATTTAGTAGAGACGGGGTTTCACCTTGTTGACCAGGATGGTCTCGATCTCTTGGCCTCGTGATCCACCCGCCTCGGCCTCCAAAGTGCTGGGATCACAGGCTTGAGCCACCACGCCCGGCCGAAAGGAAACTTTTAAAAGGAACTTTTCTACTTTCCACACTTGTACTACAAATTACTAAATACGTAGATTTTTCTTTTTAGACGTAGTGTCGCTCCATCAGGCTGGAGTGCAATGGCGCGATCTCGGCTCACTGCAACCTCCGCCTCCTGGTTCAAGCAATGCTCCTACCTCAGCTTCTTGAGTAGTTGGGATTACGCACCACCACACCTGGCTAAGTTTTGCATTTTTAGTAGAGGTGGGGTTTCGCCATGTTGGCCAGGCTGGTCTTGAGTCCCTGACATCAGGTGATCCATCCCCGCCTCTGCCTCCCAAAGTGCTGGGATTACAGGCGTGAGCCATCTGGCCCAGCCAGTGGTTTTCTTGATGACGGTGTCAGGAGTTCTGGACAGGGAAAGCTACCCAGGGGGACTCTGAGAAACTCCAGCCCAGCCCCCTGGGCCAGGCGTCACTGGGCTCTGTCCCCGACAGGACTCTCCCAGCAACAAGCTGCTATATGCCAAGGAGATCTCTACCTACAAGAAGATGGTGGAGGAGTAAGTGCTGCCTGCCCTCCAGGCCAGGTCCCCTTGCCCACCCTCTACCCTCTGGGGGGAGATTCAGGCCTTGGTTTCCCCCACCCACCCCTTCGTGCCCCTGCCACCCGCACTGTGTGATCCTCCCCCCTGCAGTTACTACAAGGGTATCCGGCAGATGGTGCAGGTCAGTGACCAGGACATGAACACACACCTGGCAGAGATTTCCCGGGTAAGCAGGCCCCCAGGGATGCACCCCCGGTCTCCCCTGCTCCCTGCTTCCACCACCCTGTGCTGAGCCTGGCCCTGAGCTGCAGGGCAGGGGTAAAATGATGTGATGGGGGGAGAGGGTGAGGTGGGACCTCGAGGTGGGCCTGGCCATGTGAAGTGAGCATAGCGTGTGGCTGCTGCTGGGTGATGTGGGGAGTATTGAGCTGCTTGACGCCCAGCCCCACCCAGCGCCCCTCCCTGTGGCTCCATCTTCAGCGTGCATGGCACAGGGAGGCACTGAGATGGTTGCCTGTGCACGACTCTGCGTGGGTGTCTGTCTGAGGCTGTGGCCAGTGGAGGCCCCAAGTGCCCGCTGTGCCTGAGGCCCCAGCTGCTACCCTGTGGAGGCCCCTTAACCTGAGCATCCGGCACTACCCCTGCCAGCCCTGGGGCTCCCACAGCCCCTTTTTGGCCCTGACCATCCCATCACCCCCCCAGGCACACACAGACTCCCTGAACACCCTCGTGGCACTGCACCAGCTCTACCAGTACACACAGAAGTACTATGATGAGGTAGGGTCAGCCCCTCGGGTTGGGGGCAGGGTGCAGGGTGCAGGGTGCGGGCGCTCCCCCGATGTGCTCTGATGGGACCCTCCCTCAGATCATCAATGCCTTGGAGGAGGACCCTGCCGCCCAGAAGATGCAGCTGGCCTTCCGCCTGCAGCAGATTGCGGCTGCACTGGAGAACAAGGTCACTGACCTCTGACCTCAGATCTCCAGTGCTGCCTTGGGGCCCAGGAACAAGAGATACCTGAGCGCCCCTTGGGGAGAAGGCCAAGTGGCTGTGGTGAAGGCCCCATCCTCCCCTAGAGAACTCGCCCCTTGTCAGAGTGGGTGCAGCGGGGACCCAGCCAGCGCCTAGACTGTAGCATCTTCCTCCGAGCGATACCACCGGCGCCACACCAGCCCGTCCCAGCCCCAGCTCCCGCCGGCGGAACCAGCATCGGTGTTCACTGTGCAGTCTCGAGCGATTTGCAAATGTGCCTTACGCTGCCACGCTGGGGGCAGCAGGCCTCCGCCTCCACCCATGCACCAGCAGCCGCCTCCATGCCCTGGGTTCGGCCCCTGGGGAATCTGAGGACCTGTGGCCCCCAGGGCAAGTTCCCAGACACTGTCTGTCTGTCCACAATGGGATGGGGGGAGGAGAAAAAGCGGTACGATGCCTTCCTGACCTCACCAGCCTCCCTGAGGGCGCCTGCACTCTGGGTGGACTCACAGCTGCTGGGCTCCACCTCACAGGTCAAGTGGGATGTCCTACGTCAGGGCCCAGGCATCCTGGGGTCCTGGTCTGTCAGACAGACTGCCCTAGGGCCCCACCTGATCTGGGGGCACTGGGAGCAGCTCCACCAAGACCACCCCACCCCTTTTTGTAAATCTTGTTCATTGTAAATCAAATACAGGCGTCTTTTTCACTCTGCGGATTGGCTGAGTTCCTCCAGGGGCTGCTCACCACGCCTTCCCTGGGCTCTGTGGGCCCTAATAGGGGTGGAAGTGCCAGGAGGGGGGCTGTGGGGAGGTGGAGGGGTGCTTGTGGGAGGTGGAGAAGGCTGGGAGGGGTGCTGGGGGAAAGTGGGAGGAGGTGGGGGGAGGTGGAGAAGGCTGGGAGTGGTGGGGGAAGGTAGAAGGAGGTTGGGGAGTTGGAGGGGGCTGGGAGGGGTGCTGGGGGAAGGTAGAAGGAGGTGGGGGGAGGTGGAGGGGACTGGGAGGGGTGCTGGGGGAAGGTAGAAGGAGGTTGGGGAGTTGGAGGGGGCTGGGAGGGGTGCTGGGGGAAGGTAGAAGGAGGTGGGGGGAGGTGGAGGGACTGGGAGTGGTGCTGGGGGAAGGTAGAAGGAGGTTGGGGAGTTGGAGGGGGCTGGGAGGGGTGCTGGGGGAAGGTAGAAGGAGGTGGGGGGAGGTGGAGGGGACTGGGAGGGGTACTGGGGGAAGGTAGAAGGCTGGGGGAGTTGGAGGGGGATGGGAGGCTGCTGGGGGAAGGTGGAAGGAGGTGGACTGAGGTGGAAGGGGCTGGTAAGGGTGCTGGGGGGAGGTGAAGGGGGCTGGGAGGAGTACTGGGAGGTGGGACTGCTTCTGGTGCCATCTGGTGGCTTCGATGGCCTCCTGCTTCTTTCATGCAACACATTCTTACCAAGTGCGGGCTGCACACCATGCGTGCACTGTCCTGAGCGATAGGAACAGCAGCATCCAGGACAGGCCGGGCTCGGAGCCTCCCGTGTGCCAGGAATACAGGCAGCCTGGGGCCGGGGCATTCTGTGCTCCAGACCCAAAGTGAAGGTCCAGCTTCAGATGTGGCCGGAGCCAGGCGAAAATCCTGAGGTTCTGCTGGTCGGGACTGCTAATCCATCATGTGCTAGGATCCATTCTCAGGCAACCCCAGCCTGTCTCCCCCCCGACTGGGGCACATCATGGTTGGGTCTCTTTGAAGGGCAAGGCCTCCATTGATGGAGTCCCTTTTGGACTGGGGCAGTTCCATTCAAGCCATGAGGAAAAACAGGTGGCTGTGTCTCCCCCACAAGAGAAAGGGGTACAAGGCAAACCGACAGGCCAGGTGTGGTGGCTCATGCCTATAATCCCAGCACTTTGGGAGGCCGAGGCAGCTGGATCACGAGGTCAAGAGATCAAGACCATCCTGGTCAACGAGGTGAAACCCCATCTCTACTAAAAATACAAAAATTAGCTGGGCACAGTGGCGCGTGCCTGTGATCCGAGCTACTCGTGAGGCTGAGGCAGGAGAATTGCTTGAACCCAGAAGGCGGAGGTTGCGGTGAGCCAAGATCCCGCCATTGCCCTCCAGCCTGGGTAACAAGAGCGAAACTCCGTCTCAAAAAAAAAGGCAAACTGACCTCACCTGCTCCAGGGACCTCTGAAATGACATCGGGTTCCCCGATTCCCAGAGAAACTTGGGGTTGGGACAGGTTGCAGGCTCCAAAGTCCAGCATCTAGGTGGGGGCAGGCCCTGGGTAGAAGTTGGGCATAGCTGCTGGGGTGCGTGTGGGTGAGCTGAAGTGGTTAGGTGGCCAAAGACGGGTGGCCTGTCCTTTCTAGTGCTTTCCAAGTCCCATTTTCCTCCAGAGTGGTGGGAGGAGGGGCAGCGGGCAGCTTAGCCCAGGGCTACATCCTGCTTGCTTCTTACCGGCAGGAAAGTCCTCTGCTAAATCAGCTCCTCACCCACTATCACCTGGTCCCCCAGTGCGAAAGGCCAAATTTGTCTGTTAGGAAGTTCACTGCAGGAAGAGGCCCAGCTGGGAGGGGCCTGGGGGACCAGAGAGGACTGTCACACCCCTCCAGCGAGGAAAGCTAGCCTCGGACAGCAGATGAGGCAGTGGGCATGGAGAAAGGGTGGTGTGTTGTATTCAGGGGCAAGTTTGTCAGCTGGGTAGGAGGTGCCTCTGCCCTAGGGCCCCTTACCCCTGCCCTGCCACGTGCTTTTCCCAGGTGCCCTGCCCCAAGCCAGTCCTGTCACCAGCAGCCTCCTCCTGTGGCCCTGGGACTGTCCTCCACTGGTGGCTCCCTCCAGGGGGGCTTCCCTGCCCACCCACCCCCCCGAAGTTCTGATGGTGCCTCTCCTGGAAGGCTGCCTCCAGGCACTCTTGCCATCCAAAACTCCTCAGTGACCACTCCCCTGCAGTGCCACGATCCCAGTGATGACAGGGTCCTGTCTCTCTGCCCTCGCCCCTCCTCTGCCCGCTAAGCGGCCTGGCCACGGAGGCCTCGAGGATTGCCGGCGGGAGCCTCGGGGGAAGCCTGACACCTTCCCATCTCCCTGTCTTCCACCCAAGGGGCGAGAACGGAGCCGCCCAGCCCCCGCCTCGCCCCAGGAGGTCCAGGGGCGCGGCCGGTCACCAGGGGAACCCGGCTCCCGCCCCGCCCGGCAGTGGCGTAGACAAAGGTCTCTTCCCTCCCCCGGCGGCCGCGGCCATGGCCGCGGTTCCCACAGCGCCGGGGCTGCGCTCCCGCCTCCTCCTCCTTTAGCTGAAGCTCCATTAACTCCGCACAAAACCTAGGCCCGCTTCGGCGGAGCCCAGTGAAAGGCGCCCCGGAGAGGCCGCCCGCGTCCTCCCCCCAACCCAGCCCCAGCGAGGAGCGGGGCCACCCCCAGGCCCGTGCTGGGCTCCAGGCCTGACGCCGGCTCCCAGTGGGGAAACTGCGGCTCGGGGCTTGGTCATGCAAGAGGGACTGGGCTGAGACATGTTCCTGGTCTGTCCGTATTGGTCCCGGACACGCGGCCGTTCGCCAGGACCGCGTTGGCTGTCTTAATTTGGTTGCAGATATTTAAAAATCAGATTTGACATTAAAACTCGGATTTTAATGTTTTTAAAAAGTTTTTTGGGCCACTGGGATCCTGATTTTTCACTTAGCTGGAGGGGGCTGCCCAGCCAGGAAGCCCCCACCCAGGGCTTTAACAGGGCGGAAGTCAGTGGCCGGTGCTCCAGGGGGCAATGCTCCTTCGAGCCTTCGCCGCTTTCCAGTGGGAAGGCGTCAGGCTTCCCCCAAGGCTCCCGCCTGCAATCCTCGCGGCCTCCCCGGCCGGGCCGCTCAGCGGGTGGAGGGTGGCGCGGGCGACGAGACAGGACCGTCATCACGCGGCCCGAAGCGCGGCACAGAAGCCGAAGAGGAGTGGGGCGCTGCGGACGTCTCTGCCAAGGCAGCTCCCCGCGCCTGGCCACCCGCGGGGCTGACTTCACAAGACCCTGTGCACAAAGGCCGCTTCTCGGACTTGGGATAGTCAGGGTGGGCTTCCTAGAAGAGGTGGCAGCTAAGGAGGAGAAAGGTTCTGGGCACCAAAAAGGATCCGTTTGGGGCCTGCGTCTGGGTAGGAAGGCCCCGCGGTGACGCCGCTGTCCCTGGTCCTGACAGCCCTGGCCCAGCGGTCGCGCCTCTCTCAGAAGCGAGGTCAAGGCAAGCCGGGGCAGGAAGCCTGGAAGGTTCTCCCGAGCGCGCCGCGGATCAAGGCCTGCAGGTCCTGCGCGAGAAAGCCAGGCCGGCCCGGTCCCAGCGCCTTTCTTTCGGCTGATTTTCTATCCAGTGCCGAGTCTTTAGGTGATGCTATTCATATTTCTGTCTTGACGAAAAATGTTTCCCATGGTTCACCCCCGGCTTCTTGGCTTTTGACGGTTCTCCCTCGTCGGGGAGGGAGTCGCGGGGGTGGGGATGCCCGGGTCGAGCCCAGACGCCGGCGCAAGTCCGGGGAAGCGCGCGGCCCCCAGGAGATGCGAGCGGGAGGGAGGTGTCCGCCCTTGGTGCCCCCCCCGGGAAAGGGAGGGCCGGTTTCCGCTCTGCCACCGCCTCCGAGGCGCAGGAAGCAGCGCATTTGTCTCCGGGAACCCCCCCCCGCCCCAGGCTACCCAGCCCGGGAAATCCGCCCGGGCCTCCCGGCCCCGCCCCGGAGCCCCGCCCCCGCGCCCGCCACCGCCTCCGCGGCCCTCCGCTCAGCTCAGCTCGGGCTCGGGCTCGGGCGCGGGGCGCGGGGCAGGACACGGGCGGAGCGGCAGCCGCTCCGGACATGTCGCGCCCTCGCGCCGGCTTCTACCGGCAGGAGCTGAACAAGACCGTGTGGGAGGTGCCGCAGCGGCTGCAGGGTCTGCGCCCGGTGGGCTCCGGCGCCTACGGCTCCGTCTGGTAGGGGCGGGGCAGAGGGGGTGCTGGGTGGGGGCCGGGCCGGGCGGGAGAGCGCGCCCCCTCCTCGCCCGCGCGGGGTTCTCGGCGTGGGGAGGGGCCTCGCCCTGCCTCCGCCCCCGGGCGCCGCGCGGATCGGTGGAATGAATGGGGGGTGGCGCAAAGAAACTTTCCAAGCCGACGCCGCTCCCGATTCGGAGCGCCCCCCACTAGGCCTGAGTCCTGGGGGTCACAGTCGGCGTGAGGGTGGGTCTCTGGCGAACGAGCGCCGAGTCCCCCGACGTCCGGGCCCCTCAATGTCTGAGCGCCCACCTGGGATTTACTGGGTCAGGTCAGGCAGTCTCTGGGGTCTAGCGGATGCCCCTCCCCCGCCCGGGGCGGGGACTATTGTTTGAAAAAAGAAGCCCCGTTCCCGGAAGTCAAGACCTGTTCCCTGGGATGGCATCAGGCTCCCCCTCAGACCACCATCCCCATTTAGGCCCTGGGGCCAGAGGACCTGGCCTGGGGCCCAGAGAGACGACAGCCAGGGTGGGGGAGGGGCCGACTGGGCCAAGGCCTCTGTTAGTTACTCAGGCAGCCCGGGCTGCAGGGGCTTGGGGTGAGGTGGTTACTGGGAGTCCCAAGTGGCAGCTATCATGTTGACTGGGAGGCGGACCACTAGTATGGGGTTTGAGAGGTGCAGCTGGGTCCTTATGGAGGCCAATGCCCGATAGCTGCTGCCCACTGTGGGGTCCTGGTGGGGCGGAAGGCAGAGGCAGCCAGGGCAGGGCATTGCCCCAGGCACTTGCAGGTTGGGAGTGGGACCTCTAGGCCCACTAGAGGCGGAGCTCAGCAGGTGGCATCAGGGGCCGGGGGTCCCAGGGTGGGCTCTCTTCTTGTGGGGTCCCTACCCTTCCATCAGAAGCTGCAAGTGGGTCATGCTAGCCATCCCAGCCCAGATCTGTCTTCCTCTCTGTGACCTCGAGGTCAGGAAGATGGTCCCGGTCAGTGTGAGAGTGGCCACAGGGAACTAGGGTGGGGCCTGTCTGGATTAGCCTCTGCGACTTGCCTTCTGGAAGTTCCTGAGGGGTGTCCTGTTCTCCAAGTGAGGCCTGGTCTCTGCACCTCTGGCCTGTTTACTTAGTTCTACTGCCAAGGCTGGGGACAGGGTGCCAGTTGCCTGTCACCTGACTGCACAGATGCAATTGGCCAAAATAACCTGCTGCCCACGTGGGGGGCCACTCCCCTCACCACGCCAGGTGCACCCTTCCCTGGTCATAGGCTGCAGGCATGGCTGCCCCAGGCACCTCGTTGACTTTCCTGAACCACGGGGCCCATGAACATCCCAGACCCAGCAGGAGCCGCCCCTGATCCCCCTGTGTGGGCATGGGGTGTGGCCTCAGCCTCCACTTGCTCTTGGACAGGATCCCAAGAGACAGAACTGGGAGAGAGAGAAGGGACAAGTATCAGCCAGAGAAAACGGGCTGTGCAAAGGCCTTGCCTTTAGCAGGGCTGAGGGCAGTGAAACAGGGGAGGCTGGGGGCGAGGGCCACCTGCAAAGGGAGGGTGGGCTGAGGAAGCTGGCGCAGGGTGGAGGGTTTGGACACCTGGGAAGTGGGGCTGGGCGAAGGGCTGTTCTGTGCGTTGGGTAGATGCCCTCAGCTGGACATCACCTACTGTCCAGGTTACAAATAATGATGCAGTAAACACCTCTGACCAACTTTCCCTCCGCATTTTGAACACTAAGAGGCACTGGGGGTCCAGGGGCTTTGAGGTGGCTCTAGAAACCTCCTCCGAGAGCCTCCTGGACCCATGGGGCCTAGTGGGCAGAGGGAGGCTGGTCTGATGCAGGCGAACGCCAGTGGCTGGTGTCCTGCAGTGTTTTTCCTCGCTGGGTGGGAGGCCTCGCCGCCAGCCTCGCTTTGAATGGGGGCGCGAATCGGTGGGGCCAGGGGACAGAGAAGGTCCAGGACCTTGCGGCGGGGAACACACGCATGGTGGTCCAGCCCCAGGGGTCCTTCCCAGCAAGCGCGGAGGCCCGAGGGCAGAGGCCGAGCTGGGGTGGCGGGGCCGGGGCGGAAGAACCCCACGGTCCCATCCCCACGGAGGAGCGGCGCCGCCCGGCCGGGAGCGCGTGTGCGCGCGGGCCGCCGCCCACGGACCCCTCCCGGCGCCGCCTCATTCGCCCGCCTTCCAGTTCGGCCTACGACGCGCGGCTGCGCCAGAAGGTGGCGGTGAAGAAGCTGTCGCGCCCCTTCCAGTCGCTGATCCACGCGCGCAGGACGTACCGGGAGCTGCGGCTGCTCAAGCACCTGAAGCACGAGAACGTGAGCCGGGGGCGGGCTGTGGGGAGGGCGCGTCCGGGGCGGGGCCGCGGCGCAGCCAATGGGCGGGTGAGCCCGGGCCGTGGGGGCGGGGAAGGGGCGGGACCCGGGGTGCTGAACGGCGGCCGGGGGTTCGCCGCCGGGTTCTGATCCCTGTCCCCCGCGCCACCCAGGTCATTGGGCTTCTGGATGTCTTCACGCCGGCCACGTCCATCGAGGACTTCACCGAAGTGTGAGCGCCGGGGCGGGCGAGGCAGCGCCCTGGGGAGCGCGTTCGCGGAGGGGCGGTGGGGCCCTGTCCTGACGGCCCCCCTCCGCAGGTACTTGGTGACCACCCTGATGGGCGCCGACCTGAACAACATCGTCAAGTGCCAGGCGCTGAGCGACGAGCACGTTCAGTTCCTGGTTTACCAGCTGCTGCGCGGGCTGAAGGTGGGGCGCCCTGGGCTTTGCGGGTTTCCAACGCGCGGGGCGGGCGGGCTGGGCCCAGCGCTGACCGCGACCCCCCTCCCGCAGTACATCCACTCGGCCGGGATCATCCACCGGGTAGGTGCGGCCGCAGGGTGAGGGTTGGGTCTGGCAGGGCTCTGCCCCGGCCTCCTGCCCTCACGCTCACGCTCGTAGTGACCTGCAGGACCTGAAGCCCAGCAACGTGGCTGTGAACGAGGACTGTGAGCTCAGGGTGAGGCCTGTGGGCAGGGGTGGGCAGGGTGGCGGCGGAGCCTGTTCGGGGCTTGAAAACACCTTGTGGTCGCCCCAGATCCTGGACTTCGGGTTGGCCCGCCAGGCAGACGAAGAGATGACGGGCTACGTGGCCACGCGCTGGTACCGGGCCCCTGAAATCATGCTCAACTGGATGCATTACAACCAGACAGGTGCAGGGGGAAGGCCTGGCCGGGACGGAGGCCAAAGGCCCTGGCCCTGCATGCTCACTCTTGGTGGGCAGGCAAGGTCCCCAAAAATGTGAGACCCACATTCAAAAGCAGCCCTTCAGAGGCTGCTAGAACATGATGGGTGCTGGACCCCTCTGGCCCCGCAGCTGTCGCCTCCCCCTGCCCAGGGCTGCATGTGGCAGAGGAGGGGGTCTACCTGTCTTGGGGTCTGGATGTGACTTCGGGTCTCCTGGAGGAGGGATGTGGGGTGGGCACACTGACGGAGGCCCCCCGCCCTCACACAGTGGACATCTGGTCTGTGGGCTGCATCATGGCTGAGCTACTCCAGGGCAAGGCCCTCTTCCCGGGAAGCGACTGTATCCTTGGCTCAGGTTGGGGAGCAGGGTCAAACGGGGCCCCTCCTGTAGGGTAGGGGCTGGTGCTGGCCCCTTCTGGTGGGTCTTGCCTCCTCTGCCCTCCCCCATGCCATGCTACCTTGGGGTGGCCATCCTCAGCTATAGGAGAGCGGGCTCTGGGCAGTGCCCCAAATCTTGGGTCTGAGGGCCTAGGAGAGGTCCGTGGCTGGCCGGTGGGTGTTTCCTGAGTGATGCAGACATTGACCAGCTGAAGCGCATCATGGAAGTGGTGGGCACACCCAGCCCGGAGGTTCTGGCAAAGATCTCCTCGGAACACGTGAGTAGGTGCCCGCCAGCCAGCAGCTCCCTCTGCTGGTTGAGCCCCCAGGCTCTCTGGGGGAGAGGGTAGTATTGAAATGCAGGGACAATGTGGGGAACATGGGACGTGGTGGGATAGAGCCCAGGGCAGGTGCCCAATCCCTGCAGGGGGAACAGGAGAACAGGAAAGACATTCCTGACACCAGGGACGGTGGGTGCTAAGCCATGATCCCAGCAAGCAGTGCCTGGCCATGGCAGTGGGGGTGGGCTGGGGGCAAGGAGTGACCAGCTCCTGCAGGCATCAGGGGCTAAGTGAGGAGCTAGAGCCACCAGCTCTACGCAGAGGGGTTCACTGGTCTGCCTATGCCCTTGTCCTGGCCCGTTGGAGTGAATGAGTGTAGTGGCTTGCTGAGAGAAGCCCCAGTTTGGGGCCAGGGAGGCAGAGAGTGAGCAGCCTCCCCAGGTGGTGTTGTTTGCTCCCAGGCCCGGACATACATCCAGTCCTTGCCCCCCATGCCCCAGAAGGACCTGAGCAGCATCTTCCACGGAGCCAACCCCCTGGGTGAGGACCGCCCTGGGGCTAGACTGGGCTCCATATCTGGTCCTGGATGTAGAGCTGACCCCCACCCCCAATGGCTCTCCTGCAGCCATAGACCTCCTAGGAAGGATGCTGGTGCTGGATAGTGACCAGAGGGTCAGTGCGGCAGAGGCGCTGGCCCACGCCTACTTCAGCCAGTACCATGACCCTGAGGATGAGCCAGAGGCCGAGCCGTACGACGAGAGTGTTGAGGCCAAGGAACGCACCGTGGAGGAGTGGAAGGGTGGGCATGGCAGTGGCTGGGGTTGGGTCCAGGGGCCTTCGGGCTGCCTTACCCCAGAGGCAGGAAGTTCCCAGAGGAACTCCAGTTCCTCTCCAGACTGGTCAGGGGCAGAAGGGCGTGCAGGTGTCCGCACAGGCTGCGGAGTGGCACAGGGCAGGTTCTGGCTCCCAGACTCTGTGCTGAGGCTGCTGTCACAGTGTGGTGGGCCTGGGCCGGGTGGCAGATGCCAGATAAGCAGGTGGGAGGCTGGGCTGTGGGAGGCACAAGCTTACCCTTTCCCTTCACCTCCTAGAGCTCACCTACCAGGAAGTCCTCAGCTTCAAGCCCCCAGAGCCACCGAAGCCGCCTGGCAGCCTGGAGATTGAGCAGTGAGGTGCTGCCCGGTAGCCCCTGACAGCCTGTGGAGGGGCCTGGGCCTGCACCTTTCCACAGTTGATCTGGTTTCCTCAAGAGGCGCCTCCCATACTCCTGTGGTCACTGACTCCTGGTCTAGGACCCCTTGCCTTCAGGAGAATCCACACACGTATGCATGCACAAACATGTTGTACATGTGCTTGCCATGTGTAGGAGTCTGGGCACAAGTGTCCCTAGGCCTACCTTGGTCCTCCTGCCCCCTCCTGGCCACTGCACTCTCCACTGGGACCTGACTGTGGGGTCCTGGATGCCAAAGGACTTCCCCTGGGGAGTTCCCCTGTCTGTCCTAGGCCGACCCATGGGGAGTGTCAGCCAAGGGATCTCTTCTGTCTCAGGGCTCTGGAGGGCGCACTGGGGCCGGGAACCCCGGAGACTGAAAGGGAGAGGTCTCAGTCACTACAGATGCTCAGCCTAGAAGTAGGGGACTGCCCTGGTCACTGCTGAGACCCACAGGTCTTGAGAGGCAGAGCCAGTGTGCCACCAGGCTGGGCAGTGACAACCATCAGGTATCAAATAAGAAAAGCTGCCTGGAGCCTTGTGTTCACCCATGGGTGTGGGCACGCGTGGATGGGCATGCACTCCCTGTGTTCATGTCAGGGCACATGTGGTGCATGTGAATCCGTGAGCACCCAAGGGACAGCAGCCATGTCTGGCAAGAACCCTGAGCTGGGGCGGGTGTGCTGCTGCCTTCCCTCCCCCCAGTTCCTGATGCTTGAGGGATGTTGGGATTCAGACTAGAGGCTCCAGTGGGCCAAAGGGTAACCACGTGAGCACAGTAGGGGTTTTTTCCTCGGACGTCGGAGCTATAGCAGGTTCCTGAGGCTGGAGGTGGGCGTTGGTTCAGCCTTGAGGACTCTAAGGCAGGCCGAACACGTAGATGTGGACTTGGATTCCAACACTCCTGTCCCAGCACCCTGGCCCACTCTCTACCTCTGCCCACCGTGTGGCCCTGCAGCCGGAGATCGGAGGTGCTCTGGTCTGCGGGTTAGTCATCCTCTTTCCTTGTACCAGGATGGAGCTGATCCAATAACCCCGGAAGATGGGACCCTGCTCAGAGCTGAGTTGGGAGTGTGGCTTTGCCCTGGAAAGGCGGTGACCTCTTGCCTTGAGGGGCCCAGGAAAGCCTGGGTGTCAAGTGCCTGCACCAGGGGTGCACAATAAAGGGGGTTCTCTCTTGCTCGGCTCATATCCAAAGGCCACTACAGGTCCTGCTGCTGGGGGTGGGGGAAGTGTCTGGGTCACCCTTCATCACTTGTCTCCAGCTGGCCAGATCCCTCAGTCTCTCAGTCAGACAAGCAGCCATCTTCTGGCACCCTCCCTGCTCCCCAGAGGGTCTGAGAGTCCAGGGGGACCAAGAGAAGACATGGCTGATGGGTGGGCTCTGTGCATAGGGTGTGACAGCCACCCAGATGGTGACCCCAGCTGCCCTATGGGGATGTACTGGGCAGGCTTGGCTTCTGGCCAAGATCCAGACCCCACCCCCCACAGTGGTCAGGGAGGCTGGCTGGGGAGTAGCTGGGTGTCTCAGGGAGAAAGGGTCTGCCCATCCCTGGTGGGGTGGGGCTGGGCAGGGTAAGGAAAATAGCTTTCCTTTCCTTTCTGTTGAAGGTTAAAGAGCCCACTTTAATCTGAGGGATGTATGCGATAGTCCCATTCCCACTATACACGGTAGTTTACTGTGGGGGAGGGTCCAGGCCATGCTGGGTCAGGCAGCATCTCTGGGGGCCAGGGACAGCCTGTGCCCCTTGCCTGGGTCTTGGATGGGGGGTGGAAATCATCTGGGAGTTGGGGGCCTCCTGGGGCCTAGTCAGTGTAGTGTTCAGTCCTGGGAAGTCCAGTGTTGGGGTGTGGGGGAGCAGAATGGGGACACAGCCCCACCTCAGATGCCTGGTCTGTGTGGGGCCTGCTGGACCCCTGAGCCCCACCATGAGGAGTGAGGGGGACAGCAGTGGAAGCAGGGCTTCCTGGAAGACGTGGATGGAGTGCCACAGGCAGCCCAGGGCGCAGAGGTTGCAGGCCACAGCCAGTTGTGGTTTGGATAGCCCTGGGCTACCCCGGCTCACTGGTCACCAGCTGGTGAATGCAGACAGCCGGAAGCCCAGGTGTAAAGCTACTCCCACCCTTGAGCTGCTGATTCATGGCAGGAGGGCGGGGCGGGGGGCCCCAGGGACCTTGGTACCCACCAACCCAGTGGGTTCCAGGGGTGCACCCCCCATCCTCCCTGAGACCCAGATCACTGGGCTGGGGAAGGGGTGTCAGGGTGGGGCTTTTCACTCTGAAGCATCTGGTCCAGGATGGAGCCAGACCGATGGGAGGATGATGCCCACACGGAGGGGACAGGCTGAGGGCCCAGCAGGTCCTCGTCCCTGTAGGAGAGAGTGCAGCCATGAGCTTTGCAGGACAGAACAGGCAGGGGTGGGACAGGTAGATGCACTGACACTTGCAATGCGTGGAACAGGCACCCCACAGACGAGAGAAGGGGAGGAGCTGGGGGTGCAGGAGGGCCCACGGGGACCTATGGGACTGGGAGGCCCAGGGTCAGTGGCCACAGCAGTGGGGTTGGGCATGCAGCTTGAGGAGTCTGGGAGACAGGGACGCAGGCAGGACAGGTGCAGGTGGACCCCACGTGCGGGGACAATGGTCAGGCACAGCGGCAGGGTATCCTTGGGGGTGAACCTGGGAACACAGGGCTCAGCCCAGGGAACTCAGGGCAGGGGGACAGTGACTTGCAGCTGCAGACCCAAGTCGGTTCTCAGGCTGTCACGGATGGGCCTAGCGCCCTGGAACTGTGGGGAGTAAGGACTGGAGCCCGGCGGGGATCCTGCTGAGAACGCCCCTCCTCACCCCCCAAGGCAGGGAAGTTCAGCCAAAGGGCAGAGGCTGGCATGGGTATCTCCGCGCCGCGTCCAGCCCTAGGTCCGGACAAAGCTGCGGGGCGGCGCTCCCCTCCCCCTGCGCTTCCCCCCAGGCTCCGGCCCTCCCCCGGCGGCGGCCGCCTCGGGTTTCCGGAGGGGCCGGAGGGCGGGCGAGGGCGTCACGTGCGCGCGGCCCGCGGGCCGGTTGGTCCCCGGGCGGGGGAGGGGCCGTGCGCTGCCTGGGTCGGGGCTGGGGTCGGGCAGGGGTTGGCACCTGGGACATCCCTGCGGGAAGAGCCGGGAGCAGGAGCGCCCCAGCGGCGGGCGGGCGGGCGGGCGGACAAGCCGCGCGGAGCGGGCCCGGGGCGCGCGCCGAGGGAGCCCCGCCGATCCCGGGTTACCGGTCCTGGGGGAACCGCCCGCGGGCTCTGCGGAGTGGGCGGCTCCCGGGCCTGCCATGAGCTCTCCGCCGCCCGCCCGCAGTGGCTTTTACCGCCAGGAGGTGACCAAGACGGCCTGGGAGGTGCGCGTCGTGTACCGGGACCTGCAGCCCGTGGGCTCGGGCGCCTATGGCGCGGTGTGGTGAGCGCGGGCCGGGTGGGGCGGCCGGCGGGGCGGGCGGGGCCTGCGCGGGGTGCCCGGCCTTCCCGCTAAGCGTGTGCCCCGCAGCTCCGCGGTGGACAGCCGCACCAGCGCCAAGGTGGCCATCAAGAAGCTGTACCGGCCCTTCCAGTCCGAGCTGTTCGCCAAGCGCGCCTACCGCGAGCTGCGCCTGCTCAAGCACATGCGCCACGAGAACGTGAGTCGCGCGGCCCCGCTCCGGGAAGGCGCCGCACCACGGCTCGGCTCGGCTTCCCCACCCAGCGACGCCCCCTCAGCAGGCGGCTGCGGGGCGGGGCGGGGACCGGGCCGTGGATCCCCAGGGGAGGAGGAGAGCAGGGCTCAGCCCCCGTCTTCTCTGCCAGCCCCGGGAAGGACTCACCCCCTCAACTCCGCGCCTCAGCCAGGCCCTGGTCAGGGGACACGAGTTGGCCAGGCTCAGGGATTCTCCAGCTCTCATGCCAAACCCTGCCCCCAGCCAGGAAGCCCGTGGTGAGAGGACGCTCCCAGTGGGCCGATTTTCCTGGAAGGGGCACCTCCCCTCTTTCCCATCCGGACCCCTCTCCAGCTCCTCTGTGGAGCCCACTCTGTTGCGGTCCATTTCCCGAGTCTTCCGACCCAGCGGGGGGCGAGGGGGGCGCGTCCAGAACGTAGGGAGAGTGTTGGACCCTCAGGAGCCCCTGGGGGTGCAGGGTGTAGGGAGCTGGGGTTTGGGGGCCACTGGGTGCGGTGGCCATCACACAGACACCCTCCCGTTCCTTGGGTGGTGGTGGGGGCCCATCCTTTCCAGCCCTGCCCATGAGATACACAGCTGCCCTGGGCCTCTCTCATGGCTGTGGCTGGCTGTTGAAAGCCCTACCTTTCTGCCAGGGGCGCTCCCGTTTCTGGACACAGTTCCACTTGTCCACTGCCCCCCACGTCACTCCTGCCCTGCCATTTGAGCTCCTGGACCCTAGCTTCAGGGTCACACGCTCTGGACCCTCCTGGGTCATCCAAGCCACCAGCGCCCTGGGAGAACGAGTCCCTGCGTCCATCAGCAGACTGCCCCCACCACTCCCTCAGCCCTTGAGTGGGTGCTTTTCTCAGGCTTCCCATGCCCACCCTGACCCCAGCTCACCCCCCTGGCCCTGTGAAGCCCCTTTGTGGTGGACAGCAGTACCGCCGCCATCTCACCACCTCCCAAGTCACACCCAGGCCTTGTCCCAGGAGTGTACCCGCCCCCACCCTTGGTTTTATCCAGCTCCTCCCCTGCAGCCCCCTGGCCCCACCCACCCACTCACCTGTCTGTTCCTTGCCCCTGTCCAGCCAAGAGCCCCGGGCTTTTCTTTTTTCTCTGGAGTCTTGTTGCCCAGGCTTGAGTGCAATGGTGAAATCTTGGCTCATCGAAACATCTGCCTCCCTGGTTCAAGCAACTCTCCTGCCTCAGCCTCCCAAGTAGCTGGGACTACAGGCACGCGCCACCACACCCAGCGGGGGATTTTGTATTTTTAGTAGAGCTGGGGTTTCACCATGTTAGGCTGGTCTGGAACTTCCAACCTCAGGTGATCCGCCCACCTTGGCCTCCCAGAGTGCTGGGATGACAGATGTGAGCCACCGCGCCCAGCCACCAGGGCTTTTCTGTAGTCACTGCTCCCTGTGCCTGTGGGTCCACCCCCTGGGCTCCTGGCCTGCAGCTTTGGCTCTTCCCCTGGAACGCCATCATCCTGGGAGACTAAGGGTTTGCAAGGCCATGTGCCTTGCTCAGCTGGGGAGGAGGCTCTGGCACAGGCCCCAGTCCTGACGTTTCCAGGCGGGCCCCCATACCACAGAGGCCAAATCCATCCATCTGATGGCCCCTAGCCCACAGGACCCTGTTCTCCGTCGTGGGCTAAACCACTCTCCCAGGCACCCTCCAGCTCTCATGACTGCAGTCCCGGCTGCTCCCAGGCCTCCCTAGACCTCGCCCCACCCACCGTTCCTTCTCTTTCCACACTCTTGCCCTCAGCTCTGGCCCACGTGGCTACAGTGGAGCTGTCCTTCCAGCTTGTGCCCATTCTTGCCTCACTCCGGCTGGTCCCTATACCACAGCCAGGACACATTTAGCATCACACCCCTGTTTAAATCCTTCCCCGTCTCTTGGGATCAAAGCCAAACCTTCACCTGGTGTGTGCTTCCTGCCGGCTCCCACTGGCCTCTCCTCAGCCCCTCCCTGGCCTGGGCCTCGGCCACCTGGCCTCCCTCCCTTTGTTCCTCAAACTCTCCCAGTGTTCTCCCTCCTGCCTCGGCTACTCTGTGTGTGCCCTCTGCCAGTTTCCCTCTGTCCACACGTCCACCTGCTCCTCTGTCCTTGGCTATGCAAAACTCCAGGCCTCTCTGGGACCCTGGAGGCCCTGTCACCCCAAAATGCTGAGGTGGCAGTTATCTTATGACCTGTCCACTGTCCGTCTCCCCAACCAGGGGCGTTGTGGGGACCAGGTCTGACTGGTCACGGTGCTGCCTGCCTGGGCCTCTCTCCCCATAGCGCTGTCCTCACCCTGGGCCTGGGTCTGCTTGGTTGGGGAGAAGATGGGAGAAAGGGTCAAGGGGCAGGAGCCCTTTGGATGGCAAGCCAGCCTAGGCTTGGGGTTGCCCCTCCCCCAGAAGATCCCGGCTGTCACCATCCAAAAATAACCTGTCTGTGGGTATGTGTGCCAGGGTTGGGCCACACTGCCAGTGGCCAGTGGGCAGAGCCAGGCCCTTTGGACAGTGGGGCATGACAACAACAGCTGCAGAGGGGGTTTTCTGCCCAGAGGGCTGTGCCACTCTTGGGGGGGTGCCCCAGCCCATGTCCTCTACGGCACCCTCAACCCTACCTGCCCTCCCCCCGCCCCAGGTGATTGGGCTGCTGGACGTATTCACTCCTGACGAGACCCTGGATGACTTCACGGACTTGTGAGTGCTGACCTGGGCTGGCTGCCAGGCACAAGGGGTGTTGGGCAGCTCTGGGTAGTGGCTTCAGGTTCTAGGTTGGCATGGGGCTCTCTTCCTGCAGGCTGAGTGGGGGATGCACATTGCCCAGCCCCTCCCCCACATGCTCCTGGGACCCACGGGCACTGGCACTGCCCAGCAGAGCTGGGGCTGCCGCCTCCCTCCAAGTCTGGCACCTGGGCCCTCTCCAGCACTGGAGGTGTGAACCTTGGACCTGAGCATTTGTTAACAGGAAGGTCCCGTGCCTGGGACCTTCCTGGCACCAAGTGTGTGGCCTGTAATGGGAGCTGCTGACCTTTTCCGACGGGTACAGGAGAAGTAGTAGGGAGGACCTGCCCTGCCCGTGCCCTGTAGCCGACCACCCTGGGACTCACACCTTGTCGGCCAAGAGTGAAGGTCCAGGCTGAGGAAGAGCTGGAGAAGGCAGCAGGCTCCTCTCGCCTGACTTGCAGAGGTCAAGGACCCACGCTGGCCTCAGTGGCCACTGAGAGGGGCTATACCATGCTTCTGTGTCTGTCCACCAGCCCAGCTGACCCCACTGACCCAGATGCCTTGTGAGCCCCTAACACCTCCAGGCACCTCCCTCGTCTCTGGCACAAAGTTCTGAAGTTGAAACCTGACTGCTTCCCTCCCCTGCCTGTGAAGACTTGAGCCCTGCTGCCTCCACCACGCAGCCTCAGCCCCTAGACTGGCACGCAGGGCACTCAGTGGAGGGTTCAAAAACCCCAAAGTGCATCCTCCACTCTGCCTGACAGTCCTCGGGGTGGGAGGGAGGTGTGAGCATTGCTGGCAGTGATGGGGTTGGGTCTGGATGGAGCCTGGCACTACAAGGTGCGGCTTCGAGGATGCCGAGGCCAGTGGGGATAGGTGCTGCAGGGGGATCTTCCCAGAGGCACTTGCTGGAGCGGGATGGGTCTGAGCCTGGGCCTGCTGGGTGGGCCTCCAGGATGCAGAGGCTGGCCCTGCCTACTGATGGCACCCGGCCCCTCCCACAGTTATCTGGTGATGCCATTCATGGGCACTGACCTGGGGAAGCTCATGAAGCACGAGAAGCTGGGAGAGGACCGGATCCAGTTCCTCGTGTACCAGATGCTGAAGGGGCTGAAGGTATGGACCCCGGGGGAGGCTGCAGGGAGGTGGCAGGGCCTGGTGGCCGGGTGGAGGAGGGTCTTGTGGCTCTGAGACCTTGGTACACTGATGCCTGCCCAACCCTCTGCCCCCACAGTATATCCACGCTGCCGGCATCATCCACAGAGTGAGTCCTGGAGAGGAAGCCACCCATCAGCCCTCTCCTGGCGCAATTTCCCCGCCTCCACGTCCCACCTGTGAGGATCTCACAGGGTCTGGGGGGGACTGAGCCATGCCCCATGCACAGCCCCTGTTGGGAGCCTGCCTGGTGTCCAGGTCCCTCCCTCCATCCTTGAAGGGCTGCAGAGAGCAAGGGGGCCAGGTCTGGTGGCCCTGTCTCTAGGTCCCACCCAGGCTCTTGGCTGTGCCCATGCCTGGGAGGGTGGGACACAGTGGCCACCTTTCCTCTGCCCCCAGGACCTGAAGCCTGGCAACCTGGCTGTGAATGAAGACTGTGAGCTGAAGGTTTGTGCAGCAGGCCCTGAGCTGGGGCACGGGCTCCCTCAGATCTACCATCTATCTACCTGTCCTCAGGCCTGGGCAGGGGACCTGATCCCAGACTCTAGGCAGTAGCTGAGGAGCGGGTGGGTGGTTGAGCCCCAGGAGGCCGTGGTACAACCCATTGCCATACCTGCAGTGGGTGAGGGTGGGAGGCGCCCCCAGGCCCCTGCCTGGTCCAGGGCAGGGCTGAGGCCTTGTCAGGCAGCAGGTGACAGCAGGGAGAGGGCACCTGCTCTGGAGGGCAGCTGGGCTCAGTGCATTGGCCACAGCGAGGAGCTCAGGGCAGTTTGGGGTCTGGGGCTGTGGCCTCAAGCCCTAGAAGGTTGTCAGGAGGTCCCCGATTGGGGGGTTCAAGTCCAGCCCTCTTGGGGTCTCCTACATTATGGGTGGCCTGACCACTCCTTGGGAGTGCCCTAGACCCCACTTCCCCAATTTTTCCCACAGATCCTGGACTTTGGCCTGGCCAGGCAGGCCGACAGCGAGATGACTGGGTATGTGGTGACTCGGTGGTACCGGGCACCTGAGGTCATCTTGAATTGGATGCGATACACACAGACGGGTGAGGAGCTGCCCAGAGATGTGGGCCTCTCAGGCTGCACCATCTGCTTCCCCTCTTCACGGAGAGCCCCTGGTGGCTGCTTCCAGGGAGGCTGTTGAGCTGGGGTGGGAGCCGGGCGAGTGGGCTGTGTCAGTGTCTCCTCCCTTCCTGTCTCATTCTGGCCCCCTGCCCACGGAGCTGACCAGGGCTTCTATCTCAGTGGACATCTGGTCTGTGGGCTGCATCATGGCAGAGATGATCTCAGGCAAGACACTGTTTAAAGGCAGCGACCGTATCCTCCAGCAGCGGGGCGGCACGGGGCAGGTGGGGCTGGCTCCTGCCCACGTGGAGGGTATTGGGGGAGGATGGCTGCTGCCCAGGTGGAGGGTATTGGGGGGGAAAATGGCTTCTGCCCAGGTGGAGGGTATTGGGGGAGGATGGCTCCTGCCCAGGTGGAGGGTATTGGGGGGGGAAATGGCTTCTGCCCAGGTGGAGGGTATTGCGGGAGGATGGCTCCTGCCCAGGTGGAGGGTATTGGGGGGGAAATGGCTTCTGCCCAGGTGGAGGGTATTGCGGGAGGATGGCTCCTGCCCAGGTGGAGGGTATTGGGGGGGAAATGGCTTCTGCCCAGGTGGAGGGTATTGGGGGGGAAAATGGCTCCTGCCCAGGTGGAGGGTATTGGGGGGGAAATGGCTTCTGCCCATGTGGAGGGTATTGGGGGAGGATGGCTGCTGCCCAGGTGGAGGGTATTGGGGGGGGAGTGGCTCCTGCCCAGGTGGAGGGTATTGGGGAAGGATGGCTCCTGCCCAGGTGGAGGGTATTGGGGGAAGTGGCTCCTGCCCAGGTGGAGGGTATTGGGGAGGGAATGGCTTCTGCCCAGGTGGAGGGTATGGGGGGGATGGCTCCTGCCCAGGTGGAGGGTATTGGGGGGGGGTGGAATGGCTCCTGCCCAGGTGGCAGGTATTGGGGGTTGGGAATGGCTTCTGCCCAAGTGGGGGTGGTGAAGGTCCCAATCTCTGGCACCCGAGCTGTGCTCCTGACCTCAGTACAGACCTGGACCAGCTGAAAGAGATCATGAAGGTGACAGGAACGCCTCCAGCTGAGTTTGTGCAGCGGCTGCAAAGCGATGAGGTCAGTGGTCAGTGGGGCGCTTGGTGGGATTGGGGGCAGACTCAGGCCTCGGTGCTGGCCCCTCACCCTTTCTTCCCACACAGGCCAAGAACTACATGAAGGGCCTCCCTGAGTTGGAGAAGAAGGATTTTGCCTCCATCCTGACCAACGCAAGCCCTCTGGGTAGGGCTGGCTAGCGTGGGGGCCACAGGGTGCTGTAGTGTGGGACCTCCTGAGGTCTGGCCTGACATACCTTCCCCCACAGCTGTGAACCTCCTGGAGAAGATGCTGGTGCTGGACGCGGAGCAGCGGGTGACGGCAGCTGAGGCGCTGGCTCACCCCTACTTTGAGTCCCTGCACGACACGGAAGACGAGCCCCAGGCCCAGAAGTATGATGAGTCCTTTGACGATGTGGACCGCACACTGGATGAATGGAAGCGTGAGTGGGGGCTCTGGGCAGGGGCTCTGGTCAGGGCCTGTGTGGACTTGGTGGGCTCTCTGCAGGTGGTCAGGCTCAGAGTGCTGGATCCCTGTCCCCGGGATGCAAGTCAGGTAAGGAGGATGGGAGGTCAGAGGGCAGTGTGGGGCCATGTGGCCTGGTGGAAGTGACCTCTGGTTGGAGCTGAAAGATAAAGGGAGGGTGTTCCTGGTGGGCTTAGCACAGAGGCTGGCACAGAAGGAGCCTGGGAATGGTGAGGGGCACCTGTGAGCCAGGGCACGAGGGCCCACTTAGCTCTGCCTGGCCCCCAGACCTGCTGCCCTTCCCCATGTCCAGGCTAGAGACCCAGGCCCCCCCGACACCCCCACCACGTCCACTCGTCCCTATGGCCAGAGACCCAGGCCCCCCCACACCCCCACCACATCCACTCGTCCCTATGGCCAGAGACCCAGGCCCCCCCGACACCCCCACCACGTTCACTCGTCCCTATGGCCAGAGACCCAGGCCCCCCCGACACCCCCACCACGTCCACTCGTCCCTATGGCCAGAGACCCAGGCCCCCCCCGACACCCCCACCATGTCCACTTGTCCCTATGGCCTCTCTGCTCACAGCTCCTGAATTCATCGTTGCCTTTCCTTGCCCCATTTTGGGATTCCCCCCACCTGGACAGCCGTATACCCAAGATAGTCCCCAGGGCCTCATCTGTCTCTTCCTAGCCCCCGTGAGCAGTCTAGACCCCAAGCCCAACAGCTGGGCACTATGTCCTCTATAGCAGGGGCCATCCCCTCATCTTGGAGGGCTGGCCAAGGCCTATGAAGCCTCAGGCTGCACTCAGGGAAGCCTCCCCAGCTCCCATAGCTATGATGCAGCCTGGGGCTGTGCTGGACCTGGCTTTATTTCTGCCCCAAGATGGCAGGCTGTGCTGTCTTCTTCATAGCTGCATGACTAGCCTGGGGCTGGGTGCCTGGGGACAGCAGGTGGGCTCTGGGATCAGTGTCGTGTTCCAGGCCCTGTCCTGGCTCTGCCTTGGGCTAGATGGGCTGAGATTCTTTACCTGTGCTCCTTAGGGCAATGGGTCCCTGAATGCCTGCAGTAGGGCCTCTACCCTTAGCTGTTCTTAGTCATGTGCTTATGAGTTTGGGCCGAGAGCAGTGGCTCATGCCTGTAATCCCAGCACTTTGGGAGCCTGAGGCGGGTGGATCACAAGGTCTGGAGTTCAAGACCAGCCTGGCCAACATAGTGAAACCCTGTCTCTACTAAAAATATAAAAAATTAGCTGGAAGTGGTGGCAGGCACCTGTAGTCCCAGCTACTCAGGAGGCTGAAGCAGGAGAATTACTTGAACCCAGGAGGCAGAGGTTGCAGTGAGTGGAGATCGAGCCACTGCACTCCAGCCTGGGTGACAGTGTGAGGTGTTAGGCTCTGTCTCAAAAAAAAGAAAAAAAAAAAAAGATTGTTTATGAGATTGGGTTTGTTTGATGAAAGGTTTCTGCTGCTGAACAAGATGACTTGAAACCATGGGCCGTAGGAGCCTCTGTAGTTCCCACCCACAGCTGTGGCTGGGGCTTCCGCTCTTAGGGCAGACTGTGGTGGACATGCGGCCAAGCTCTGGTCACCTCCCCTTCTCTCTGGACATCCGGATCTAGGGCAATGGCCTCTTCACACAAACCTTCCCTCAGTGGCTCATACCCATTAGGACTAGAGAAAGGCCCCATGAGGCACCACCAGGCATGTCTGTGAGTGATTCCTGGGATGGAAGGCAAAGGCTGACCCCCATTTCTGTTACACCCTGCTCCCCTGCCAGGTGTCACTTACAAAGAGGTGCTCAGCTTCAAGCCTCCCCGGCAGCTGGGGGCCAGGGTCTCCAAGGAGACGGCTCTGTGAAGACCTCTGGGCTCTGGGGGTGGCAGTGAGGACCACCTTCACCTTCCACCTGAGAGGGGACCCTCGTTGCCACCTTGACCTTGGCTGGGGCTTGCATCCCAAGGTATCCGTCAGAGTGGACCCCAGGTTCAATGGATCTTCCTCCCCAAGCCCGTGCCTTTGCTCTTGGGCACCCATCCTGGAGGAGCACCTGAACTTTATGGACAGGACCTCTGCCTGACCTGGGATGGCCTCTGAACCCTGGAGCAGTGGCCCCCTTGCCAGTTGCCTCAGAAACCTCGGAGCTGGTGGGGCTTCAGGTCAGGCCCTGCTCTGGGCCATGCAGAGGAAGGACAGAGGGTGGGCACAGGGCACCGACTCAGGGACATCCCCTCTCCTGGGGGGCATCAGTGGACCTTCCTGTACCCCCAGCCTGGAATGTCATTCAGTTGTGTGGCACCCACATGGCTGGAAGGAAATAGACCCTTTTGTAGCTCCCTGCTCTCGCTGTGCATCCTCATGCTGGGTCCCACCTTGAGGCCTCCAAGCCCTTGGCCTGCATAGAGGAGAGTGGCCTGAGAGTTCAGACCCTAAGAGCTAGTGGGGGGACGTGAGCATCCCATCTACGCCAGGCCACAAAGCTGGTGCCCACTTCCCTAGGCCTGTGCCAGTGAGCCCTGAGCCCCCAGATTAGGACTTGGCCTCTTCCCCTCTTATGGGGTGAGCTTCCTCTAAAGGCTTAGAGTGTAAGCCACTGTGTGTGGATCCGAAGCCAGACCCAGGGCAGGGCCTGACGGGGAGGAGTGTAGGATCTATCCTAGCTCTGCACCCTCCAAGGCCAGCAGGTTCCTGGGGCGGGAGGGACACACTGTACACGTTGAGTGGAATCTGGTCCCTGCGGTGGAGTGGTGAGCACAGAGGGCTGGGTTTTGTTCTTGATCAAACCTTTAGCCCCCACCCACTACAACGCCCCCGTGGTATCTTCATGCCTAGGCTGCCCTCTGTGGTCCATTCCGTGTTTCCAAGGGTGGCTGGCGGCTGGACCACAGGCCACGGGCGCCTCCACACCTGTGCCAGGGCAGGGGTCACAGCAGAGACCAGTGAGGGGCAGGGCAGGCTGGGCATTCTCCTTGGTGGACATGCCCACAGCTGGCCCAGCCAAATTGGGCCCAATGAGCTGCCACGATGGACTCTGGCCTTCTCTATCCAGCGACCCTCATGCCTTTCCAGGCATGGAGGCGGGGGGATGTGACCATTGGCTCTGATGTGACATGGCTGATTTGTGACATGGCTGCTGCCTATGCTGGGCCCAGCTTCCTGCCACAGCTGGCCTGAGGAATGGGACTGGGGGCCCCAAGACTGTGACCCAGTTGGACACGAACTCTGGCGGGGGCAGGGTGGTTCCTGGGCTCCAGGTGGGCTCAGGTCTCTGCAGACACCTTGCCCCATCCCACGCCTCCTGCCTTCCTCGACCCCTCTTTGTCCCCCTCTCCCTCCGCCCCCCACAATTCCAGTCCAGCGTCCCTCCCTCCACCCTGACCTTGACTCTGAACTTGGTCCGGGGTCTTGTAACTAGAGCCGGACTCTCACTCCCTCCTTAAGCCTCGGGATGCAGCCACGACCACCGCCCTGAGCCCTGAGCCGGCTGCAGCGCCACCTGCGTCCCCACCGGCTCCTCCCACCCCGTGTTTTTTACCCTGAGGACCCCGCGTCTCACTTTCCCTTCACCCCGACTCTTTCCGCGCCTGGCCCGGGTAGGCCTTGGGGCTGCGCTGGACCCTGACCCGGGAGCTGGGGCAGAAGGGAGCTCGCACGGGTGGGCTCGGGCACGGACGCTCGGGTGGGACCGCGCCCCTCTAGGAGGGGATTGGGGTGGAGCCGAGGGGGAGGCGGAGCCGCAGCAGAGCTCGGAGGGCGGGCGGCCCGGGACGCCAAGGTGTCCGCGCCTGCTGCTTCCTCGCTCCGGGGCGGGGCTCGCGGCAGCGCCGGAGCAAGGCGCAGGGCGGAACCGAGTCCCAGGAGAGGAAGCCGGAAGCCGGGCGCGGGGAGCCTCCCGCTTCGACCTTCGCCCTGCTCGGCGCCTCTTCCGCGCCTGGGACCGCGGAGCCTTCCTGGGTTCTGTGCGCTCCCGCCGCCCGGTGCCGCTCCCCCCGCCCGGTGCCCGCCGCCCGCCTGGGCCCCAAGCAGGTCCCAGGTCTCTGGCTAATCCTGGCCTCACCGCTAGCGAGGGCGTTTGGGGACCCTGGGTGACCACGGCGCAGCCATGGGGACCGCGCTTGTGTACCACGAGGACATGACGGCCACCCGGCTGCTCTGGGACGAGTAAGTGGGACCTGGCCGAGGTGGGGTGCGGGGAGGGAGCTCTGGACTGAGCTCCCCATCTGCCCCAGCCCCGAGTGCGAGATTGAGCGTCCTGAGCGCCTGACCGCAGCCCTGGACCGCCTGCGGAAGTGCGGCCTGGAACAGAGGTGTCTGCGGTTGTCAGCCCGCGAGGCTTCCGAAGAGGAACTGGGCCTGGTGCACAGGTCAGGACGAGGGGCGGGCCCATGATCAGGGGACGGCTCACCTAGAAACAGAGAAACCTGGGCCGGCCCGAGCCTGCCAGCCTCGAGGACAGAGCCTCTTCCCATGGACCTCGGGTGGGCTTGAGGAAGCAACAGGGTGGCCACTCCCACCACGAACCCCAGCACACACAGGCTTCCCCTCCTGCACTGCCACCTGCTCCTGCTGGTGACCCTGCCTCTCCTGCCTGCCTGTCTACAGCCCCGAGTACGTGTCCCTGGTCAGGGAGACCCAGGTCCTGGGCAAGGAGGAGCTGCAGGCGCTGTCTGGACAGTTTGATGCCATCTACTTCCACCCGGTGCGTGTCCCTGGACACTCAGCCGTCCTGACACACATGCACGTGCCTCTGTGTGTTCATGGGCATGGCTGCCAACCCCAGCCAGTGTACCCTGGTCTGTGCACATGACCATGCCCTGCATACCTGCCTGCTGGCACTGCCAGCACCTGGGATGGCCTGTTCTGCTCAGCAGCTGGGGCCTTGCAGCCTGGCACAAGTGTGGGTATGACTTGCAAAGGGCAGCAGGGAAGGCAGGGGGCTCATCCATGCCCCTGTCCCCACAGAGTACCTTTCACTGTGCACGGCTGGCCGTGGGGGCTGCACTGCAGCTGGTGGATGCTGTGCTCACGGGAGTGGTGCAAAACGGGTTTGCCCTGGTGAGGTGAGAACTGCTCCTAACCCCGGCTGCTCCTCCACGGGCCTTGTGAGGCGACCCTGACATGCCCTAAATCTCTCACGCAATAGGCCACCTGGGCACCACAGCCAGAGGGCAGCTGCCAATGGGTTCTGTGTGTTCAACAATGTGGCCATAGCAGCTGCACATGCCAAGCAGAAACACGGGCTGCAGAGGTGTGTGCCAGGCTGGCTGCAGGGGTGTGGCCAGGCCACACAGCAAGGGGTGGTGCAGGTGGTGAGACAGCCCACCCCACACCTTCCTGGAGGTGGGAGGCCCTGCCCCTCGGCCACCAGCGCTGTCTGTGTCCAGAATCCTCATCGTTGACTGGGATGTGCACCATGGCCAAGGCATCCAGTATCTCTTTGAGGATGACCCCAGGTGAGCAGGGGTGTGGAGTGTGCATCCCCATTTGTGGGGTGCGCAGCCTGGCCTGGGAAAATCCAAGGGTGAGATACAGACATGTGCTCAGAGGTCAGGGTTCTACCGGGCTGCAGAGCTGTTGAGGGTCCTGACCTCTGACCTCTGACCTCTGACCCTGGCTGGCTGTTGGCAGCGTCCTTTACTTCTCCTGGCACCGCTATGAGCATGGGCGCTTCTGGCCTTTCCTGCGAGAGTCGGATGCGGATGCGGTGGGGCGGGGACAGGGCCTCGGCTTCACTGTCAACCTCCCCTGGAACCAGGTGCCCACCCTCAAGCCCCAGGACCCCCCCCAGCTCCCTCCCCCCAAACCCCTCCCCTGCCCCACAGTTCAGGATGTAGCCTGGGATGTCCCGCCAGGTCGGGATGGGAAACGCTGACTATGTGGCCGCCTTCCTGCACCTGCTGCTCCCACTGGCCTTTGAGGTGACTGCATGGTGGGCCCCTCCAGGGCAGTTGGGTGGGAGGGGGACTTGGTGCCTGGAGCGCCACAGGGAAGGCAGGAGAGGAGAGTTATGAGCTGTTCCACTCCTGTGTGGCTGGGGAGGGTGCTCAGGAGGGGCCAGGATGGGCCTGGCTCACCCTCACCCGGGCTCCAGCCTCTCTCTTTTAACCCTCTGCACCTCTGTGTGGCCTGTAGTTTGATCCTGAGCTGGTGCTGGTCTCGGCAGGATTTGACTCAGCCATCGGGGACCCTGAGGTGAGGACCTAACCCTAACCAGGGAGGGCTTCTAGGGTCCTGGGGTCCAGTCCCCCCATCACACATGGCTCTGGTTCCAGGGGCAAATGCAGGCCACACCAGAGTGCTTCGCCCACCTCACACAGCTGCTGCAGGTGCTGGCTGGTGGCCGGGTCTGCGCCATGTTGGAGGTGAGTGACGGGAGGGCACACAAGGAGGGCTGGGCCAGGAGCGTGGGAGCCAGCCAGGTGCCCACGGGGTATGTGGGAGGGTTGTCCTGCCCAGGATAGAGAGCCAGCCAGGGGCCCTTCCAGTGATACCCCACCCCAGTGACATCCCTGCCCCAATTATGTCTCTGCCTTCCTCCCAGGGCGGCTACCATCTGGAGTCATTGGCAGAGTCGGTGTGCATGACAGTGCAGACGCTGCTAGGTGACCCGGCTCCACCCCTGTCAGGGCCCATGGTACCGTGTCAGAGGTATGACGGGAGGGAGGGAGGGTGGGCAGGGCTGGGGCGTGAGGCCAGCCATCACCACTGTTTTGTCTGCCCCACAGTGCCCTGGAGTCCATCCAGAGTGTCCGTGCCACCCAGGCCCCATACTGGAAGAGCCTCCAGCTGCAAGGTCACCTGGCTGGGTGCTGGGCTACAGGACCCCACCTCAGGCTCCTGTGCAGTGGCTGTGACTTTGAACTGTCCCTAGATGTGACCCCCGTGCCGACGAGTCCCAGCACCCATTCCCCAGAGGGGAGGCCTCCACCTCTGCTGTCTGGGGGTCCCGTGTGTAAGACGGCTGCATCTGTACTGAGCTCCCAGTTGGACCAGCTGTGCCTCCACCCTGCACCCCCTGTCTGCCCAGCTGTTGCCCTTACAGCGCCAGATATCACATTGGTCCTGCCCCCTGATGTCACCCAACAGGAGGGGGCAGCCCTGAATGAAGAGACAGAAGCCTGGGCCAGGTGGGCAGGGCTGGCCTGGAGAGAAGGATGGGGCCGAGTCTATACCTGTGACTGATGTGCAGTCGCTTCATGTCTGTGTGTCCCTCTGGTCTCTCTACTACAGGCCACACGAGTCCCTGGCCCAGGATGAGGCCCTCACTGCACTTGGAAAGCTCCTGTACCTCTTAGATGGGATGCTGGATGGGCAGGTGGGGGTGCCTGGGAGGGGTTGGGGGTGCTGTGGACCCAGGGGCAGGGACCAGGACCTGTCAAGGAAATGTGGCCTGTCCAGAGGAGGGGTGGGTGGTGCAGAACCACATGGATGTGAATGTCGTCTTATGCCAGGGGTTGCTCCCAGAACAGCCCCAGGGGTGGGGATCACTAGCGTGTCTGACCTCAACTTCTTCAGTTAAATGCTCTGTGGCAGAGAGGTGAAGGGGATGATTTAAAGTATAGATTTAGGCACGGTACAGTGGTTTGTGCCTGTCATGACGGCAGTTTGAGGGGCCAAGATGCGAGGATTGCTTGAGCCCAGGAGTTCAAGACAAGCCTAGACAACATACGGAGACCCTGTCTCCACAAAAAATAAAAAAAATCAGCTAAGCATGCTGTCATGTACCTGTAGTCCCAGTTACTTAGGAGGCAGGAGGCTGAGGCAGGAGGATCGCTTAAGCCCAGGAGTTTGAGACTGTAGTGAGCTAGAACTGAGCCACTGCACGCCATGCCAGCCTGGCTACAGAACAAGACCTTGTCTCAAAAAAAAATGTGTGTGTATATAGATAGATACATACATGCACACACACACACGCACACAGCCATAAGCATCTTATTTACAGAAATGGAGTGATATATACATATGTTACATCTACATATAGACTTAATGACTTATATAGACTTACACACACACACACACATATATATATATAGACTTAATGTCTTACAGAAATGGAGTGATTTGACCTGAGTGTAGGGAAAGGCTGACAACAGCCACGTAGAGACCGAATGAAGGGAACTGTGGGTCTATTTAACTTGGGAGTTGGCTGGTACCTCATCCTCCACTGTTTCTTCATTCTGCAGGTGAGCAGTGGGATGGTAGCCACTCCACCCTCGGCTGCAGCAGCCACCTTGGAGGTGGCTATTCAGAGAGGCCTGTCCCACGGAGCCCAGAGGTAAGCCTCACTTGGCCACCCCGAGTCTCTGAGGGCAGGACCCGTGGGCACCCCAATCTGGCTGGCCAAGCAGAGGGCTCTGGGAGTAGGCTCCAGACAACGTGAACACAACCTGTCCTCAGGCCAGCTCTTCCTCCAGGCTGCTGTGTGTGGCCCTGGGACAGCTGGACTGGCCCCCAGATCTCGTCCATGATGGGTAGGACTCTCAGGTCTTGTATCTGTCCAGCCATGCATGCGGATGGGCATGTGATGGGCATGTGCCTGTGCCCCAGGGTGACGGGGGGGTGGGGCACTGTGTGGTCCTGAATGGAGCCTTCCTCAGCTGGGGTTTGGGAGGGCTGCTGGAGGCAAAGCCAGGTGGGTCTCCAGCAGAGGCTCAACAGTCATAGCACCCCTGCCCATGGCCTGTGAATGCTCCTCCATCTCTGCCTTTGCTGCCTGGGCTTAGAGGGGTGAGCAGGGCCTTACGCTTATGCATGTGTCCTGGAAGGAGGATTTTGTGGCTGAACATCAGGGGCAAGGAGGCGGCTGCCCTATCCATGTTCCAGGTCTCCACACCACTGCCAGTGGTGAGTGATCACGCCACGTGGCAAGGCAGGTGGTGGGGAGACTGGATGTGTGCAGCTGCTGCTCGCTGGCACTGTTATGACAGCAGGCCTCTGGCCCTTCCTGTCTCCCTGCTCCTCCTCCAGGGGCTCTGAGATTGGGAGGTGGGGGGCCAGAGCCAGCAGGAGGGATATCCGTAGATGAGGAGCTGTGCTCTTCTGTCCCCACAGCTGACAGGTGGGTTCCTGAGCTGCATCTTGGGCTTGGTGCTGCCCCTGGCCTATGGCTTCCAGCCTGACCTGGTGTTGGTGGCGCTGGGGCCTGCCCATGGCCTGCAGGGCCCCCACGCTGCACTCCTGACCTCAATGCTTCGGGGGCCGGCAGGGGGCCGAGTCCTGGCCCTCCTGGAGGAGGTAAGTTGGGCAGGGTGGCGGTGCTGTGGGGTGGGAGGAGGGGAAGGACCAATGACTGCCTCCGTCTTCGCCCCTGGCCCAGGACTCCACACCCCAGCTAGCCGGGATCCTGGCCCGGGTGCTGCACGGAGAGGCACCTCCTAGCCTAGGCCCTTACTCTGTGGCCTCACCAGAGGACGCCCAGGCTCTGATGTACCTGAGAGGGCAGCTGAAGCCTCAGTGGAAGATGCTGCAGGTGACCAGTGAGGCTGACTGCGGAGGCATGGCCTTGCCTTGGGGCCCGGCTCTGCCGCAGAGCTCGGTGGGGAGGGCAGGGCATGGGAGTGCCCTGAACCAGCTCCAGCGCGGGAGGCCAACTGCGCGCCTCTTCCCGGCTCCTGTTGTAGTGCCGTCCTCACTTGGAGGCTTGAAATTGGCCAAGGTGGGAGCATTTACACCGCAGAAAGCACACCGTACGCCAGTGCCCCGCTGCCTGTGGCCGCCGACCCCAGGTCCAGGCCGCTCCTGCCGCTGCGGTGACCCGGTGACCCGGACCTCCGGCCCACAGCTCCCGCTGCACCGGGGCACGGAGCCCCGCCCACTCCCACGCCTGCGATTCGGCCTCACCCCGCCCCCTCACACCCCTGCTCCCCCGCCTCACCCCTTCCGGCCCCTGCGCCCCACCCTCGGTCCCATCCTGGCCCCTGAGCCCCGCTGCACTTCGCTCCCAGCCCTGGTGCAGTCAGTAAATATCGGCCAAACGAAACCCTGGCTCTGCTTCCTTTATTGAGGACGCTCGGCCTCAGTCTTCCACCCGTGGTGCCGGACTCAGGCCGGAAGTGCGCCGGTGCGCAGGCCTCGTCCCCTCCACGGGCCGTCGGCGTCCTCGTGACGTATTTCCGGCGCGTCCGCACTAGCGCTCTCCCCAGTCGCGGCTATGACGCGACGGAGGCGGCGGGAATGGTAGCAGTGTGCTCTTTCCGTGGGTGAGGCCTGGAGAACAGGCGGACCTGCGGGAAGACCCGTGCAGGCCAGACCCCGGGACCACTCCGCTGGGCTCCCAGACTCTTCGCTGCCTGCGAGCCTCGGAGTGGCACCCTCTCCTGGCCGTCTCTTCTCGTGGGACCTGAAGAACGCGTGCAAAGCCGCGTTCGTCCGCTGTGTACTGCCCGGGCTCACGTTCCGTTCTTCGGGTTTGCCACGGTTCTGTGACTCCCTAAAGATTGAGTGTTAGTGAATTAGAAGGAACGCCGAGCTGACTTCCGGTGGGCTGCCGGGTGCCGGGCAGCGTGCTTACTCCGAGTAACCGCAAGACCTGCTTTAAAAATACCAGTTCTGAGCTTCGTCGTTGGAGAGGCTGCCTGTCATTCAACCCCTTCCGACCCTCTCTCACTCCCTGTCTTCTGGAGCGTGAGTGAAGCCCGGGTGAGGTGTTTTCCCACATGCCAGGGGCCCGGAGCTGAGAAGGGGCGGGCATGGCCAGCATCACGCAGCTGTTCGACGACCTGTGTGAGGCCCTCCTGCCGGCTGCCAAGACTTACCTGGGCCAGCGCAGTGTGAACCGGAAGAGGGCAAAGCGGAGCCTCAAGAAGGTGGCCTACAATGCTCTCTTCACAAATCTTTTTCAAGAGGAGACTCGGCTGCAGCCTGACACATCAAAACTACCAGCGAGAAACAAGATCCTCATGTTGTCCTTTGACTTAAGAGTGGGTGGCCTGGGCCCCAGGGCTGACCGTTTGGAGGAGCTTGTGGAGGAGCTTGAAGCGGCCCCTTGCTGTCCGCTTGTGGAGGTGGGGTCTGTTTTGGACCTCCTGGTTCAGCTGGCAGGGAGCGGTCCCCCTCAAGTGCTGCCGAGAAAACGAGATTACTTCCTTAACAACAAGCACGTGGGGAGAAACGTTCCGTACGGCGGCTATGATTGCTACAACCTGAGTGTGTGGGAGAGGGACGTTCAGTCTCTGATCTCCAGAGAGGAGTATTTGTGTCACAGCATGATCCAGGATACACTTCAGGTTATGGAGGCTACTCCAGGCACTGGCCTGCCCACCGTCGGGCTCTTCTCATTTGGTGACCCTTGTGGTGACAAGTTCGAGAGAGACACCCGGGTCTCACTCTTTGGTGCGCTTGTGCACAGCCGCACCTACGACATGGATGTCCGACTGGACCTGCCCCCCGTGCCGGACAATGCAGACCTCTCTGGGCTGGCCATTAAGGTAGAGTGTGTGTTTTTTCTTTCATCCCTCTCAGGGTTTGGAGAATGCTTTCTGTGACTCTTCTTCTTCTTCCTCCTCCTCCCTGATTCTTCCTCCTTCTCCCTCCTTCCTCCTCCTCCTCCTCCTCCCTCCTCCTCCTCCTCCCTCCTCCTCCCTCCTCCTCCCTCCTCCCTCCTCCTCTGTCCTACTTTCTCCTCCTCCCTCCTCCTCCTCCTTCGACAGGGTCTCACTTTCACCCAGGTTGGAGTGCAGTGGTGGGATCCTGGCTCTCCACAAGCTCTCCCGCGCTTAAGCAATTCTCGTGCCTCAGCCTCCCAAGTAGCTGGAATTACAGGCACCCGCCACCATGCCCAGCAAATTTTTTTTTTTTTTGAGATGGAGTCTTGCTCTGTCACCCAGGCCGGAGTGTTAGTGGTGAGATCTCGGCTCACTGCAACCTCTGCTTCCCGGGTTCAAGTGATTCTCCTGCCTCAGCCTCCTGAGTAGCTGGGATTATAGGTGCCCACCACTATGCCTGGCTAATTTTTGTATTTTTAGTAGAGACGGGGTTTCACCATGTTGCCCAGGCTGTCTCAAACTCCTGACCCCAAATGATCCACCCGCCTCGGCCTCCCACAGTGCTGGGGATTACAGGCTTGAGCCACCCTTCCCGGCCCTGTGATCTTCCTTTCATCATGGTAAAAGGAGGATAGTCTGGTGGCTGCGTTGTTCTGAGGTGGGGCTGCTGGAGTGAGCTTACTGGCGGCCACTGTCTTCTGCAAGGACAGTGCTGCCCGTCTGCTGGCCAAAGCAACATGCTGGTTTTCACCTTTACCTAACAGGGCATGCCTTTAAGCCACTTCTGCCTTGTAGAGCTGCCGTTTAAATTTAAGTTAATTAAAACAAAATGAAAAATTTAGTTCCTCAGCCCCACAAGCCACATTTCAAGTGCTCACATGTGGCAAAAGTGTCTGTTTATGTTATATAAAACAGGCAATTGGATATACTTTTGCTGTCTGTAACCTGAGGCTTTTTCCTGTGGTATTATGTAACTCCTCACTGAGTTTTGTATGTTACTGCTTTATCAGGATTGCTAAAAGGATACATTGTTATTAGTCATTCTATTCCTATGAGATACCCGGCTATTTATAAACATAATGCTACAGCAAATATCTTGGTGTACAGTAGTTTTGTTTTGTTTTTTGTGTTTGAGAAGAGTCTTGCTCTGTCGCCCAGCTGGAGTGCAATGGCGTAGTCTCGGCTCATTGCAACCTCTGCCTACCGGCTTCAAGTGATTCTCTTGCCTCAGCCTCCTGAGTTCACCTGGCTAATTTTTGTATTTATTTTTATTTTTATTTTCTTTGATTTCACATAGTTTTTTGAGATGGAGTCTCGCCTTTCTGCCCAGGCTGGAGTGCAGTGGCACAATCTTGGCTAATTGGAACCTCTGCCTCCCAGGTTCAAGCAATTCTCCTGCCTCAGCTTCCCGAGTAGCTGGGACCACAGGTGCACGCCACCATGCCCGCCTAGTTTTTGTATTTTTAGTAGAGATGGGGTTTCACCATGTTGGCCAGGCTGATCTCAAACTCCTGACCTCAGGTGATCCGCCTGTCTCAGCCTTCCAAAGTGCTAGGATTATAGGTGTGAGCCACCATGCCCGACGTGTATTTTTAGTAGAGATGGGGTTTCACTATGTTGGCCAGACTGGTGTCAAACTCCTGACCTTGTGATATGTCCACCCAGCCTCCCAAAGTGCTGGGATTACAGGTGTGAGCCACCGCACCCAGACAGTGGACAGTAATTTTTTAATGTTTAGTGTGATTTTTTTTTATGCTAGGTTTCCTAAAATGGAATTTCCTATAATGGAATGGTCAGAAAGTTTCTCAAAAGCATCTTTTCAGAAAGCATCTCAGAAAGTCATTGTAGGTTCCACTGAGGATTATGTGTTATATGGAATTGGAAATTTGTAGTCTTAACAAATTATTTTGGGCCGGGCGCGATTCCTCAAGCCTGTAATCCCAGCACTTTGGGAGGCCGAGGCGGGTGGATCACGAGGTCAAAAGATCAAGACCATCCTGGTCAACAAGGTGAAACCCCGTCTCTACTAAAAATACAAAAAATTAGCTGGGCATGGTGGTGCGCACCTATAGTCCCAGATACTCGGGAGGCTGAGGCAGGAGAATTGCTTGAACCCAGGAGGCGGAGGTTGCGGTGAGCCGAGATTGCGCCATTGCACTCCAGTCTGGGTAACAACAGCGAAACTCCATCTCAAAAAAACAACAAAACAAAACAAAACAAATTATTTTGTTTAATTCCTTAAATGGCTCATTGGGGAAAAACATTGTATGGTACACCTGTGCTTGAGAAAAACAGAGAAACGTTTTGCTAGGTCTTTGCCTCTAAGAAGTAAATGGAACTTTGTGGATAAAGTTTGTGGAATTCTTATTGCCCTTGGATGAAATGTGGACACAGGAATGAGTGGCGGTTTGTTCTTCCCTGTGTCTCCAGGTCCCACAGAGTGTGGATCACTGGGAAGATGAAGGGTTCCAGTCAGCATCCAACCTGACTCCTGATTCCCAGTCTGAGCCCAGCGTGACCCCAGACATGGACCTGTGGGAAGCCGCACTCACCTACGAGGCCAGCAAGCGGAGGTGCTGGGAGCGAGTTGGATGGTGCGTGCCCTTCTTTGCCTTGGCATGCAATGCCCTACACCTGTGTGAGCATGGCCTTGGGTGTGTGAGGGGCATTGCTGTCTCAGGGGCCCAGGCAGTTGTGATGGGTTAGGGACCTGGAAGTTTCGGTTAAGGTAGTGTCCAAATGCAGAGGGGCAGAGACCAGCAGCCTTTAAGGGGATCTCACCTCCCTGTGCCAGTAACCAGATCATATCTTCCAGGCAGAGCAGTAGGGGACAGCTAAGATATGTACTCACTATCAGTCAGAGGTGCCTGAGAGCTGCCTGGCAGGGTGTGTGGTCAGTGCCAGGAAATGCTTACCGGGCACTGGGTGCTGATGGAGCCTTTTCCATCCATGTCTGGAGGAGGTGGGGTGCTGAGGAAGGACCCTTTTCCATCCATGTCTGGAGGAGGTGGGGTGCTGATGGAGCCTTTTCAATCCATGTCTGGAGGAGGTGGGGTGCTGATGGAGCGTTTTCCATCCATGTCTGGAGGAGGTGGGGTGCTGATGAAGGACCCTTTTCCATCCGTGTCTGGAGGAGGTGGGGTGCTGATGAAGGACCCTTTTCCATCCGTGTCTGGAGGAGGTGGGGTGCTGATGGAGGACCCTTTTCCATCCGTGTCTGGAGGAGGTGGGGTGCTGATGGAGGACCCTTTTCCATCCGTGTCTGGAGGAGGTGGGGTGCTGATGGAGGACCCTTTTCCATCCGTGTCTGGAGGAGGTGGGGTGCTGATGAAGGACCCTTTTCCATCCGTGTCTGGAGGAGGTGGGGTGCTGATGAAGGACCCTTTTCCATCCGTGTCTGGAGGAGGTGGGGTGCTGATGGAGGACCCTTTTCCATCGGTGTCTGGAGGAGGTGGGGTGCTGATGGAGGACCCTTTTCCATCCGTGTCTGGAGGAGGTGGGGTGCTGATGGAGGAGCCTTTTCCATCCATGTCTGGAGGAGGTGGGAGTGGCACTCTGGGTGATGAGAAGCTGCAGCTGCAGCAGCTTTTCCCTGCCTGGTGCCAGCAGCTTGCTCTCTGGATGCAGTAGCCACTCTCTGGCTCATCTGGGTCCAGAGGCCTCTGCACTCAGGACCTCTCAGTCTGTAATGTGGTGGTATCTTTTCATAACTTCCAGAACCCAGGTAGAGAATATGCATTTTGGCTGGGTACGGTGGCTCACACCTGTAATCCCAGCACTTTGTGAGGCCAGGATGGGCAGATCACTTGAGGTCAGGAATTTCACCTGGCCAACATGGTGAAACCTCATCTCTACTAAAAATACAAAAATTAGCCATGTGTGGTGGCACTTGCTTGTGATCCCATCTACTCGGGAGGCTGAGGCACGAGAATCGCATGAACCCAGGAGGCAGAGGTTGCAGTGAGCTGAGATTGTGCTACTGCACTCCAGCCTGGGCAACAGAGTGAGACTCTGTCTAAAAAAACAAAGAGTACACATTTCCCAAAATGTTTGTTTGGCCATGGAATGCCCTGTTCACATCCAGTCCACTGGGGATTCTGTTGATACCGGTTTGGGGAGTGTTAGGTGAGAGAGTCAGGGCTGGCCAGGAGCTGAGTGCTCTCAGATGCAGTGTTGGGGCTCCTGCAGGGCCTGGAGAGGAGCATGTGCCCCCTTTGAGCTTTCCTGACATCATAGATTCCTCCAGGGATGGCTAGCTCCCTGCTTCCCAGCACAATGGTGGTGGTGGCATTGTCCTGACTGCCGGGGGCTTTCCTGCTTCTCAGCACAATGGTGGTGGTGGCCTTGTCCTGATTGCTGGGGGCTTTCCTGCTTCTCAGCACAATGGTGGTGGTGGCCTTGTCCTGATTGCTGGGGGCTTTCCTGCTTCTCAGCACAATGGTGGTGGTGGCCTTGTCCTGATTGCTGGGGGCTTTCCTGCTTCCCAGCACAATGGTGGTGGTGGCCTTGTCCTGATTGCTGGGGGCTTTCCTGCTTCTCAGCACAATGGTGGTGGTGGCATTGTCCTGACCGCCGGGGGCTCCCTGCTTCTCAGCACAATGGTGGTGGTGGCCTTGTCCTGATTGCCGGGGGCTCCCTGCTTCTCAGCACAATGGTGGTGGTGGCATTGTCCTGACTGCGGGGGGCTTTCCTGCTTCCCAGCACAATGGTGGTGGTGGCATTGTCCTGACTGCGTGGGGGCTCCCTGCTTCTCAGCACAATGGTGGTGGTGGCATTGTCCTGACTGCGGGGGGCTTTCCTGCTTCCCAGCACAATGGTGGTGGTGGCATTGTCCTGACTGCGGGGGGGCTCCCTGCTTCTCAGCACAATGGTGGTGGTGGCATTGTCCTGACTGCGGGGGGCTTTCCTGCTTCCCAGCACAATGGTGGTGGTGGCATTGTCCTGACTGCGGGGGGCTCCCTGCTTCTCAGCACAATGGTGGTGGTGGCATTGTCCTGACTGCCGGGGGCTCCCTGCTTCTCAGCACAATGGTGGTGGTGGCATTGTCCTGACCGCCGGGGGCTTTCCTGCCCTGTCACTTCCTGCTGGGGCATCAATCCTGTCTTCCTGTACGTACAAAGCAAATCTAATGGTCCTGCTGTCTGCCAACCCCTCACATTTTTAAAAACTGGTCCTCTGATTTATTGCTTTGTTCTGTACATATTTGCTAATAGTATTTTTTTTTTTGTATTTGTTTATCTGAGGTGGAGTCTTCCTCTGTTGCCCAGGCTGGAGTCCAATGGCACCATCTCGGTTCACTGCAGCCTCCGCTTTCAGGTTCAAGTAATTTTCCGTCTTAGCCTCCCTAGTAGTTAGGATTACAGCTATGTCCCACCATGCCCAGCTAATTTGTATAAAAACTTAGAATCGGCCGGGCGCGGTGGCTCACGCCTGTAATCCCAGCACTTTGGGAGGCCAAGGAGGGTGGATCACGAGGTCAAGAGATCGAGACCATCCTGGTCAACATGGTGAAACCCTGTCTCTACTAAAAATACAAAAAATTAGCTGGGCATGGTGGTGCGTGCCTGTAATCCCAGCTACTCAGGAGGCTGAGGCAGGAGAATTGCCTGAACCCAGGAGGCAGAGGTTGCGGTGAGCCGAGATCGCGCCATTGCACTCCAGCCTGGGTAACAAGAGCGGAACTCCATCTCAAAAAAAAAAAAAACCAAAAACTTAGAATCTTCTAATACCAGGTTTCCTCTGCCTGGAACATTTTTCAGCTTACTGTAATTAGGCAACTGCTTTCATCCTAAACAAACTAGGTCCTTCAAACTCTCCTTCATAAGTTGGTTTGTTTCTTTCTTTTTCTATCTCTCTCTTTCTTTCCTTGAGATGTAGTCTCACTCTGACACCCAGACTATATAATTCAGTGGTGTGATCAAGGCTCCCTGCACCCTCTGCCTCCTGGGCTCAAGTGATCCTCTCACCTCAGCCTTGCTATTAGCTGGGGCCACAAGCATGCATCACCACACCTGGCTAATTTTTGTTTTTTCTGTAGAGAGAGGGTTTTGCCATGCTGCGCCGGCCGGTCTTGAGCACCTCAACTCAAACGATCCACCCGCCTCAGCTCGCTAAAGTGCTGGGATGACAGGTGTGAGCCACCGTGCTGGCTGTGTTTCATTTATTAGCTCCCACATTTCTAGGTTCAGTTTTTCATGTCACTGATTAGGAGACATGGTTGCTTGCTTTCTTCATCACCCTGTTCTGAATACACTGGAGACTGTAGCGCTCTGGTGCTGTGGGTTCCTGGTGGTGTTCCCTACACTGTGGAGCTCCAGTGCTGTGGGTTCCTGGTGGTGTCCCCTACACTGTGGAGCTCCGGTGCTGTGGGTTCCTGGTGGTGTTCCCTACACTGTGGAGCTCCAGTGCTGTGGGGTCCTGGTGGTGTCCCCTACACCCTGGAGCCCTGGTGCTGTGGGGTCCTGGTGGTGGTTCCTACACTGTGGAGTTCCGGTGCTGTGGGTTCCTGGTGGTGTTTCCTACACTGTGGAGCTCCGGTGCTGTGGGGCCCTGGTGGTGGTTCCTACACTGTGGAGCCCCGGTGCCGTGGGTTCCTGGTGGTGTTCCCTACACTGTGGAGCTCTGGTGCCGTGGGTTCCTGGTGGTGTTCCCTACACTGTGGAGCCTTGGTGCTGTGGGGTCCTGGTGGTGTTCCCTACACTGTGGAGCTCCGGTGCTGTGGGGCCCTGGTGGTGTTTCCTACACTGTGGAGCCCTGGTGCCGTGGGTTCCTGGTGGTGTTCCCTACACTGTGGAGCTCTGGTGCTGTGGGTTCCTGGTGGTGTTTCCTACACTGTGGAGCCTTGGTGCTGTGGGGCCCTGGTGGTGTTTCCTACACTGTGGAGCTCCAGTGCTGTGGGGCCCTGGTGGTGTTTCCTACACTGTGGAGCCCCGGTGCCGTGGTTTCCTGGTGGTGTTCCCTACACTGTGGAGCTCCGGTGCTGTGGGTTCCTGGTGGTGTTCCCTACACTGTGGAGCCTTGGTGCTGTGGGGTCCTGGTGGTGTTCCCTACACTGTGGAGCTCCGGTGCCGTGGTTTCCTGGTGGTGTTCCCTACACTGTGGAGCCCCGGTGCTGTGGGTTCCTGGTGGTGTTCCCTACACTGTGGAGTTCCGGTGCTGTGGGGTCCTGGTGGTGTTTCCTACACTGTGGAGCCTTGGTGCTGTGGGTTCCTGGTGGTGTTTCCTACACTGTGGAGCTCCAGTGCTGTGGGGCCCTGGTGGTGTTTCCTACACTGTGGAGCCCCGGTGCCGTGGGTTCCTGGTGGTGTTCCCTACACTGTGGAGCTCTGGTGCCGTGGGTTCCTGGTGGTGTTTCCTACACTGTGGAGCCTTGGTGCTGTGGGGTCCTGGTGGTGTTCCCTACACTGTGGAGCTCCAGTGCCGGGGTTTCCTGGTGGTGTTCCCTACACTGTGGAGCCCCGGTGCCGTGGGTTCCTGGTGGTGGTCCCTACACTGTGGAGCTCTGGTGCCGTGGGGTCCTGGTGGTGTTTCCTACACTGTGGAGCTCTGGTGCTGTGGGTTCCTGGTGGTGTTTCCTACACTGTGGCGCTCCGGTGCTGTGGGTTCCTGGTGGTGTTTCCTACACTGTGGAGCTCCGGTGCTGTGGGTTCCTGGTGGTGTTTCCTACACTGTGGAGCTCCGGTGCTGTGGGGTCCTGGTGGTGTTTCCTACACTGTGGAGCTCTGGTGCTGTGGGTTCCTGGTGGTGTTTCCTACACTGTGGAGCTCTGGTGCTGTGGGGCTCTGGTGGTGGTTCCTATAGGAGGTTCTGCTGAGCACCTGGCAGTGTTCTGAGCACAGCCTGGGCAGCTTCTATAGGGACTTTGTCTGGTCAGGGCCCTGCAGAGTGAAAGTGCTGTGGTCATCTCAGTGTCTAGTGGCTGACCTGCACAGGGCCACACAGTGGCTGGACCTGAGTTGACATCCCTGGGCCCTCTACTCCCTGATTCCACAGCCCCTGACACTGTAATCCTGTCAGCCTGATGCTGTGGTTCCAGTTCCTTTGGCAAATCCTTTGATCTTGTTTCCTTTTAAATCCCAGCCACCTGCTAGTTTGCTCCTGTGATGACCTCTGAGCAGCAGGTGGCTGAAGAGCTTGCTGCCCACAGGAGATGGATGCAGCAAACCACCATGGCACGTGTGTCCCTATGGAACCTGCACATTGTGCACATGTAACCCAGAACTTACAGTATAATTTTAAAAATTAAAAAAAAAGCTGCTGCCCAGCCAGAAATTGAGCTTCCTTCAACTCTGCTGCTGTCCCAAGACTTCATGGTGGGCCACTCTCCCCTGTTCTGGCCCACCCTGGGAGCCAGCATCGTCAGGCTCTTACGGCCCCCCTGCTGCTGGGCTGCAAGGGCTGGGTTAAGGTGGAGTGAGGCCTTTCAGACCCAGGAACGTCCTCTTTTTTTGCATGTGCCACCCACCTGAGGGAAGTGTATTGCTACATGTTGGGCTGTGTTCTTACTGGGGATCTGGGGGGGGTAGGTGTTCACTCCGTAGCCCCAGGGTGCTGCTCTGTGTCTTCGTGTTCCCACTGTGGGTTTTTTTCCCCTCAGCTCTGAGTCACCCGGAGGGGTACATGGCCATGGCAGTGCTGGGGGCCAGTCCTGGAGGATCTTGGGTGGGACTGGCTGCAGGGGGAAGCGGGGTTGTGCCAACAGCTTGCACCCCTGCCGAGGCTGTCTGCAAGAAGAAATGCAGGGGCAGACAGGTTCTGAGGGGCTGTCTTTCCTATGCTTGTCTCATCCTGAGGGAGCCTGGGTGGGTGCCCGGGGTCCAGAGAGGCCCCTTCTGCTGACTGGACACCTCAGGGCTTGTTTCCTTCCTCCTGCCCCCCTCCAGCCCCCCTTCACATAGCAGAGGTGGCCAGTAAAAGTGTTTTTTGAAGCTGATTGTTTTTGCAGGGAGGGCAGGGGTGCTAGTGTGTGCACGGAGTGAGTGCAGGGAGTGCAGGGTCCATGAGTGTGTGCAGGGTGTGTGTGTGCAGGGAGTATGGATGCAGGGAGTGCAGGGTCCATGAGTGTTGCAGGGTGTGTGAGTGTGCAGGGAGTATGGATGCAGGGAGGGCAGGGGTGCTAGTGTGTGCACGGAGTGTGAGTGCAGGGAGTGCAGGGTCCATGAGTGTGTGCAGGGTGTGTGAGTGCAGGGAGTGTGAGTGCAGGGAGTATGGATGCAGGGAGTGCAGGGTCCATGAGTGTTGCAGGGTGCACGAGTGTGCAGGGAGTGTGAGTGCAGGGAGCGTGTGTGCAGGGAGCATGAGTGTGGGGTGAGTGTGCAGGGTGTATGAGTGCAGGGAGTGCAAATGTGTGCAGGGAGTGTGTGCAGGATGCATGAGTGCAGGGTGAGTGTGCAGGGAGTGAGTGCAGGGAGTGCAGATGTGTGCAGGGAGTGTGTGTGCAGGATGCATGAGTGCAGGGTGAGTGTGCAGGGAGTGAGTGCAGGGAGTGCAAATGTGTGCAGGGAGCGTGTGTGCAGGATGCATGAGTGCAGGGTGAGTGTGCAGGGAGTGAGTGCAGGGAGTGCAAATGTGTGCAGGGAGCGTGTGTGCAGGATGCATGAGTGCAGGGTGAGTGCAGGGTGCATGAGTGTGCAGGGAGTGAGTGCAGGGTGAGTGTGCAGGGAGTGAGTGCAGGGAGTGCAAATGTGTGCAGGGAGCGTGTGTGCAGGATGCATGAGTGCAGGGTGAGTGTGCAGGGAGTGAGTGCAGGGAGTGCAAATGTGTGCAGGGAGCGTGTGTGCAGGATGCATGAGTGCAGGGTGAGTGCAGGGAGTGAGTGCAGGGAGTGCAAATGTGTGCAGGGAGCGTGTGTGCAGGATGCATGAGTGCAGGGTGAGTGCAGGGTGCATGAGTGCAGGGAGTGAGTGCAGGGTGTGCAAATGGGCAGGGAGCATGTGTGCAGGGTACACGAGTGCAGGGAGTGTGAGCGCAGGGTGTGCAAATGTGTGCAGGGTGTGTGTGTCAGGGCGTGAGTGCAGGGGGTGCAGGGTGCATGAGCGTGTACAGGGAGCATGAACGTGTGCAGTGCAGTGCCAGTACACATGGTTTTGCAGCCTCATAGCACCAGTGGAAGGCAAATTCCTCAGAGTTGCATGTGCCCAGGGCTGCCTGTACCAGCCCACCTTGCCTGTTTTAAAAATTCGTGAGCTTTTTTTCTGTATCCATCTCTTGTGTTTTTCTGAGGTGGGTTAGTAAAATTTATGTTTTTACCGTCTTAACCAGTTGTTCAGCTCTGTAATGCTGTGTATTTTCACTACCACACAGTAAATCTGCAGATAACTCTGAACCCTTTAAACAGCTCGCCATTCACTCCACTTTCTGTCTCTAGGATTTTGGCCGCTGTAGGGCCCTCATGTAAGTGGAGTTGCACAGTGTTTTGTGATGGCTCTTTTCACTCCTCGTGGCGTTCTTGAGCACAATCCCTATGGAGCGTGTGCCTGAACTGGCTTCCTTTTTATGGCTGAATGATGGGCCAGGGTCTGCACAGACTGCCTGTGTTTATCCTCCTCCTCTGTTGGGTGCTCAGGCTCCTCTCCCTCTGGCTGGTGTGGATGATGCTGCTGTGGACATGGGTGTACAAATCTGGTTTTGTTTCTAACAGAATACATTATGAGTGAGTCACCATCCTGAGGGCCACTGGCATGGCCTGGGGTGCTCTTCCAGGGCTGAGCCAGTCGGATACCCCGGCCACGCCCAGAACCCCAGGCAGGTACCCTGGACACACTTCCACACGAGTTGTCCTGATAGAATAGATTGTGCTTGTACTCACAGCAGCATTGTCCACAAAAGGCTGCATGGTTAGTGACAGTCATACCTGGTTGTGTTTCTTAGAGTTTGTTTTGAATAACTTCCATTCTTCTGTTCATGTCCATTTCTGAGAGAAAGCACCCAGGTGCTGAGGTGCAGGTCGCACGTCTGGTCATGGCCTCTCTTCTGCCCCCTCTCAGCCCGCCTGGTCACAGAGAGGAGCCTTACCTGACAGAGGCCGGAAGGGAGGCTTTCGACAAGTTCTGCAGGCTTCGCCATGGGGAGCTACAGCTGCTTGCCGGGGGCGTCCTGCAGGCCCCACAGCCCGTGCTGGTGAAGGAGTGCGAGCTGGTGAAGGATGTGCTGAACGTCTTGATTGGGGTTGTGTCTGCCACGTTTTCCCTCTGCCAGGTGAGAAGTGCTCCTTGCCAGTCACAGTAGCGTGGGGCTGGCCGAGAACAAGACTCTCAGGGAGTGGGGAGTGGCAGGGAAGGCCAACTCCAAGGGCCACCAGTGATGACAGCCAGAGTCATCCCATTTTGGTTCTGAAAGGTGTAATTTATTAATGTTCTTTTAAAAAAGTAGAGCAATAAGATGTATATTGTCATTGATGAAGCAATAGAAAATGTCCCTCCCCCACGTTTCTACTTCTGTCCTGGAGAAGTGTCAGGTGTCTTCTGAGCCTTCCCACCTCGGGAGGAGCACCTGGCCTGCCAAGCGCGTCCCGAGATTGGGACGTGCAGCGCTCTCCTCCCTGGACTGCGGTGTCTCTCTGGGATGGGGCCGGGACTTGCTGATTCTGGCACCAGCTGCTCTTACTGGACACTTAAGAAGTAAATGAAGGCCGAACTCGGTGGCTCACGCCTGTAATCCCAGCACTGTGGGAGGCCGAGGCGGGTGAATCATGAGGTCAGGAGCTCAAGACAAGCCCGGCCAAGAAGGTGAAACCCCGTCTCTACTAAAAATACAAAAATTAGCTGGCACCTGTAATCCCAGCTATATTCAGGGAGCTGAGGCAGGACAATCACTTGAACCCAGGAGGTGGAGGTTGCAGTGAGCTGACATCGGCCACTGCATTCTAGCCTGGCGACAGAGCAAGACTGTCTCATAAAAAAAAAAAAAAGTAAATGAATACATTCAGAAAAATGAAGTCTTGTCCTGCAGCTTTTTCATGTAAGTGCTTATCCTTTTCCTTTGTCTGAAATGTTGTGTGGTGGCCATTCTTAGACTTCGGTGTGTACTAGAAGCACAGCCAGTGACTGCCCCAGAAAAGTGCTCACGAGCAAGCTCTAGCTGCAGCCGGCGCTGAGGGCACCTGTTTGCAACACTGTTCTCAGGCTCGTCGAGTCTGTTTTGGGGATAGCCTTACTGTGTGGAACCAACCCTCACTCCGGTGTTTTTTTTGAGACAGGGTCTTACTCTTGCCCAGGTTGGAGTGCAGTGGCGCCATCACAGCTCACAGCAGCCTCAATCTCAATCCTCCCACCTCAGCCTCCTGTGTAGCTGGGACTACAGGCACACACCACCACACCCAGCTAATTCTTTTTTGTTTTTTAAGACAGAGTCTCGCTCCGTCGCTCAAGCTGGAGTGCAGTGGTGCTATCTCAGCTCACTGCAAACTCCGCCTCCTGAGTTCAAGCGATTCTCCTGCCTCAGCCTCCTGAGTAGCTGGGATTACAGGTGCACACCACCACGCCCTACTAATTTTTGTATTTTTAGTAGAGATGGGGTTTCACCATGTTGCCCAGGCTGGTGTCGGACTCCTGACCTCACCTGATCTGCCCACCTTGGCCTCCCAAAGTGCTGGGATTACAGGCGTGAGCCACCGTGCCTGGCACCCCTGGCTAATTTTTAAAATGTAGAGATGGGTCTTACCGTGTTGCCCAGGCTGGTATGAACTCCTGGGCTCAAGTGATCTGCCTGCTTCACCCTCCCAAACTGCTGGATGTACAGGTGGGAGCCACCGTGCCCAGCTCTTTCTTTTGTTTCTGATTTTATTAATTTGAATTTTTTCTCTCTCTTTTTTTTTTTTTGAGACAGAGTTTCACTCTTGTTACCCAGGCTGGAGTGCAATGGCGCGATCTTGGCTCACTGCAGCCTCCGCCTCCTGGGTTCAAGCAATTCTCCTGCCTCAGCCTCCCAAGTAGCTGGGACTACAGGAGTGCGCCACCATGCCCAGCTAATTTTTTTTTTTTTTTTGTATTTTTAGTAGAGATGGGGTTTCACCATGTTGACCAGGATGGTCTCGATCTCTTGTTCTTGTGATCTACCCACCTTGGCCTCCCAAAGTGCTGGGATTATAGGCGTGAGCCACTGCGCCCGGCCTCTTTTTTTAAATAGTCATTTTTTTTCCTTCTTATTCTAGCTAAGACTTTGCAATTTTCTTGATATTTTCAAAGAACCAACTTCTTTTTTTTTGGTTCTCTATTGTTTTCCTTTTCTGTGGTTTTTTTTTTTTTTTTTTTGAGATGCAATCTCATTCTTTTGCTCAGGCTGGAGTGCAGTGGTATGATCTCAGCTCACTGCAGTCTCCGCCTCCTGGGTTCAAGTGATTCTCCTGCCTCAGCCTCCCAAGTAGCTGGAACTACAGGTGTGCACCACTAGGCTAATTTTTTGTATTTTTAGTAGAGATGGGGTTTTACCATGTTGGCCAGGCGGTCTCAAAATCCTGACCTCAAGTGATTTATCCACTTTGGCCTCCCAAAGTGTTGGTGTTACAGGCGTCAGCCACCATGCTTTGCCTGCTCTCTCTCTCTCTGCTCTAATTGTTGCTTGTTTCCTTCTGCTAGTTTTGAATTTAACTTTTTTTTCGGAGGTGGAGTTTTGCTCTTGTTGCCCAGGCTGGAGTGCAGTGGCGCAATCTTGGCTCACCACAACTTTGGCCTCTCAGGTTCGAGTGATTCTCCTGCCTCAGCCTCCTGAGTAGCAGAGATTACAGGCCAATTTTTTGTATTTTTAGTAGAGACAGGGTTTCATCATGTTGGTCAGGCTGGTCTTGTCTCCATGCTTCATCATGTTGGTCAGCCTCCCAATTACAGGCGTGAGCCACCACATCCGGCCTGACCACCTTTTTTTTTTTGAGATGGAGTCCTGTTCTGTCCCCCAGGCTGGAGTGCAATGGTGTGATCTCAGCTCACCGCAACCTCTGCCTCCTGGGTTCAAGCGATTCTCCTGCCTCAGCCTCCTGAGTAGTTAAGATTACAGGCGCACGCCACCATGCATGCTACTTTTTGTTTATAGGAGAGATGGGGTTTCACCATGTTGGTCAGGCTGGTCTCCAACTCCTGATCTTAAGTGAGTCACTTGCCTTGGCCTCCCACAGTGCTGGGACTACAGATGTGCGTCATCGTGCCTAACTGCTCTTTTTTTTTCTGGAGACAAGATCACCCAGGCTCAAGTGCAGTGGTTCGAAGATGACTCACTGCAGCCCCAACCTCCCAGGCTCAAATTGATCCTCCTGCCTCAGCCTCCTGCGTAGCTGAGACCAACAGGCATGCACCATCATGGCTGGCTAATTTTTTAATTTTTTAAATTTTGAGATGGAGTCTCCTTCTGTAGCCCACGCTGGAGTGGGAAGGCACAGTCTCTGCTCACAGCAACCCCGCCTCTCGTGTTCAAGTGTTTCTCATACCTCAGCCTCTGGAGTAGCTGGGACTACAGGCACACACCACCACACCTGGTTAATTTTTGTCTTTTTAGTAGAGACGGGCTTTGCCATGTTGGCCAGGTTGGCTCTGAACTCCTGACCTGAAGTGATCTGTCTGCCTTGCTCCCCAAATCCTGGGATTACAGGCGTGAGCCACCATGCCTGGCTAGTTTACAATTTTTATAGGGCTGTGTTGGCCAGGCTGGTCTCAGGCTCCTGGGCTCAAGTGATCCTCCTGCCTCAGCCTCCCAAAGTGCTGGGATTATAGCCGAGAAGCAGCGTGGTTGGCCTGATAGCTCTTTTTAAAATCTCTTTAGAGTTGGCACAGGGTTGCTGTGGGTTTGGTATCTTTTTCGTTAGTCATTCAGGTGTTTGCAGCTGTAACCTTCCCTCCTGGGGGGCTTTTGCTGCATCCCATACATTTTGGTTGTGGGTGAGCCGTCTGTTGGGGTTTCCACTCTCTGGTTATAAACATGTAGAGAATGTGCTCTGATGAGTCCGTGTGTACATCTTCCATTATTTCTTTTAATTCATCCCTGAGAGTAGAATGAGCAGGTCTCATGGCAAACATGTTTTATAGCTTCTGCCCAGGAGGCTGTCTGTGTACTTGTGTCCTGTGAAGGTGCTGTTTTTTCCTACACTTTGTGTTTTAAACGTGTATTTTTCAGTGTGGTCAGTGAAAATTTATACCTTGTTTTGGCTTGTATGTTTTTATTCCTCAGTGCAGGAGTTCTGGGTATGCCTTTTGAGCATTTGCCTTTGGGTCCTGTGGGCACTCTAGGCGGTGTGGGGTTGGGTACAGCGGAGGAGGGAGATGGCCCCCTCCTGGGCATCTGGGTGCCTGTCCTCTGCGACCTGTGTCCTCTGCCCCTGTGTAGCTGGCTCAGGCCTTTATGGTGAAGCGGGGCGTCCACGTGTCAGGAGCGTCTCCCGAGAGCATCAGCAGCCTCCTCTCGGAGGTGGCCGAGTATGGGACCTGCTACATGCGCCTGAGCCGCTTCTCTCTGCAGCCTGTCCTGGACTCCTCGTACAGCAAGGGCCTTGTGTTCCAGGTATGGTCTCTGCCTCATGGTTGTCACAAACCTTTGAGAGAACGGTGCATGTGTTCTGGAAAAGAGAATCTTAGAGGCCCTTCTGCGGGACCACAGAGTCTAAACCTTTTACTTCCTTGTTAACATCTGAAACCCGACAGTGACTCTTCAGGGATGGGTCAGTGATGATGTTTTCCCTCACTGGAAACCTGGGGCAGATGTGTGTGGGCCCTGGGTTGGTGGGAGGCAGGGTGTGCAGGGCAGGCAAGGCAGTGAGTGGGGTTCTTGCTGCCTGTACCTTGGTGGGAGCATCATCCACATTGTGGGTGACTGACAGGGCAGGACTCTCGAGTTGGGTAAATTTATGGTGCTGGGAGTTCTGAGCCAAGCCTGGCTCTGGAATCTGCTGTTTGCGAGTCTTGAAGTTGGCTCATGTGTTGGGTAGAGGCCCAGGGGATGGGGGATGCACCTTGAATGGGAGAGAACAGGCAGGCAGATGACAGGATGTTGGGGGAGTGGAGAGGAGGGTACTGGGGAGCTGGGCAGAGAGCCCTCAGGAGAAGCCGTGCGGCCCTGGTGCCTTCGACTGTTGGTGCCACAGCAGGGGCTGTAGGGTGGGGTGATGCAATGAGGTTTAGGTTTTAGACGGGCTCAGGAGGTAGGCGTGGTGGGAGCTGCATGGGGTGGGGACAGCTTCTAGGCAGATGAGCAGCTCTGGGGTTCTTGAGGGCTGGAGATAGTGGAGGAAGGGGTCAGCAGTGGACACTGAGAAGGGTCGGACTGGTTCTCGCTTGTCTGGCAGGCCTGGCCAGGCCAGGCGGCTCCTGGGGTGGGTGGACTGAGATTGGTCCAGGGTTGCTGTGAACTTCAGCGCCTGCTGCTGTGGCGTTTCCCAGGATGCTGGTGCCACCAACACCACTGTGGTATGAGCGGCTGCAGCCCTCCCAGCACTAGTGTCTGTGCATGGAGCTCAGCTGCTCTTTCTACCCTCACCCCCAAATCCCGAAGCCACGTCCCTGGGCAGCTGGTCTCAGATGAGAGGAGGGATTGGTGGTGGGCCATGGCTTGTGGAGGTCCAAATGTCTACCTGGCCTGGTGGCTGGACGTGGCTTACAGAGGCCCATTGCTCGGAAATGAAGCCCAGAGCTGAGGCAGGGAGCAAACTGCTGTGCCCAGCACTGGTGCCCTCAAGCCCTGGGCGCAGGCTGTGTCCATGTTCCTGGCTGCCCTCCTCCCAGCCCCCTTGCCTACAGGCCTTCACCAGTGGCCTGAGGAGGTACCTGCAGTATTACCGGGCCTGCGTCCTCGCCACTCCGCCCACCCTGAGCCTCCTCACCATTGGTTTTCTCTTCAAGAAACTGGGCCGGCAGCTCAGGTGAGCCTCAGCATAGCGGCTGAGCAGGGGACTTTGTGGGCGAGGTGTGGGGCTTGCTGGGCAGTGGGGGGGTTTGCCCTGCTCCCCGGCAAGGAGGGCCTGTGAGAAGAGCCCTCAGCAGGCGACTGGACAGTCCTTGCCCTGCTGAATTCAGGTGCCAGGTGCTGAGCAGGTGTGTCTGCCTTGGGCCCACGACAGCTGGTCCATCCAGGCCCTCCAGGCCCAGCAGCTCCTGCCTAATCAGTACTCAGGGTCCCTGGGGCTGTGGCATCTGGCACACAAGCTGGTTAGTGAGCAGCCAGGCTGGGGGGCCGCTGGCAAGTGCTGCTGGAGAAGGAAGAATGAGGTTGGGGGGGCGGGAGCTGGTGGGACAACCTTCCAAGCAGAGGAGCAGTGTGGCAGCCCAGAGGAGACCCAAGGACTGAGACAGCGGCAGGCACTGTGGGGCGGGGAAAGCGGGCTGTGGCAGATGCTCGGTGCCACTGTGGATGGGAGGGGCTCTCAGGTGCAGCCCCCATGTCGGGTGAGGAAGTGGGAGGATCAGGGTGATTTGGGTGTTGGCCAGCGCCTGGGAGGGAGGTGCCTGTTCGGTGTGGGTACGTCAGTGGGGTCTGTGTGGACAGCACAGGGCTGGGCGTGAGTCCTGCAGGGCCACTAGGGTCCATCTGGTTTTTAAGGCCAACATCTAAAGTCAGTTGCTCCAGGGAGCATGAAGATTTATGGAGATTTTGCTCACAGTCTGATCCAGGCCTGGGGACCCTGAGCCCAGTCACCTGGTCTGATCCTGCCTCTGGGTCTAGGTACCTGGCCGAGCTCTGTGGTGTTGGTGGTGCACTCCCAGGCACCTGCGGAGGAGGGCCCAGGGCCGAGTTTCCCACTGTGAGTCCTGCGTCCCTGTGGAGCATGCGGCCTGGTGGGCTCCAGGATAGGGGGTGGCTGAGTGTGTCCCTGGGGGGCTGCTGCTGGCAGGGGTGCACCTCACTGAGCTGCCCCCCCTTGCCATCTGCAGGGCGTGAAGCTGCTGTCCTACCTCTACCAGGAGGCGCTGCACAACTGCAGCAATGAACACTACCCCGTGCTGCTGTCCCTGCTGAAGACCAGCTGCGAGCCCTACACGCGGTGGGCAGCGGGCTGGGGGGCTGGGCTGGCGTACACTCCCACCAGGCAGAAATCTGAGAGCAGCCCCTTGTCAAGACACCTGTTGAATGTGGGGTTCACACAGGAAGGGGAGAGCAGGATAGGTGGACTGGGCAGGAATCCCCCACCCCCTACCCCAAACCCTCATGGACAGCATGCCCCACCCCTGCTTCCATGGACAGCCATGCCCCCTCTCCTCACTGCTGGCCCCACCCACCTCTCCACTGACCACACCCACCCCTGCTGCTCTCCCACTGCAGCTTCATCCACGACTGGGTGTACAGTGGGGTGTTCAGAGACACGTACGGCGAGTTCATGATTCAGGTGAACCACGAGTACCTCAGCTTCCGAGGTAGGTGGCAGCTGGCTACAGGGCGGGGCTCCGTGCCTGTGGGCCTGGGTTCAGGGCCACAGTCATGCCAGCCATGCTGGTATTTCCCCACCGTAGATAAGTCATACTGGACCCATGGCTACGTGCTCATCTCCAAAGAGGTGGAGGACTGTGTTCCTGTGTTTCTGAAGCACATTGCCCACGACGTGTATGTCTGTGGGAAGACCATCAACCTGCTGAAGCTCTGCTGTCCCCGGGTGAGGAGGGGCTCCTGCGCAGGGAAGGGAGGGGCCGGGGCCACGGCTGAGGCCAGGGCTGAGTGCCAGTGGCTGTGCCTGCATACCCTTTGGCAGCATTACCTCTGTTGGTCCGACGTCCCTGTTCCCCGGATCTCAGTGATTTTCTCCCTGGAGGAGCTGAAGGAGATTGAGAAGGACTGTGCCGTCTATGTTGGGCGCATGGAGAGAGTGGCCCGCCACAGCTCTGTCAGCAAGGAGGAGAAGGTGCGTGGCACCACAGGTCTTGGGGGCTTTCTTTGTGTCTGCCTCTGCTTCCTGGGGTTTCAGGCTGGTGGGGAGGACGTGAGGGCCGTGCAAGATGGGGGGCCCCCTTCTGGCATTTTCTGTTCTGGTGGTGTGGGTGGGTGGGTGCCAAGGGGGAGTTGAGACGAATGTCCTGGAGCCAGATGCCAGGGAGGGGCTCTGTCCTCTCCTCCTGGGTCTGGGTGGCTCAGCCTGAAGCCCAGGCTTTGCTGGCTTGGGAAGCTCCACTGGGGCTTCCCTTGGGCCTGCTGGCTGTGGACAGATAGTCCCGATCGTGCTCCAGGGCGGCAGGTGTGTGGTTCTACACTCAGGTGGCCTTTGCAAGCTCCCCTCCTACTGGGAAGGGATGATGTGTCAGAAACGGGCCACACCTCTCCTGCGTCCTCGGGGAGGGGCTCAGTGGTACATTTGGTGCCATTCCCAGGAACACGCTTTCTGGCCTGGGCAGGGGCAGGCCCAAGAGGCTGAGCAGGGAAGCTCCCTCTCCTCTCTGAGGCCCCTTGGTTTCCCTCCGGGATGGACACACAGCCTGGGGTCCTCAACCCCCAGATGTCTCTGTGAGAGCTGGTCAGCTTCAGTCTGTGGCCTGGAGCCAGCCTTGCCATTGTTGAGAGACGGGGCGGTGGGGAGGGGTGTCCTGCCATCACTCGGTGCCCTCCTCTCACCCTTGGGCTGTGTCTTGCCTGCCAGCCCTGATCCCAAACGTGTCCAAGATGAGGGGTCAGAGGACTAGTTTGCTTTTTTTTTCTTCGTGACAGGGTCCCACTATGTCGGCCAGGAGGCTGGAGTGCAGTGTCACCAACATGGCTCCCTGCAGCCTCCACCTCCCAGGCTCAAGGGATCCTCCTGCCTCAGCCCATCCCCCAAGTAGTTGATACTACAGGCGTCCGCCACCACACCTGGCTAATTTTTGTATCTTTGTAGAGATGGGGTTTTACCATGTTGTCCAGACTGGCCTGGAACTCCTGAGCTCGCACGATCCACCCACCTCAGCCTCCCAAAGTGTTAGAATTACAGGCATGAGCTGTTGCGCCTGGCCAGCGTGCTTTGTTTACCAATTGTCTTTTTTAGGAATTACGTATGGAAATTGCAAAACAGGAATTAATCGCTCATGCCCGGGAAGCAGCCTCCAGGGTCCTGAGTGCACTGAGTGGTGAGTGGCCCCAAGTCCTCCCTTCTGCAGTTCCGGGGGGCCTTGCTGGGGCCTCCTTGTGACTGTGTGCCCCTTATTTTCCCAATGCAGACCGGCAGATGTCGGAGCGGATGGCCTTGGATGCCCGGAAGCGCGAGCAGTTTCAGAGGCTGAAGGAACAGTTTGTGAAGGACCAGGAGGTGGGTGAGACCTGTCCCTGCGGGGTCAGGCCTAAGTCCTGATTTCACAGCCCAGGCTGTGTGTGCTTTATAGCGACGCCAGGCGGCCAGGCAGGAGGAGCTGGATGACGACTTCAGCTACGCCCGTGAGCTCCGAGACAGGGAGAGGAGGCTGAAGTCCCTGGAGGAGGAGCTGGAGAGGAAGGCGAGGTAGGGCAGCAGGGGCCCCAGGCCCAGGGGTGCAGGTGCGGCAGGGGCGCCGGAGCTCTGCTTTGATCTTACTGATGATTTTACTTTGTATTTTGGAAGCCTTCAGGCATACATTAAGGTAGAAAGACCAACATGCTGAACCCAGAGTGGCTGTGACCATTCTGCCATACGCAGGCGTCCGCACCCGTCCTAAGTGTTGCCTTGTGGGTGGTTTGTGTGGATTAGGGTCTGAGCAAGGCCTGTGTGCTGTTTGGGATCCTCTTTATCTTCTTTCTAAATAGGTCCCAGCCGGGTGCAGTGGCTCACGCCTATAATCCTAGCACTTTGGGAGGCTGAGGTGGGTGGATCACGTGAGGTCAGGAGTTCAAGACCAGCCTGGCCATCATGGTGAAACCCCATCTTTAAAACATAAATAAATAGGTCCCTTATTTATTTTTAAGTCTGTTATTGGTCTGACGAAGAGGGTGTTTTTTGTTTACTATTTTTTTTTTTTTTGAGATGGAGTCTTCCTCTGTCGTCTAGGCCAGAGTGCAATGTTGGGTGGAATCTCAGCTCACTGCAACCTCCACCTCCCAGGTTCAAGTGATTCTCCTGCCTCAGCCTCCTGAGTAGCTGGGATTACAGGTGCCCGCCACCACGCCCGGCTAATTTTTCTAATTTTAGTAGAGATGGGGTTTCACCATGTTGGCCAGGCTGGTCACAAACTCCAGATCTCAGGTGACCCGCCTGCCTCAGCGTCCCAAAGTGTTGGGATTATGTGCCCGGCCGAGATGGTGTTTGTCCAATACAGCAGTTGAGTCTCTCTATGTTGTCATCAGCCTGTCGCTAGTCTGAGCAGAGCTGGAGCTTTCAAGGGGCTGTTTGGGGTTTTAGAGAAAGACCTTCTCAGGAGGGTCTGGCTGCTTCCCGCTCAGCCCCACACGATGCTCAGCTGTCTCAACCCTAGATCTGTTCATGGAGCCAGCGAGGGATGTTTGTGGAGGGGTGCATGTGCCTGTGTGCACACGTCTGTATGCATTTATGCATGTGTACGTGTTTGTGCATGTATTTGAGTAGATACTGTCCCATTAACATATGGAGAAAACCAGGCCTGGACACCATGTCCCTGGCCTATCATGGGCAAATTAGAGCTGGCCAGTTCAGGTTTCAGCCAGGGTTCCATTGGAGCCCAGCACAAGTTGCCTGCTGGAGAAAATCTCAAAAGCAGGGGGCACGATAGGTGAGGCAGGCTTTGAATTCAGCAAATAAAGCGTTTGTGTTGGTTTTGCTTAATCAGGTCTGCACCTGTAGGAGAAGAGGCCTTGCTTCTTAGGGGTCTGGGGCCCTCAGCTTCCTGCTCAGCCCTTGCTTTAGGCCATGCAGGATCTTATTCTGGTTTTCATCCAACAGACCTTGCTGAGCCCTGGCTGGGCACCGACTTGCCAAGGTTTTCCAGCCTGGCAGGGGGAGATTAGGGGCAGGGGCCCACTGGGGCCTCTATTGTACAGAACCATTCTTACCCGAGGGGCGCCAGGTGGATGGGGTGGGGTGACTCTTGTGGCTGTGTCCTTTCTGGGTGTGGCTTCAGGCAGGCGCTGGTCGACCACTATAGCAAGCTCTCTGCAGAGGCGGCTCGTCGGGAGCAGAAGGCGCTGTGGAGAATCCAGAGGCACCGACTGGAGAGTGTACGGCTTCGTTTTCTCTTAGAAGATGAGAAACGCATTCAGGTACTGCAGCAGCTCTTCCCCTGGGCTTTGGGGGTCTGGTAACCCCCTGAAACTGCACACAGACCTGCGTGCTCTTATGGGAGAGGGCTGGTGGTTCTCGTGTTTGTGGCAGTGCCACTGAATTGCAGATAGAGGTGGTGAGGAGCTTGTGGTTTTGGAGTGCTTTCTGCAGGCTGGGGTCCCAGTGGAGCCCGGCACAAGCCTTGTCTGGTTCGGTGCACATGGTTGCTATGGGCGTAGGGGCTGTGGATTCTGTGTGGGACTGGGGCTGTGCTTTTCTCCAGCTCTGCTGGTCCTCCCTCTGGCTTGAATTTCAGGAGATGCTGAAAGCAATGCCTGAGGCTCACCAGTCCCGGGAGCCGCCAGACTGTCTGTTGAGCCCACACTCCCAGGTGAGCGGCAGAGTGGAGCCCAGGGTGCCCTAGCTCTGAGCTGGGGGTGCCGTGCCTGGCTGTTTGCTGTAGCCCTTGGCACCTGCTGAGTGTCGGTCATGGCTGCAGAGCTGAACTTGAGGACAGAGTTTGAGGGCTCGGGGAGCCTGAGACCAGACTGGGTCTGATGTCATGTGTGTTTCAGGTCACATCTGGCCCTGAGCACCCAGACGGAGGCCAAGGCTGTGATTCTGGCACTGCAGAGCAACATTCGGCTTCCTGTGATTGCCCAAACAGGCCCAACCTGCGGACCCCACAGCCGCCTAAGCCTTCAGCAGTGGGAGCTGGTGGCACAGGGCTGCAGCAGGCAGAGGAGCCTGGGCCCTTCTCTGATGGCCTCAGCATTGGAGACTTCCTACCTGTGGGCCCAGGGGCTGAGCAGTCTGTGCAGACTGGCACAGTCCCTCTTCTGGAGGCAGCGCTGCAGACCATCAGCTCGGACCTGCCTGCCTCAGCTCCTGGGGAGGCACCCGCAGCAGCCAGCACTCAGCTCGCCAAGCCCCAGGAGTATGACTTTAGTACTGTCCTGAGGCCGGCTGTGGCCGCCTCACCTTCACCAGGGCCCCTCCAGGCTGCAGAGTGCAGCTTGGGAGGCTCAGGGCTGCAGCCGTGGGAGGACACTGGTGGGAAGCTGGATGCCTGTGTCTCTGCCTTGCAGGTGGCCCTGCCTCCCTCACAGCCACCCAGGTGTGCCGCCCTGGAGGAGGGGAGCAGCCAGCACACACAGCAGCTTTTTGGGCATGTGTCAGGGGGTGGTGTTCCTACAAGGGGCTACAATTCTGGAATAGCTCCCACTCTGCCACGGAGGAACACGCAAGGGCACTTGTCCGATGCCAGCATCAGGGTCGGGGAGCAAATGTCAGATGTGGCTCCTACCCGGCCACGGTGGAACATCCATGGGCACGTGTCTGATGCCAGCATCAGGGTTGGGGAAAACATGTCTGACGTGGCTCCCACCCGACCACGGTGGAACATCCATGGGCATGTGTCTGATGCCAGCATCAGGGTAGGGGAGAATGTGTCGGACGTGGCTCCCATGCGGCCACGTTTGAACATCCATGGACATGTGTCCGATGCCAGCATCAGGGTTGGGGAGAATGTGTCAGATGTGGCTCCTACCCGGCCACGGTGGAACATCCATGGGCACGTGTCCGATGCCAGCATCAGCTTGGGGGGGTGCATGTCAGACGTGGCTCCAACCTGGCCACGGTGGAACACCCACGGACCCATCCCTCCGCCCCATGTGATGCTGGGGTCCCTCTCACCAGAAACTGAGCCCAACACACCCAGGCCCCAACAGAGCCTCCCTGGCCACATGTCCCAGTCAGCGCCTAGCCTGGAAGCACAGAACGCTGCTCTGGACTGTGGGCCACAGTTGCCTGTAGAAGTGGGGCCATCTCTCTCCTCCCCCAGCTTAGGCTGTGGGGAGGAGAGCGTCAGCATGGGAGAGAACGTGTTGGACGTGGCTCCCTCCTGGCCACAGTGGAACATCGAGGGACACGTGTCTGATGACACCATCAGCATGGGAGAGAACATGTCAGATGTGGCTCCCACCCAGCCATGCTGGCCCAACACCCCGGGAGACAGCATCTCTGAAGAACCAGGTTAGAGTTGGGTGACCGATGGCCAGGAGTGGGACTGTGGGACCTAGAGCCTGGGAGGTAGGTGGGAGGTGGGGCTGGCTGCGAGTGAAGGTCCCCTCAGGACTCCTTGTCTGTTGGGTAGGACCTGAGCTGCTGTTTGGGGGACATGAGAGGGGCTGCCTGAGCCAGGGCTGGCTCTGCTCCGTCCCCTCCGCACGCACTTGGCCCAGACACTCCCATGTCCACTTGTGTCCACACAGGCCCTGGGAGGAATGGGGACACTGAGGAGCTCTCTTCAAATTGGCCTCTGAACTCACAGGTGAGGCAGATGCAGCCTGGGGATCACACAGCACACAGGGAGGGCTCTATGCCTCTAGGTTATCACGTGGGCAAGTCCCACTTGCGGTTTTCCTTTTGACACAAAGTGGGCGAGTGGCGGCAGCAGCATGCGGCAGGGGCAGCGTGATGTGGGGAGGTGGCTCTCAGGCTGGTGTTTTGTTAGGAAGACACAGCTGCCCAGAGCAGCCCAGGACCTGGTGAGGAGGCGGCGGAGGCCTGGGACGGGGAGCAGTCCTACCTGGCAGGCCTGGCAGGGCAGTACCACCTGGAGCGGTACCCGGACAGTTACGAGTCCATGTGTGAGTGCAGTGTTGCTGAGGGCAGAGGCAGAGGCAGAGGCAGAGGCAGAGCCCTGGGTCAGCAGGTTTCTAGCACGCTCTCCGTCTCCCACAGCCGAGCCACCCATCGCTCACCTTCTACGCCCCATGTTTCCACGGGCCTTCGCCTTCCCCGTGGACACCCAGGTGCAGTCCGCCGCAGACGAGACCGCTGTGCAGCTGAGTGAGTTGCTGACGCTGCCTGTGCTGATGAAGCGCTCCATCACGGCGCCGCTGGCGGCCCAGTGAGTGCCCTCACCCCAGCCAGCCTGCCCGCCCCGCCCTGCCCGCCCCAGCGGCAGCCTGACTCCAGCTCCCTCCTGTCAGCATCTCCTTGGTGAACAAGGCCGCCGTTGACTACTTCTTTGTGGAGCTGCACTTGGAGGCACACTATGAGGCGCTGCGGCACTTCCTGCTGATGGAGGACGGCGAGTTCGCCCAGTCCCTCAGTGACCTGCTCTTTGAGAAGGTGACCTCCAGACGTGGAGCTGGGGTGGGGCCAGGGGTAGAGGGGAGGCCCTGGGGAGGGGGAGACTGGCTGCAGGGCCTCAGCTTCCCTGCCGCTCTGGCACAACCCCATGAGGTGCCGGTGCGTGGCCAGGGATGTGCTTGGGGCTCCTGGGGACGCTAGTCCCTTTTCTGCGCAGCTTGGGGCCGGGCAGACGCCTGGGGAGCTGCTCAACCCGCTGGTGCTGAACTCCGTGCTGAGCAAGGCTCTGCAGTGCAGCCTGCACGGGGACACCCCGCATGCCTCCAACCTCTCCCTCGCCCTCAAGTACCTTCCCGAGGTGTTTGCCCCCAATGCCCCGGACGTGCTGAGCTGCTTGGAGCTCAGGTACAAGGTCAGCAGCAGCCCTGGCCACGGGAATGGGGCACGGGCCTGCCCATGGGATGCCTGCTGAGCGGGGGGCTCCTGGCAGGTGGACTGGCCCCTCAACGTCGTCATCACCGAGGGCTGCCTGAGCAAGTACAGCGGCGTCTTCTCCTTCCTGCTGCAGCTGAAGCTCATGATGTGGGCACTTAAGGACATCTGCTTCCACCTCAAGCGCACAGGTGAGGCCTCGCTGGACCCTGGTGCCCTGGGGTTGAGGCTGTGCTCACCTCTGCCCTCTCCTTTCTGCCAGCCCTGCTGAGCCACACGTCCAGCTCCGTGCAGTTCCGCCAGCTGCAACTGTTCAAGCACGAGATGCAGCACTTTGTGAGGGTCATCCAGGGCTACATTGCCAACCAGATCCTGCACGTCACCTGGTGCGAGTTCAGGGCCAGGCTGGCCACCGTGGGCGACCTGGAGGAGATCCAGCGCGCGCATGCAGAGTACCTGCACAAGGCCGTCTTCAGGTGAGGCCTGGGCACGGCTGCGTCCCTTCGTCCCTGTGGTCGAAGCTCAGCCCACCCAGTGGCACTGCTTCCCCCAGGGGCCTGCTGACGGAGAAGGCGGCGCCCGTCATGAACATCATCCACAGCATCTTCAGCCTTGTGCTCAAGTTCCGCAGCCAGCTCATCTCCCAGGCCTGGGTCCCTGCTGGGGGCCCGCGGGGTGCAGAACACCCCAACTTTGCACTCATGCAGCAGTCCTACAACACCTTTAAGTACTACTCCCACTTTCTCTTCAAAGGTGAGGGCCACCCCCGCTGGGAGAGCCAAGTTGGGGGGGCAAGGCGGGGTTCACACCGTGGGCAAAGGCCTGAATGGCTTGCTGATCCCCAGTGGTGACCAAGCTGGTGAACCGCGGCTACCAGCCTCACCTGGAGGACTTCCTGCTACGCATCAACTTCAACAACTACTACCAGGATGCCTGAGGCTGCCCTGGGCACACGCACAATAAAGGTGTCCTGGGACCCTGTCTGTGTCTGTTTCTCCCAGGCGGGGGCTGAGGACAGGGCAGGGGGGAAGAATGACCACGGCGATGGGGCCTGAGGGAGTTGCTGGTTTATTTAGGAGCCTGGGTCCAGCCCCCAGGGGCCAGAGGGGTGGTGGGGCTGCCCTGCTGAGCCAGCGTCAGACAGAGACAGGTCAGGTCCTGACTGGATGTCTCTGCCTTCATGGAAAGACGTGTGCGTGGGCCAGGGCAGAAGCCCCCAGCACAGAGGAGATAGCCTGGCACCGTCTCGGCCACTCAGCAACACATGGGGGCCTCGGAAGACTCCAGGGGTGTGGAGCATGCCGAGGCCATTACGATGATCATGTCACACACAGTTCTGCTGCCCAGAGCGGGGGCTTGCTGCTGTAGGAATGCTGCCCGCCGGTTGCCCCTCTGGCCTCCGTGGCCTCGGGCTCTGTGGCAGTGCCTGCCTCGCATTGGTAAGGGGTCTCCAGCAGCTTCAGTACCTGCCGAACCTGGAGGAGTGTGAAGGTGAGAGGGGTCTGAGCCTGACCCTCCTCCCACGGACCACAGGGATAGTCACGTGCTTGCCTCTGAGAAGTCCCCACGCTCGGCAGCCTCGATGGCGTTCTGCGCGATGTAGTTCCTCAGGACATACTTGGGGTTGCTGGCGCGCATCACACGCACACGCTCGGCCTGCCAGGCAGCAGCATCTCCGGCGCCTTCCAGGTCCTTGTCCAGCCGGGCTCTGGAATTACATCAGACTCTCGAATCACAGCCGGGCTGGACCTTCCCAGCATAACCGTGGACGCAGAGCTCACCTGTACTCCTGGAGCCAGGTGGCCCAGTGGTCGTGGTTCCTGCTCTGCAGCTCGGCCACGCTCAGCTGTTCCAGCTGAGACTGCTGCTCCACGCGCTCCAGCTCCCTGGCGATGCCTGCCCGGGTGCCCATGAGTGCGAACAGCTGCGGGTTTGACTGTGCCAGCACCAACATCATGGACAGCTGCCTGCAGGGAGGCCGGGGTGTCTGGGAGGCAACCCCTGACTGGGTCCTGCCCTGGAGGCAGGTGTTCCTTCCGCCCCACCCTTGAGACCCACTGGCAGAGATGGACCCAGGTGGGCACACACCAGCCATGCCCATGCTCTGCTGCCCAGCTTCCTGCTGGAGAGTCTGCGCCTCCAGAGTTCAATGCTTGTGGGAGAGGCACTGCTATTAGCACTTCCCTTATTTCCAGAAGGGTCCAGATGGGCAGGGGGCTTTATGTCAGCAGGGCCTGCTGGCCAGTGCTCCCTGCCAACCCCACTAGTATTGTTTAAGTTAAAAGCAACAGCTGGTGTGGTGGCTCATGCTTGTAATCCCAGCACTTTGGGAAGCCAAGGCAGGTGGATGACCTGTGGTCAGAAGTTCAAGGGCAGCCTGACCAACAGGGAAAAAAATCTCCTTTCTACTACAAATAAAAATTAGCTGGGCATGGTGGTGAATGCCTGTAATCCCAGCTACTTGAGAGAATGACGCAGGAGAATTGATTGAACCCGGAGGCAGAGGCTGCGGTGAGCCAAGATGGTGCCACTGTACTCCAGCCTGAGCAACAAGAATGAAACTCCTCAAAAAAAAAAAAAAAAAAAAGCAACACCACTTGGGCAGGACTTCCCTTTGGAAGACAGTGCAGGAAAGGGTGGCCTCTGGGAACCTGTCCTCTCTGGCAAGTCAGAGGCTTTCTCTGAAGCTCACCTGCAGCAGAGACCACTGTCTCCCCTACACCTGTGCTGGCATCATCACCCTCTCCTCTGTAACCACTGGGCCCCAGCCAGCTCTGCCTTCAGCTTCCCCTCCGGCCCTCTTTCTGGAAACAAATCCAAGGAAGTAGGAACCAAGTACCCACCGGGGATCCATCTGGGGCCGGAAGGCTAGCCTCAGCTCCTCCAGGGAAGCACACTGCTCCATCAGCCTGGCCAGGAACTCCGCCAGGCCTGGTGACTCCGGATCCACCAGGAAGGAGCTCAGCAAGTAGAAGGTATTTGTGAAGTCGGCACCTGGAACACAGGCTGCTCAGAGAGCCAGAAGCAGAAGGCCCAGGGTCCTCATCCTGGTGCCACTTGGACCCACACACTCCCCTGGCACAGGTGCTGCACACACCGCCTCCCCCACCCCTGCCGCACACACACATCACCCCTGGCACAGGTGCCACACACACTGCTTCCGGGTACAGGTGCTGCATGAGCCCTGCTCAGCCTCGGATCCTGGGACTCCTCAGCCTCCACCCATCCACCACCCAGCAAGGCTGCCACTCTGACCCTGCAAAGCCACCTGTAACGTGGGCTAATACTGGGAAGGCATGGGGGCTGCTGCTGGCCTCACACCATCACAGTCACCACTGCCTGCTCTGGGAGCTACTGAGTGTAACCCACCTGCAGAAGACCCAACATGTGAAAGACAGATCCTCCCTGATCAGGGAAACACCGTCATGTGTGACCACGGTCAACCCTAAGCCCACATCTAAAAACACACAGAGAACGAGACAGGAATCAAAGCAAGTGCTGCGAAGTCCAGTACACACGGAGGAGGCAGCGACGGAGAACGCAAGGGACCAAAAACATGGCGGACGTTGTCCCTGATAAGTAATAATCCTCCAACAAGAAGCAGACAGGCAAAACAGGTGAAAGACAATTTCCATGCTGTCTACACCATCTGCAGGATGTTCAGTCACCAACAGGCTGAAGTGAAAGGGTGGAGAAACCCAGGCAAAGAGTGACCTGAAGAGAGGTGAGGCGACTGGAGTGCAGTGGTGTGATCTCGGCTCACTGCAGCCTCCAACTCCCGGGTTCCAGCGATTCTCCTGCCTCAGCCTCCCAAGTAGCTGGGTTTACAGGTGCCACCACCACCATGCCCAGCTAATTTTTGTATTTTTAGTAGAGATGGGATTTCACCATATTGGCTAGGCTGGTTTCGAACTCCTGACCTCAGGTAATCCGCCCACCTTGGCCTCCCAAACTGCTGGAATTACAGGCATGAGCCATGGTGCCCAGCCGGGTAAGATTTTAAATAAAAAATTGTCACAAGGGCCGGTAAAGGTAGCTCACCCTTGCAATCCCAGCTACTTGGGAGGTAGAGGTGGGAGGATCACTAGAGCCCAGGAGGCGGAGGGTGCAGTGAGCCATGCCCAGGAGGCGGAGGGTGCAGTGAGCCGTGCCCAGGAGGCGGAAGGTGCAGTGAGCTGTGCCCAGGAGGCAGAGGCTGCAGTGAGCCGTGACTGTGCCCAGGAGGCGGAGGCTGCAGTGAGCCGTGACTGTGCCCAGGAGGCGGAGGGTGCAGTGAGCCGTGCCCAGGAGGCGGAGGGTGCAGTGAGCCGTGCCCAGGAGGTGGAGGGTGCAGTGAGCCGTGCCCAGGAGGCGGAGGGTGCAGTGAGCCGTGCCCAGGAGGCGGAGGGTGCAGTGAGCCGTGCCCAGGAGGCGGAGGGTGCAGTGAGCCGTGCCCGTGCCCAGGAGGCGGAGGGTGCAGTGAGCCGTGCCCGTGCCCAGGAGGCGGAAGGTGCAGTGAGCTGTGCCCAGGAGGCAGAGGGTGCAGTGAGCCGTGCCCGTGCCCAGGAGGCGGAGGGTGCAGTGAGCCGTGCCCGTGCCCAGGAGGCGGAAGGTGCAGTGAGCTGTGCCCAGGAGGCAGAGGGTGCAGTGAGCCGTGACTGTGCCCAGGAGGCAGAGGGTGCAGTGAGCCGTGCCCGTGCCCAGGAGGCGGAAGGTGCAGTGAGCCGTGCCCAGGAGGCGGAGGCTGCAGTAAGCCGTGCCCGTGCCCAGGAGGCGGAGGGTGCAGTGAGCCATGCCCAGGAGGCGGAGGGTGCAGTGAGCCGTGCCCGTGCCCAGGAGGCGGAAGGTGCAGTGAGCCATGCCCAGGAGGTGGAGGGTGCAGTGAGCCGTGCCCGTGCCCAGGAGGCGGAAGGTGCAGTGAGCCGTGCCCAGGAGGCGGAGGCTGCAGTGAGCCGTGACTGTGCCCAGGAGGCAGAGGGTGCAGTGAGCCGTGCCCGTGCCCAGGAGGCGGAAGGTGCAGTGAGCCGTGACTGTGCCCAGGAGGCAGAGGGTGCAGTGAGCCGTGCCCGTGCCCAGGAGGCGGAAGGTGCAGTGAGCCGTGCCCAGGAGGCGGAGGCTGCAGTAAGCCGTGCCCGTGCCCAGGAGGCGGAGGGTGCAGTGAGCCGTGACTGTGCCCAGGAGGCAGAGGGTGCAGTGAGCCGTGCCCGTGCCCAGGAGGCGGAGGGTGCAGTGAGCCGTGCCCAGGAGGCGGAGGCTGCAGTGAGCCAAGATCGAGCCACTGTACTCCAGCTAGGGTGACAGATCGAGACTCTGTCTCAGAAACAAAAAACAAACCCCAAACACAACATATCAAAATGGATGGATACGGCAGAAGCAGTGACCAGAACATACACAACTGTAAATGGCTACACTGAGAAAAATATCTCCAATCATTGACCTCACCTCACGCCTAAGGAACTGGAGAAAGAACAGCCAAGACCGAAGTTGGCAGCAGGGAGGAAAATATGATTAGAGGGAGAAAAAGGAAAAACGGAATAGTCTGAAGAAGCAGAGGACAGACACTGCGTAACTCCACTTACATGAAGGATTCAGAGCAGGCAGATGCCCAGACTCGAAGTGGAGAGCTGCTACCCGGGGCTGCAGGGAGGGAGTGGGGAGCTGGTGACTGACACGCACAGGGTTCTGGTGGTGACGTGAATGGGCCCAGGCTCTGCTGTCCAGCACTGCTCATGTGCTTTCAGACAGCCAAGAGGATCTATGTCAACTGTTCTTACCACAATAAAATCGTTTTTAAAAAGCTGCTTTGAACAATTATATGCCAAAATTGCCTACATGACATGGATAACCCACAGGACACCTAGAAAACTGACTCGAGAACAGCAGGAAATCTAAATTGATCTAAGAGAAGCAAGGAGATTGAGCAGTAATAAAAAATTTCCCAACAAAGAAAATTCAGGACCAGGTGGCTTCACTGGTGAATTCTATCAAACATTTTAAGAAGTAATAGCAATCCTTCCCAAACTTTAAGGAAAAAAATGGAAGATGTGGGAATACCTCCTAACTCACTCTGAGGCCAGCACTGCCTTGATGTCAAAGCCAAACAAACACTAAAGAAAAAACGAAGCAAAACGATGAGCCAGTATCCCTCACGAATACAGATGCAAAAATCCTCAAAATATTAGCAAAATTCAGCACATTAAAGTAATTGTACAGCATATGGCCGGGCGTGGTGGCTCATGCCTGTAATCCCAGCAACTACGGAAGCTGAGGCAGGAGAATCGCCTGGACCTGGGAGGTGGAAGTTGGGGTGAACCAAGATTATGTCACTGCATTCCAGCCTGGGCAATGAAAATGAAACTCCGTCTCGGGGGCTGGGCGCAGTGGCTCACGCCTGTAATCCCAGCGCTTCGGGAGGCCGAGGCGGGTGGATCACGAGGTCAAGAGATCGAGACCATCCTGGTCAACGTGGTGAAACCCCGTCTCTACTAAAAATACAAAAAATTAGCTGGGCACGGTGGCGCGTGCCTGTAGTCCCAGCTACTCAGGAGGCTGAGGCAGGAGAATTGCCTGAACCCAGGAGGCGGAGGTTGCGGTGAGCCGAGATCGCGCCATTGCACTCCAGCCTGGGTAACAAGAGTAAAACTCCATCTCAAAAAAAAAAAAAAAAAGAAACTCTGTCTCAAACAAAGAAACAAACAAATAAATAATTACACAGCATATTAAAAGGACCAAGTAAAATGTATCCCCAGAATGCAGGGAGATATGAATGAAACAATAAAACAACATGATCATTTTCATTGCAGGAAAAAGCACTGAAGAAATACAATAGCCTTTCCTACGAGGTCAAAGCGCTCTAAAAGAAAACTTCAGCATCGGAAACGTTGTATCTAAAAAAGGCCACAGCTAACATCACGCTCAATGGGTGAAACCCTGAACACTTCCCCCAAAGGTCAGGAACAAGAAAAGGATGCCCCTTCTCGGCTACTTCTATTCAACATGCACAGCTCCAAGTCCTGGCTAGTGCAGTCCAGTGAGTCACCCACATGATCCTGCAGTCCTACCAGCCGTGTGCCACAAAGACCCGAGAGCGGGGACCTGGAGACCTCTGCACTGGCGTTCACAGCAGCACTGCACCCCGTACACAATACGCTGCACACGACAGCCAGGAGGGGACAGTGTAGGTCAGAAGGTCACGGAGAAGCAGCAAACAGGCCTGTCCATGCAACAAGATGCTTCTCAGCCTTCAAATGGAGTAAAATCCTGACAGACCTGGATGAACATTCAGCATGTTACGCTACGTGAAATAAGCAGTCACGGAAGGACAGACACTTAGGAATCCACTTACAGGAGGTCCCTAGATTCACCAAATTCATAAAGACAGAGGAGAATGGGTATGCCAGGGCCTGGGGTGGGCATGGGAGTGAGTGTGCACCTGGAAAGGTAAACCATCGCTAACCACAACAGAATCAGAAACGCCTGCTGTGGACACACCTGGCCACTCACCTGTCAGGTGCATGGTCTGCAGGAGCCTGGACACCAGCGCCCCGTCTTCCTCCAGCTCCACCTGCACAAGGCCCAGTTTCCTGCGCATCTTCTGCAGGTAGTGCCTTTGGAACTCGGCGTCAAACTCCTCGGCCAGGATGGCCTCGCCCAGCTCCAGGGGCAGCTCCGGCTGCAGCGCCTCAGCCAGCTTCTGCAGGTTCCACTTGCACACCTCGGGCTGCTTGCTGTATGCATAGCGGCCGGTGTTGTCTGAGGCGTTGCACACGTGGTCGGGGTCGTACCTGTCACATGGGGCGAGAGCCACGCCCTGCCTGAGGGGACGCTCCCAGGAGATGGCACAGGCAGCCTGGAGGGGAGGCCCAAAGGAAGTTCCTGTGTGGCCGTGGCTCTCCTGCCCTGTCCCACAGGGGTCCTGTCTCTGCAGTGCCCCGACTCTCTCCTTCCTGTATTGGCCGCCAGCCCCGTGGGCTTCCCTCCCACACCACGGGCCAGCGCCTGGGGCAGCAGGTTTCAGGCAGCCTGCACTTTGCTGCTCACCTGTCCAGGAAGCCGAAGGGCCCGTAGTCGATGGTCAGCCCCAGGATGCTCATGTTGTCAGTGTTAAGCACGCCATGGCAGAAGCCCACGCACTGCCACTCGGCCACCATCCTCGCCGTACGCCGCGTCACCTGGGGCGGGACAGTGTGCTTGCTCCCTTGGGGTCCTCCCCAGACCCCCCGACTTGCAGCCGCCCTTCCCCTCCTGAAACCAGCTGAGCTTCACTGAGAAGCTCTCACTCTGGTATCTCCGGGCAATCTGTCCGGAGGACCCGTCACCGCTTCAACCACAGGGCAGCGATTAAGAGTGTGCTGCCAGGGTTCTCATCCCCACTTACACCATCTGCTCTTCTATATGCTCATAAAATCTGGCTTTTACCGAAACTAGAAAAATCAGGGAAGCCCAGACTCAGGCCCAGGAGAGACCCCAAGAAGCAGGGAAGGGCTGGCGCACTGCGGGGCCATACCTGCCCCAGGGTCAGGCCACTGTCCACTCCGGTGCCATCAACCAGACAGCAGATCCCACCCAGCCCAGCACTGGCAACCTTGAGAATAGGTGCCAATCAACAGGGAGGACAGGAGCCCCCAAGATGCAGGGTGCACTGAGGGCCCCGCCGAGCACAGGCCCGACACTGCCTCACTCCTGCAAGACCACTGACACTCCTGGGAGGCAGTCAGCGCCGTCCTCTGAGGCGCCAAGGGGCAGAGTGACCTGCCCTGACCACACACCCACATGTACGCCAGAGCATAAGGCTGCGCCCAGTGGCTCCTCCCGGCCTTCTGTGGCCCCACTGCCCATCCACATGGAGCATGGCTGACGCGGACTGAAGGGATGGAGCCGGCACAGGACACGGCCCCAAGAGCACCTGTCTGGTGCCCACTTCTGCTGATGGCAGCTCAGTAGCTCCCAGCCACATGCAAAAGCAGGTCCCCACACAGCCCTGACTGCAGCTGCTCCAGGAATGGCCTGAGACCTCTCAAAGAAGATGCTGTGCCCGGGCCCCCTGAACCCCCACTTGGCCTAACCCCACTGATGCTGCAGGACCCTAGCCCAGCCAGACCAGGCGCCGGGTCTCCCTACTGTGCCCTGAATGCCCTGTGACAAGGACGACACGATTAGACCGTGTGGGACGTATATGCTGTCCGTGGGGCAGGGACCCAGACCCAAGCTGGGCGCCCAACACCTCCCCAGTCAGGACCTGGCCGGCTGCTCTGGGCATCATGACATGTCGACCCACATGGGAGGTGCCCAGTGTCCATGGTTGCTTCCACCCAAGCCAGCTCCTCCCCACCCCAACCCCCCGAGCTGGCCCTGCAAGGCCTCCAGCAGGAGAGCACACCCAGGCCCCCAACGCCACTGAGCACAGGGGAGCTTCAGGTTTGTCCCAGGGCCCGATCACACGGTATTTGTGAGAAGTTGGCGCGAGGGATGGGGTTTGTGAATAGGACGGGGAGCTCGGAAAAGGGTGGGTGGCTGGGCAAAAGCCTCTGTCCCCTGGCCAAAATGAGGGTGTCTTCAGCACAGGTGGGGACACCCAGTACCCTCCCACAGAGGGGACGGTGTGCAGCCCACTGACCTCCCGGAAGAAGGCGGCGTTTCTCTGCACGCTGTCGCTGGCGTGAGCAGCCTGGATCTCAGGGTAGAAGGAGCCGATGACGTAGTCGAGCAGCTGCACACGAATGTCGTTCCTCCCCACGCTGGGGCCTGCGCGCCCCGAGTGCTCATCTGTGGACTTAAAAATCTCAAAGGATCCAAACCTGGAGGGAAGACCCGAGTTGTCTACAGGTCAAACCTGACCCCAGCCCCTTGTGAGAATAAGAAAAAGAAAGACGTGTTGTGGCTGCTCGATCCTGTAGCTCTAACGCAGAAAGAGAACCCTGATTAAGACAAAATCAACCATCCAAGACGCACCCGGCCTGACCTGACACGAACACAGACATGCTCCACTTTTGGTCAACATCCGGCCACTGAACAAGCCCTGTTCGCAGTCTGGGGCACGTGCCGGGGAGGCCCATGGGCTAGAAACCACCAAGGCTCCCTGCACCCCGACCCCAACCCCATGAGGAGGCTTTCTGCAGGTTTTACACATGGAGGGGCTTGGCCTGCCACTGTGTCCTTGAAGAGGGAGCGCAAAGGAGAGTCAGCTTCTACAGACACGCATCTGTGAGCACTCAGCAGTGGCCATCCTCCAGGCTGACCCTTCCCTAGGGGACATCAGGCAATGTCTAGACACATCTTTTGTCGTCACAACTGGGGTTACTGTTGGCAACCACTGGGCCCAGGGCAGGGAGGCTGCACGGCGCACAGGATGGACTCCACAGTGATGCCCGCAGACCTGCTGGACGGGGCCTCAGAGGAAGTCGATGCCCCAGATCCTTCCCATCCCCCCAGAGGACAGGAAAGGCCAGAGGCCCACAGGCAGCCTCAGGTGTGGGCGGCTGGACAGGGCCACAAGCCCAAAGGCCACCTCTGGACCACTCTATATTCAGGCGTTCAGGAGGAGATGCTGGATGCCAGGTGGCAAGGTGACATCGAAACCTGATGGCTGGGCCTGTCATCCCAGCACTTTGGGAGGCCGAGGCGGGCGGATCACCTGAGGCCAGGAGTTTGACACCAGCTTGCGAACATGGTAAAACTCTGTCTCTACTAAAAATACAAAAAGTAGCTGGGTGTGGTGGTGCATATCTGCAGTCCCAGCTACTCGGCAGGCTGAGGCAGGAGAATTCTTGAGCCCAGGAGGTGGAGGTTGCAGTGAGCCTACATGGCAGCACTGCACTACAGCGTGGGCGACAGAGTGATGGTCCGTCTCCAAAGCAAAACGAAAACTGGTAACTGATGGCTCATGTCAGACAGGATCCAGCTCAGAAGGACGGCAGGCCAATGAGCAGCTGGACCATCAGTGAGAAAGCAGGAGCGCAACACCAGGCACAGCACGCTCGCAGCTCCTGCTGCTTCAGCGGCCCTCACAAAGGCCATTTCCTCGGTCAGGTCTGAGGAGTTCCTTGTCATCAACTCCAGCAAACAGCTCTGGATGCTGTCCCCCAACCTCAGGCAGCCCCTCCTGGGAAGCCCCAGGCAGGAACCCTTCTCTCTGCCCGTGGCCCTGTACCCTGCTGCTGGTGCTCCGAGGCATGCCAGCTCCCACAGGGCCGTCTCTGGCTGCAGCGAGAGCCTGGACAGGCACGTGGGAGGGCTTGGCACAGGTGTGCCGACCCAGGACCGAGCGCCTTTGTGTTCAAATCCTGGCCAGTGAGTGTGACGCAGCTGCTTTGCGGACAGGCAGCTTCTCAGGCTGCCAGGGATGGGCTGGACTCTGAGAAAAGGCCACGGCAGTCATCTGGGTTTCTTTGTTTCTGCCACAATCCTAGCAGCATAGGCCCAAATCTCCTAAGACTCTATAAGCAAGTGCGCATAGACAAGCCTAAAGGACCCCGGCATTACCTTATGAAAGTGGAAGCTATACGCAACACAACTGTGCATTTTTCATATTTGGGATTACCATCATAGAACACATCACGCGCCACTGTGGACTCAGATGTGACGCAGGCGCCGGCCCGTGTGGTGGGGACCCCCAGGTGGAACATGGCTTCGCTGCACAGGAACTCCCGAATGCTTGACCGCAGGACCTTGCGACCGTCGGCCTGTCTGAAACCAAACACAGAGTTCACTACACAGGCGGGCGGGAGTCACCCAACACCAAGACTCAGGGCAGCACACTGAGAGGAGGGAAAGCATGTAAGAGCCACAAGCGGCTCGAATGTCACTGAAAACAGCCCATCCTAGGGGACACCACCCAGTTCCAGCCACTGCATATCCAGCGGGTTGTTGGCACAGCCTCTGATGAAAGTGGGCCTGAACACATGAAGCAGCCTGTCCTGCCCAGGACGAGGTTCCACAGAAGAAGCTGGGACTGTGAGACTGTGCTGCAGGGGCGAAGGGCCTGGGGCAGCCTTGCCTCATGGGACAGGTCCAACTACAGCCTTTGTCTGCACCAGGACGGTGCCAGGTACGGGCAAGCCAGGGAATCAGCTCCTCTGTGTCTGCTGGAGAGGTTATCCCGAAGCTCCCACACCACCTGCCAGCCTGCAGAACCCCACTCTGGGGCTCCAACAGTGCTGGGCTCAGGCCACTCACAGCCACTTTGGACCCCCAGATCTCACATCCCTTCCCTAGCCCACATCGTAGCTTCCAGGCCTCGGCCGGGCACTCTAGGATGCGTGTGGGGAAGGGGCTGCGAGCCCTGAGGGCCAGATGACTGCCCCTTTCTTCTCCATTATTTTCACTGTGGTAAAATACATATAATACAAATATACCGTCTTAAGCCACTTTTCTTTTTTCAAGACAGGGTCTCACTCTGTCACTAGGCCTGGAGTGCAGTTTTGAAATCAGGAAGCATGAGTCCTTCAGCTTTCTTTGTATTACTTTTCAAAACAGGCTCTCACGCTGTCATCTAGGCTGGAGTGCAGGGAGACAATCACTGTTCACTGCAGCCTTGAATCCCGGGCTCGAGCAATTCTTCCACCTCGGCCTCCTGAGTAGCTGGGATTACAAGCACACGCCGCCTTACCCAGCTAATTAAAAAAAATTGTTTGAAGATACATGGTCTCCAACTTGTGGCCTCAAGCAACCCTCCTCCTCCCTTGGTCTCCCAAAGTGTTGGGATTACAGGAATGAGCCAGCACCACTGACCCCATGTGAACTTTAGAATGGACTCTTCTATTTTTGCAAAAACTGTCATTGCTGCCACAATCTCTTCAAAGAGCTTCTTTCTTTTTTTTTTTTTTTTGAGACAGAGTTTCGCTCTTGTTACCCAGGCTGGAGTGCAATGGCACAATCTCAGGTCACCGCAACCTTCACCTCCCAGGTTCAAGCAATTCTCCTGCCTCAGCCTCCCGAGTAGCTGGGACTACAGGCACGCGCCACCACGCCGGCTAATTCTGTACTTTTAGTAGAGACGGGGTTTGTCCATGTTGACCAGGCTGGTCTCGAACTCCGGACCTTAGATGATCCATCGGCCTCAGCCTCCCAAAGTGCTGGGATTACAGGTGTGAGCCACCGCACCTGGCCAGGAGTTGTCTTTCTAGTAAGTTATCCAACCCATAGACAAGGGATGTTTCTACTTGTTTATGTCTTCTTTACTTTCTTTACTTTTTTCACTGTACAAGTCTCTTCCTTCTCACGGCCACTTCAGACATTAGCCTCAATCTCAGAGTCTGCTGAGGCCAGGGACCCCAGCTGCTCTCAGCCAACTTTTCAGACACAGAACCGAATGGGTTTGGGGGGTGGTGAGGAAGACCCCTGCCAGTCTGAGGAGCTTGCTGGCGAGATGGAGCCCTGGGAAAGGGACGCTGAGGGGCATTTCAGGCGCTGGATAGGGAGGAGATGAGAGCACAGGGAGGGGTCCGAGAGGCGGATTTAGCATTTTTCTGAACATAAAATATACACTTGTGGATATTTTTTTCTTAGTCATTCCTCAAGCAGTAAAGAATATGGAGTAAGTTCATTAACTGTTTAGTGGAAAAGAGCAGAACAGCCCGAAGCGCTGTCTGTACACAGGAGGCAGGTGGCGAGTGCATGGCCCCCCTGTGGGCCTGGGCAGCATCTGGACCCAGGTCTTGCCTTGGACGACCTGTGTGTCCCCCCCCCAGGAATCGAAACGATGCCCACCTCACTTCGGGGTCAAAGAGGGCTGCCCGCAGGGAGTCAGGGCAAGGCTTCTGTGAAGTCAGTCGCAGAGCGAGGCTGCTGGACCAAGCGGCCCGCCCCACAAGCTATGGGAGGAAGGCTGGGGAGCTGCGGGTTAGGGTTAGCCTAATCCCTCACTCCGGCTCCCGCCCCTGGGCTTGGAGCCCCAGCGAACGTCGGTAAACACCAGCGGCGTCACTGGTGGAGCTGACTCCAAGGTCCTCTGCAGGCTCATGAGCACAGAGCGCGGGCGGTTGGCAGCACCGCGTTCCCGCGCATGGAGCGCAGGCCCCACCTGGCAGAGGCCGCAGGACGCCCCCAACACCGCGCCGAGCGGAGAAGCAGGGGCGCCCCGGCGGGGAGGACCCACCCGCGCCCCTCGCCCGCCCTGGCCCACCTGGAGAAGGGCGTTGGCCCGGCGCCCTTGAGCTGCAGCTCCCAGCGCTCGCCGGCCGCCGTGCACACCTCGCCTAGGTACATGGCGGCGCCGTCGCCCAGCTGTCCCGCGAAGTGGCCGAACTGGTGGCCGCAGTAGCAGTGCGCGGCGGGCTCGGCGCCCGGTAGGAGCGCGTTGCCGCTGAAGAACAACGCGGCCTCGGCCTCGGCCTCGGGCGCGGGCGGCGCCCCCAGACCCAGCAGCGCCAGCGCGGGCTCCGACAGCGCCACGAGGCGGGGCTGCCGCAGCGGGGTGGGCCGCACGCGGGTGAAGCAGGCCCCGGGCACGAGCCGCGGCGTGGTCGAGGCGCCCTCGGGACCGGCAGGCGGCGTCTCCACCGGCAGCGCGCGCAGAGCGCGGTTGTCGAAGCGCAGTCCCGCCAGCCAACGCGGCGCAGGCTCCATGGCGGCGCCCGACAACGCAGAGCGGGGCACGGGCGACAAGCGGCAGCGGCCGAGGAGCAGGAGTCGGGCAGCAGCGAGCGAGGCGCCGACAGCTACCCTGTGCGCTGCCATCGGCGGCGCCGATTCCGCCGGAAGCCGGCCTGCCCCGCCCGGAAGCCCCGCCCCGCGTGCCCCGGAACCCAGTCGCCCGTGGGAGGGGCGGGGCGGTGTCGTACCGGGCACCGATTGGCTGCCTCGTTCGTCTGTTCGCGTCTCTGGTCCAGAGAGTCGGAGGTGTAGGGGTGGCAGCCGGCGTCTTGTGGCGCGCGCTGCCGGGGCGCGGGGTGACACATGGTGACGTCCCCGAGACCGCCACAGGCGACCCCGCTCGGGCAGCCCTGGATTTTCTCCGCTGCACCGGAGCTGGCAGTCTGTTCGGGTCGGGCAGGGGCTTAGCGCCGCGCCCCACATCTCGCCGCCTCTCGGGCCCCTCCTGTTGTCTAGGACGGAAGGGGTCTTGGACCCGGCACCGCCCCCGGAACCCAGCCCGGGCTCGGAGAGGCCCCGCGAGGCCGCAGGCGCAGAAGCTCCCGGAGGGCTGGGCGGGCATCGGCGTCCGCGGCTGGCTTGACGGGCCCGACCCCCGGGGGAGGAGTTTGGGTTCCGTTTGGCCGAATGAACGCGGGGGTTCAGACGAGCCTGAGGCCCTCCCGCTTTCCGTCTCCTCCGCGATCGGGCCCCAGAGGACCGTCTGAGAGGCGGGTGTCCGCGGACCCTGGACGCGCTTCCCGCCTGCCTGTGGTCTCCGTTTTTTCCGGCAGCGCCGCGAGTCCACCCTTCACTTCCAGGAGCTGCATCCAGAACCTTGTCCTGGGGCCACAGCGTGGGCTTCCGAGACCCCTCGTGACCGCAGCTCTGTGCTTCGGGGCAGCCTGGCGAAGCCCTCAGGACCCTCCGCGTGGGTGGGTGGGTGGGTGACGGGGATAAGGCACAACGTGGTGAGGTCCCGGTGCCCGACACTACCCTGCAGTCCAGCCTTTCCCTCGGCAGCAGCCCCCACCAGGCACTCTGGCCACCCCTGCTCCGAGCATCCTCCCGGGCAGGTGTTACCCCCGGGGCCCTGGGCCCTCCTGACCCATCTTTTCGTTCCCTGGCCTCAGTCTGATCCACACTCTGGAATCTGTGGGACTGGGTATGGAGGGTCGCGAGTGTCAGGCCACTTGCATCCCACAGGCCAGCATGGAGGGACAGTGGCCCTGTGTCCTTTGCCGCGAACCAGGCAGGTTCCCCCTGAGCCCCGGCAGGGCTGCCCGGCAGCACAGGGAAGAGACCAGGGTCCTTCATTCCCTGAGCCCCATTTCCACACGTCACAGAACAGGAGTTTCCAAAATTAGAATTTATTTCAGTTTCTATGGAACAAATCCCCGAGTGTGGCAGGAAGGACACGGCCAGCTCCTGACGCACACCTGATTTGATTCAACATTGAGTCAGCAGACACAACCAGAGATTGCCGGGGTCCAGGCTGAGGCTGCACGGGGTACGTCCTGGTCAACCAGGAGGGACTCCCCGCACACAGGTGGCCGCCGGGCAGGAGGCCTGAGGGGGCAGGCCTGGCAGGAGCCAGGCACACACAGTCTGTCCACAGAGGGCCAGGATGCCCCTGGGCACCCCCTCGCTCCGGGGGGCTCAGGACACAGGCTCCCAGCTGAAGCCCCGCCTGGGCCCAGAGCTGACGTTCGGCTGTACACGAGCCCACTCGGGACAGACCCAAGAACACAAATTCTGTCCCCCCGGATTTAAGGCTGGTGTTTTTTTGACATTTACTTCAGTTTTTCTCTTTGAAGTTAAAATTACCTGAGTAAAGATTTTGAGACATTAAAAAAGCCAAAAACACAGAATCCCTGCTGGCAGACAGCGTTGGGGAGGTGGCAGCCAGGCCCAGGATGCCAGGGGCATGGTGGGGTTGGCTGGAGCTCGAGGGCCGGGCCTTTCCCAGTTCTCGCCTGCCAGGGAGGTCCCAGGAGCTGCCCCTGGCATGACGCTCCCATGGCCAGAGCACAGGAAGGCACAGTGAGGTAGGGACAGTGGCCATTGTCCCCCACCCGCCACCAGGGCTGAGAGGGCGCATGCCTCGGCCTCTTCTCCAAGCCCTTGCCCCCCCGGGAGCTGGGCATCTTGTCCAGAAGCCGGTGAACGGCCCCTGCAGTGTGGGAGGGGAGGGGCTGCGGGAGGCCTGAGCTGAGACATTAAATAATTCTTTATTTGGGTGGGCTGGTGGAGGGGTGATGGGACTGGGAGGGCAGGTGAGGCCCGGCCCAGACCCCCATGGGGGGTGGTGGGGGCCTCGGGTGGGCTTGGATGAGCCTGGCATCCAGCAAGTGCCTCGGGGGCACTGGCTCCTCAGGGGCTCCTGAGCGTGTGGGGAGCAGCTCCTACTTGTGCCTTGCCTCAGTCACCCTCTGCAGGCAGTACTGCGTGGCAGGCAGCGACAGGACCAGGCTGGCGGTGCGGCGGCCCATCCAGTACAGGCTGTAGCCCAGCAGGCCGAAGAAGGCGGCCTTCACGGCCAGCCGAGACACTCTGCTGGAGATGGACGGCGGGGGCACGCTGGGGGAGGGAGGGGGCGCTGGGCCTGGCTGGGCGTGGGCTCCCCACACCCTAGCCCCCAGGCCTGAGTCACTGCCACGTATGGCTGGCCTCCCAGGGGCTCAGCCTCCACCTGGGGGGCTCTTGGGGCGGGCTGGGCCTCGGGAGGTGGGCACTTACGTCATGATCTCCTGGATGTTGAGGTCGGTGCTCCAGTTCTTCTCTATGCCAGGCACGTGCCCCATGCCCACGACGCCCACAACCACGGAGGGGACACACTTCCTGGGCTCGGCTGTGGGGGAGGACAAGGGATTAGTATCTGCTCAGGCCTCAGCCTCACAGGGGCCCCTTGCCCACGGGCGGCCGTCACCGTCAGAGGCCCGAGGCAGCTCGAGGCGCCGGGCGGCCTGGCGCAGCATGTAGGTCAGGTAGACGTCACGCTCGGAGACGATGGTGCGGTGCAGGTCGGGGAACTCGCCGATCATCTCGGCCATCATCTGCTCCAGCAGGTCCTTCTGCTTGCAGCGTTCCACGTCATCCTTGCTGTGGAGAGGGGTGGCTGCAGCCCCACAGGGACGGGGCAGCGGCGGGGCTGGCACCGGTGCCAGGCAGGGACCACAGCACGTTTGTTTGGGATTCATGGTGGAAACGAAGGGTAGGAGGGAAGGCCTTGAGTGAGGCTCAGCCTGGGCAGGCGTGGCCACGCTTGGACACACACAGGAGGACCTGGAGCCTCCACAAACTACCCTGCAGGCCACCCGGGGTTCCGGGGGCAACCCTACCTGATGGGGTCTGACAGGAAGCACAGGCCCCAAGCCAGCCTGACTTTCTGCCAGAAGGAAAGTGCGGCAATGGCCCTCTTGAAGGTGACGGGGATGGGCCGGTCACCCAGGTGGAACTTGCAGAAAGGCACCTTGCTGGCCTGGAGCAGAGGCTGCGCGTTGGGAAGCAGTGGGAGCCCAGAGCCACCCCTGCGAGCCACGTCCCTGTGCTCACCCACCGCCTTGCCCTGTGCCCACCTCCTTGAAGGCCTCCCTGAACTCGCCACCTGGAGCCATGCCCAGCTGCTCGGTGATGTGTGCAGACACCTTCAGCAGCAGCATCTGCATAAGCCCCGACATGAGCCCGTTCTGCAGAGAGAAGGGTGGGGGTGGGGGGCACATGAGCCCGTTCTGCAGAGAGAGGGGTGGGGGTGGGGGGCACATGAGCCCGTTCTGCAGAGAGAGGGAGTGGGTGCCGGGGGTGGGGGGCACATGAGCCTGTTCTGCAGAGAGAGGGGCGAGGGTGGGGGGCACATGAGCCCGTTCTGTAGAGAGAGGGAGCGGGTGTCAGCTGGGTAGGGTGCAGGGGTGCGCAGGGGGCACCAGCACAGAGCCCCGCCGCAGCCCCCGTGTTGTGTCCTCTGCCCCCTTCCCGAAAGGCACAGGACCACCCTAGCAAACAGAAGGTCAGACCAGAGCAGGGAGTTCTAGCCAAACAGGCACTTCTCAAAGGTAGCTCCTTTCAGAAAAGGGCTTCATGAGGGAGCCTCAAAGGCTGAAACTCTCTGAAGCGCAGCGCTGGGCAGGCAGGCTCGAAGCTCACACCCGCCTGCTGGGGCCAGTACAGCACCGCCACAGGTGCAGACGCCAGGCCACTCACATCACAGCAACCACAGCCTAAGGCCCAGCTGGGGCCAAGGGGCTGTCCACATGTGAAGGCGATGCCTCCCTGGGAAGGGGGGCAAAGCCCAGGGGCCACACGCCCTGCACATGCCCAGGGAAGGCCTGGCTCTGAGCCCTGGGCGAGCCCTGCCTGACGGAGTGCCTGTGTTTCCCAGGGGCCCAGGCCACCCTGGAGAGTCCAGGCTGAGGGTGAGACGGGCACCGGGCCTTGGTTTGCTGGGACGGACTCTACCTCTGGAGGGGCTGGGGCCGGCGCTGGGTCAGGCTTATGACTGACCCCAGCAGAAACCCAGACGCTGGGGCACAGGGAGGTCTGCAACAGCCGTGAGTCACACCTCGGGGACACGGCCTGTTCCGTGCCCCTCGGCACAGCGGGCACCAGCACTCAGGGCCCCTCCCCGGCTCCCTCCGGAGGGGACAGGTGAAGTGGCACCTGGTGTCTCCCAGACCCTGCCCCACATCCTCTTCCCTCTGTGACGCTGCAGCAGTGAGCACCACAGCCCTGCCGACGTCTGTGCCGCTTTGAGATTCCTGGGCCCCAGGCTCTGGCAGAGTGGCTGCCCGGTGCTGGGCCCCAGCTGGACTGGAGACCGCCCTCTGCAGGGCAGCTCGCAGAGGTCTTTGGTGACTTCCCTCACCTGGAGAAACTAAAAACTGAAAGGCAGGCGCCAAATGTTTGGGGATATTTCTACATCTCATTTCAATGGTTTCCTTTAATCAAGGGGGAAGGCAAGCTGACCAGGGCTGGGGTCAGGCATGCTGAGTCCCCTCTGAAAACACAAAGACTGACCAGGCACAGTGGCTCATGCCTGTAATCCCAGCGCTTTGGGAAGCTGAGGTGGGTGAATCATGAGGTCAGGAGTTCAAGACCAGCCTGGCCAACATGGTAAAACCCTGTCTCTACTAAACATACAAAAATTAACCGGGCATGGTGGCGCACGCCTGTCGTCCCAGCTACTTGGGAAGCTGAGGCAGGAGAATGGCTTGAACCTGGGAGTCAGAGGTTTCAGTCGGCCGAGATCACGCCACTGCACTCCAGCCTGGCGACAGAGCAAGACTGTCTCAACAGAAAAAAACAAACAAAACAGAGACATGAGAAAGTCCTGCCTCTCAGGTTACCACAGGTCTGGAGGAGGGGACGGGCTCGGAGCCCCACTCTGGGCCTGGGAGGCCAACCTTGCACCGAGACCTGCCCCATCCAGTGATTGCTTAGCAACCCCATCCTCAGGCGACCAGCCCCTGCCTTGGCTCGGAGAGGCACCCATCTCCTCCTCCCTTGCCTGAAACCCAGTAACGGAGCCTCATTCCTTTCCCCTGGCCTGGGGGAGGTCCCCAACCCAGCAGAGCCCCAGGGCAGGCCAGGCCACGCTGACTGGGGGCACGGGCTGTGGGAGGGACCCAGGCACACAGGTGGCTTTGACCGCAAGCCTGACCCCGACCCCAACCCCAACCCTGGCCCTCGCTGCGTACCTGCCTCACAGCCTGCTGCAGCTTCTCCAGGCTGAGCTCCTGGGCCTCTCGCAGCAGCGTGCTCTCATCCATCTTCAGCATGGACACGCGGTACTGGCAGAGCTCCACGACCACCACATCAGGCTGGACCTCCCGGATGGTCTGCAACAGCCGTGAGTCATACCTCGGGGACACGGCCTGTACTTCGCCCCTCGGCACAGCGGGCACCAGCCCTCAGGGCCCCACTCCGGGGCCAGCCAGCATTGGCTTCGCCCCAGTGCTAGCTAACCCCGACGCTAGTGACCGTTCAATTCTTTAACAAGGAGGGAAAGCTGAGAAGCTGGCCCACTTGTTAGAGTGGGAAGACACACAAGGCGTTCACGGCTCCCAGGCAGGAAGCCCACCTCGCCACTCCCAGGGACCACGGAGTGTTGGAGGTAGCCTACAGCGCACAGGGGTCTCGGCCCCCATGGTGGCCACTGAGACACATGGGCCCTCCACGAGTGCAGGACGCAGGAGCTTATCACCGACCTGCGTCCGGGCCGTGGCGGGCCACGGTGCTCACCTTCACCACGTCCCTCTTGCTGTCGTCACTGAAGTGGGCTGTCCCTACCACGTACACCCTGCTCCCGTCCTCGGCTACCAGCTGGGTCACAGTGCGTGGCAGGTTGGGTCGCTGGCGCCGCCGCTTCAGCTTCATCTCCAGGAGCAAGTTGAAGGCGTCCACGTCGGCTGCAACGACAGCACAGGCCATTGTGGGGCGGTACCCGCTGGCAGCCTGGGTCTGGGACCCTCCCAGGTTCTGAGGACTGAAAGGTGCGGGGCACAGGCTCCCCGACGAGCCCCACGCCCCACACGCACCCCGACGAGCCCCACGCCCCACACGCTCCCTGAGCCCCACGCCCCATACGCTCCCTGAGCCCCACGTCCCACATGCTCCCCGACGAGCCCCACGCCCCACACGCACCCTGACGAGCCCCACACCCCACACGCTCCCTGAGCCCCACACCCCATACGCTCCCTGAGCCCCACGTCCCACACGCACCCTGACGAGCCCCACGCCCCACACGCTCCCTGAGCCCCACGCCCCATACGCTCCCTGAGCCCCACGCCCCACACGCTCCCCGACCAGCTCCACGCCCCACACACTCCCCGACCACATGCTCGCTGAACCCCATGCTCCACACACTTGGCCTGCCTGTGGCGAGAACACCAGCTACCACCTCTGAGCTGGACGCCTTTGAGAAGCCAGGGCCTCAGGAATCCTGTGCCCCATACACACCTTGAGGGCGAGCTTAGGGGCTGCGGTGGGTGACACACAGCATGGTGGACGGTGGAGGGGCGGGCGCCCCAGGGGGCTCAGCTAGGAACAGGGCTCTGAGGAGGCAAAGCTGGCATCTCCACCATAGGAGGGCTCTCATACTTCTCACACTCCTTGTGCTCAAGACCCCCTATGCCCAAGTCCAGCCTGTGCTGCTGGCAGCCCTTCCAAGAGGCTCTGCTGCCAGGCAGGGCCCAGAAGCAGCTGCTGTTGGGGGTCAGGTCTGCCCTCTGGGGCACTGGGCCTAGCAGCACCCACCCCAGGTCTCGGCCACAGACTCCAAGCCCCTGACAGTGGTCGGCCTCCCCCGCCTTCTCCCTGACTCAATAGCCCAACACCAGGGAACGAGCTGGGGCCCTGAGGGAGACGTACACAGGTTCTGGGGGTCTCCAGAAAGCACCCTGGGCACCGACTCTGAAGCCTCCGACGGCACAACAGGTTCCACATCGGCCTGCAGGTGAAGGGAGAGTTCAAGTCAGGGTCCATGCACCCCGAAAAGCTGGGGCTCCATGCCTACCCCATGGACCATGCACCCCGAAAAGCCGGGGCTCCATGCCTACCCCATGGACCATGCACCCCGAAAAGCCGGGGCTCCATGCCTACCCCATGGACCATGCACCCCGAAAAGCCGGGGCTCCATGCCTACCCCATGGACCATGCACCCCAGAAAGCCAGGGCTCCATGCCTACCCCATGGACCATGCACCCCGAAAAGCCGGGGCTCCATGCCTACCCCATGGACCATGCACCCCGGAAAGCCGGGGCTCCATGCCTACCCCATGGACCATTCACCCCAGAAAGCCGGGGCTCCATGCCTACCCCATGGACCATGCACCCCGGAAAGCCGGGGCTCCATGCCTACCCCATGCACCATGCACCCCGGAAAGCCAGGGCTCCATGCCTACCCCATGGACCATGCACCCCGAAAAGCCGGGGCTCCATGCCTACCCCATGGACCATGCACCCCGGAAAGCCGGGGCTCCATGCCTACCCCATGGACCATTCACCCCAGAAAGCCGGGGCTCCATGCCTACCCCATGGACCATGCACCCCGGAAAGCCGGGGCTCCATGCCTACCCCATGCACCATGCACCCTGGAAAAGGCCCCGTAGCCGCTCCATGGAGCCTAGGCCCTGCACTGCCATCACTGGCACGGCCGCCATCAAGCTGGGCAGACAGGGCCACCAGGCACGCCAGCCCAGGACCCCTCTCCCTCAGAGGTGCCTCCTGCCTGACCCTAGAGAACCTCGTGAAGATCATCTTTGCAGAGCAGCAGCCACGGACCGACCCCAGGAGCCCACATAGTGGAGAGGCCCCCACGCCTCTGTGCAGATAGCCCACCCTGCCTTACCTCATGCGCTGGCTGCTGCTCCTCCCCGTCCATGGCTGGGTGGTGACTTCCTGCACCAGTGGGGAGCCTGAGGAGAGGCATGAGAAGTGGAGTTTCCACCTGGAGCCCCAGGCCTGACACAGGGCTCACTGCATAATGCCTGGTCTAGAACCATCTGTTGGGCGGGACTGCGGCCTCCTTCCCCCATATCCCCGACTGCCTCCTGCCCATGAAAGGCTACTGAGGTCCAGGGTCCGGTCCGGTCAGGGCTGGGTGGGGAAAGGCCAGCAGGTCCCCAGGGACCCCCACCCTATGCAAAATGCAGACGGGCCTAGGTGGGTTGCTGATGCACAGGCCTCACTCAGAACAGGGCCAGGGCGGCCCACTCCCACAGCGGCACAGCGGGCACAGCCTGGGGTCCGCGCATGGTCTCAGGACACAGCAATGTGGCTGCTGACCAGTGGCGCAGACCCCAGGGCCTTCGTAAGAAAGCCACTTCCCCTTTTGGTAACCACAGCCCCGGCAACAATGTTAGCACAGAGTCGGTACAGATGGAGGAATCCACAAAGCACACAAGTCAGCGTGTTCGGAGCCAAGACCTTCTCTCCCAGTTTAAGATTAAAAAAAAGGCAAATGAAGCATGGAAGGCCCATGCTGGACAGGCTGGGGCCGCCACGCGAGGAGGCTGCCCCGAGGTGCCATAGCTCCCCACCAACTCTCCTGAGAGAAAGGAAACAGCCAGGCGCCTGAAGCGCTGGAGGCACACACCGGCCAAGGCCCGCAAGGCACTGCAAGACCTGCCTGGAGCTCTCCGAGGCCGGGGCAGGGACTGTCCTCCCACGTGGCTCTTCCTGAATGTGCTCAGCCCCGGAACGCCAGGAGCAAGTGTTTACAAAGTCACCAGCTTGTGCATGTCCTGGTGGATGGATGTATCGCCAGGCAGTCATTAAAATACTCAAAACAGGCCGGGTGCGGTGGCTCAAGCCTGTAATCCCAGCACTTTGCGAGGCCGAGGCAGGTGGATCACGAGGTCAAGTGATCGAGACCATCCTGGTCAACATGGTGAAACCCCGTCTCTACTAAAAATACAAAAAATTATCTGGGCATCGTGGTGCGTGCCTGTAATCCCAGCTACTCGGGAGGCTGAGGCAGGAGAATTGCCTGAACCCAGGAAGCAGACGTTGCGGTGAGCCGAGATCGCGCCATTGCACTCCAGCCTGGGTAACAAGAGCGAAACTCCGTCTCAAAAAAAATAAAATAAAATACTCAAAACAGGCCAGGTGCAGTGGCTCATGCCTGTAATCCTGGCACTTTGGGAGGCCAAGGAGGGTAGATTGCCTGAGCTTAGGAATTCAAGACCAGCCTGGTCTCGAACAGACTAGCCTGGCAAAACCCCATCTCTACTAAAAATACACAAATTAGCCAGGTGTGGTGGCACACACCTGTAATCCCAGCTACTGGGGAGGCCGAGGCAGGAGAACTGCTTGAACCCGGGAGGCAAAGGTTGCAGTGAGCTGAGATCACATCACTGCACTCCAGCCTGGGTGACTCCCGTCTCAAAAAAAAAAAAAAAAATGTGAGCTGGGTGTGGTGGCTCACACCTGTAATCCCAGCACTTTGGGAAGCCAAGGTGGACGGATCACCTGAGGACAGAAGTTGGAGACCAGCCTGGCCAACATGGCGAAACCCCATCTCTACTAAAAAAAATACAAAAATTATCTGGACATGGTGGTGCATGCCTGTAGTCCCAGCTACTGAGGAGGCTGAGGTAGGAGAAGTGCCTGAATCCAGGAGGTGGAGATTATAGTGAGCTGAAATTGTGCCACTGCACTCCAGCCTGGGCAACAGAGCGAGACTCTGTCTCAAAAAAATAAAGTAAAAAATAAAAGCGATGAGCTGTTGGAAACCATTCTAAGCTGCCTAGTTGTGCCCAGTATTGTGGTTTTGTCTTAAAGTGTCTACATCAGTCAGAGACAAGCATCTGGGGGGAAACAACAGGGCTTCTAGGATGCGCCTGGGAAGGTCCTGTGGCCGGGCTTCTAGGATGTGCTTCAGAAGGGGCCGCTGCCAGGTTCTCCTGCCTGTGCATCTGGGGTCATTTCCATGTCACTGTTGCTGCCCACTTCTCAGAACTCGTAGTAAAGAGGAACAATGAGTAAGAAGATGCTATGTCAGGTTCCTTTTCTCTGCACACCCTGTTGGCTTGCAACAGCTGCGGCAAGCACAGACTCCGGCTCCCGCCAGGACTCACAGACATCCCAGTTAACATGCCTCCAAGCTCGGGTTTCCTCACCTGTGAACAGGAAGGAGCTCTCCGTACAGCGTCTGGGAGGGCAGCTCACCCTGAGAATGGCTGGGACTTCTGGAAGAGGAACTGGCCTGGCCTGGCCTGGGGCGCATGGCGCAACAGGGCCATGGGGTGGGGGGAGGTCAGCTGGGATAGCTGATAAACACCTGGCTGGCCTGGGGACCTCATCCTCATTCCCCCAGGGGCCTTGAGCCTCTGCAGAGGGCAAGGGGAGCCCACCTACAGGCTCCCCTCTGGGGCCTTTCAGCCCTGGCAGGGGGTCCCACTCCTTTCCACCTGGGTTTCAGTCTGGACCTGACCCGGCCTGGGTGTCATAATGGTGGGCACATCCAGGAAGTGCTGCTGCTGGCACTGGTCAAAGCGAGGCCAGGCCTCAGCTCTTCGGGCTGCCTCCTTCCCCTTTTGTAGGCAAAAGCTCCACAGATGCAACCCATTGGGAGCTGTTGTGAGCAGCCGCCAGGCCAGCACCCAGACAAGCACCCAGCCCAGGGAACGGCCACCTCTCCAGGGTCCAGCTGCACACACGAGGTGCACAGGAAAGCTCCTTAAAGAAACATCCTGTGCGGCCGGGCGGGAGGCTGTCGGCCCAGCCAACGGCAGGCGGCCACGTCGCCACAGCCCTTCCCCCAAGGGTGTGGCAGCCCCAGGTCTGCGGTCAGCCCCGCCCTCCATCCAGCCTGGCCAGACCCGCCTCTGAGGCCGGCCCAGGGTGCACCAGTGGCCATGGACAGGGCAGGACCTCCATGCAGCAGCAGGCACTGGTCCTGACCCTAGCTGTGCCATGGGGTGGGCATGCACAGGTCTCCTGACCAGGAGCCAGGCCTTGGGCAGCGTGAAGTAAGGGCCACCGGAGGTAGCACCAGCCCCCAGCCCTGGACCCTGCAGCCTCTCAACAGGTGTACTGCCCGCACAGGGTCAGGCAGGAAGGCCCCTGAGGCCCCCCCAGCACCTGAAGCCTGTGATTCTGGGGGTCTCTCTGACAGTCACCCTCATACTCCCAGCACTCTCTTTCCTTCCTGGCCGAGGCCCTCTGGATAGGTGGTTTCAGGAGGTTACCAGGCCCCTTCCCTCTAGCCTGCTCCCAGGCACTGTGCTCTCAAGACACGTACGGCTGGGCCCCAGCCTCTCCCAGCTGCCTGTCGGTCAGCAAAGGGCCCTACCCGGAACACCCGCAGATGGACCTCGACTCCCTGCTCCCAGGCTGTACCCACTGTGCTTCCTACCGCCAACCTCTGGGTCCCAACAGAGCATCGCCTAGGGGTCCAGTCAGTGCACACGGCAGCCACCCACTTCCTATCTGTCCTTTTCATGTACGCTCGGGCCCATCAGCGAGACCAGCAGACTGCTGGCTGGCCCTCCGGGGGGACAGGCACCTTTCCTCTCTTGGCTGCAAGCACAAGCCACATTCAGACGCTGCTTTAGCCCCTGAGCTTTCCTGCTGCGGCGTGTTCTGTCCCTAAGGCACAGAACAGGGTGGAGACCCGTGGGGCGAGAAAAGACTTAGCACTCTGATTTCAGGAGACCCTAGAGCTTCTGAAGACACTTGTTCTCCACGCGCTGCTCCTCATCTGTAAAAAGTGACATCTGGCTTTGGAAACCAGGATCCTCTGCAGATAAAGCCTCTGAAAATTCCCAAGCAACAGCCCGCACAGCCCGCAGGGCGTCCGGTGTGAGCATCAGGCTCCAGGGCTGCCTCAGGCGGCATATCCCACCTGCCTGCTCAGGTCCCGCTGCTCAGACCGACCTATGTCCCCAAAACCCACAGGTTAAAGCCCCAACTCCCAATATGAAGATATTAGAAGGTGGGGTGATGAGGTTCAGATGAGGTCATGAGGGCGAAGCCCCTGTGACAGGCTCAGTGCCCCCTCTGAGAGACACCACGCAGCTCTCGCTCTCCCCAGGTGAGGATGCAGCCAGAGCGGCCCGTCTACAAGCCAGGAAGATGCATGGCTACCAGTGACCAGCACCTTTCATCCGGGACATCCGGCCCCTGGAACCGTGAGAAAACAGATTTCCCACCACCAGTGGGGCACAGAGGAGGAGCCTACTAACCCACAGCCCCAGCTACTCAGGAGAGGCTGAGGCAGGAGAATTGTTTGAGATCTAGAGTTTAAGACAAGACCTCATTTTTTTTAGATGGAGTCTTGCTCTGGTGCCCAGGCTGGAGTGCAGTGCACTATCTTGGCCCACTGCAACCCCTGCCTCCCAGGTTTAATTGATTCTCCTGCCTCAGCCTCCAGAGTAGCTGGGACCACAGAGGCACGCCTCCAGTCCCAACTAATTTTTGTACTTTTAATAGGTAGGGGGTTTCACTGTGTTGGCCAGGCTGATCTCGAACTCCTGACCTCAGGTGATCTGCCCACCTCAGCCTCCCAAAGTGCTGGGATTACAGGGGTGAGCTGCCGCACCCAGCCTGTTATTTTTTAAAGTTTCCTGCAGCCAGAGCCGACACCATCCTACCCCTTCCACCCTACTAGAAACTGCCTCCCAGACTCCAGCCTAGCTTCCTAGTACAGGCCAAAAGCTGGCTGGCACCAGACCAAGTTCCCGGAAAAACCCTCACCTCTCAAACATCCCACTAGACCAGCTCAGAAAGCCAAGGTTCCAACCTGGTCAGACTTGGGTGTTGCAGAAATGACAGACTTGGAGGGACCAGGGTGTGGCCCAGAGCTCTGATCTCCCCTCCTTCCCATTTCTGAGGCCAGGCATCTTTGGCCACAGGAAACCCCTCCCGGGTCTGGCAGGGCGCTTCATGCAGGTGTGGCAGAGCTGGGGGGTGAGGGAGGCGGAGCCCGAGGCCTTCTTGCCAGCACACCTGGTACCTCCCCATCCCTGGGGACCTGGTCACAGGCAATGCCGAACCCCCCACACTGACCACCACGCCCCAGGCCCTGCAGGCTCCTGCCACCCACCCACCCCGCCAGGCCCTCCTCAGATCCCACAGCATCAGGGTCTCCATCGAGGCTGGCTAGCAGCAACTCCACCAGTCACACTGCAGGGGTAGTGGCAGCAAGGGGGAGGAGAGACATACAGGGCCGTAGCCTGGCAGCCTCCACAGCCTCATCAGGGACCTGAAACCCAGGACGCGTCCACCTGGAGGCTGCCGAAGCCGCAGGAGTCCCTGCAGGGAGTTCAGCCCCTCAGCACGGTCCTGGTTGTTTCCGGGAGGCTGATGCCCAGACGGCTCCCACTCCGTCTTTCTAGTAAGAGTTTTGACAGACACACGGCAGCTTCATGGCAGCTGTTAGACCTTTCAAGTTTGGGCGCGCACAGTGCGGGAAGATCTGGCGTCCACTTCACCCATATGGGAACCCTGCTCTGCTCCACTTGAAGGGCAAAGGCACCTACAGACGAGTCAAGCCCCAGGTCTCAGCGGGGCTGGAGGGACAACAGGGGTCTGGGGCCTCCCGCTCCGCCTTCCCCAGGAGCACCCCGAAGGCCCGCAGGACTGGGCCGCCTGCCTTCCTTGGCTCCCACCTCGGCCGGGTCCACCACAGGCAGTAGGCGGGGGTGGTTGGGGCCTGGGGCTCTCCTGACCCGCAAGGACCCCGGGACTCGAGGTCCGACCCACGCCCTACCGCGAGGCCGCTGCTGACCCTCCTGGCCCCAGCCCTGGGGGCTTTGCTGCTCGGCAGCACTTCCCGGAAGCGGTGGCCGGGGACGCGCGGGGCCTGCTCCGGCCCTAAATCTGACCCAGGCCTGACCCCCACGAACTGCTCCCGCCCTAAATTTGACCCAGGCCTGACCCCCACGACCTGCTCCGGCCCTAAATCTGACCCAGGCCTGACCCCCACGAACTGCTCCCGCCCTAAATTTGACCCAGGCCTGACCCCCACGACCTGCTCCGGCCCTAAATCTGACCCTGGCCTGACCCCCACGACCTGTTCCCCCGGCCCCACAACTGACCCGGGCCCGGCCCCCCACGATCTGCTCCCCCGGCCCCACAACTGACCCGGGCCCGGCCCCCCACGATCTGCTCCCCTGGCCCCAAAACCTGACTCGGGCCTGACCCCCACGACCTGCTCCCCCGGCCCCAAAACCTGACCCGGGCCTGCCCCCCACGACCTGCTCCCCCGGCCCCACAACTGACCCGGGCCTGCCCCCCACGACCTGCTCCCCCGGCCCCAAAACCTGACCCGGGCCTGACCCCCACGACCTGCTCCCCCGGCCCCAAAACCTGACCCGGGCCTGCCCCCCACGACCTGCTCCCCCGGCCCCACAACTGACCCGGGCCTGCCCCCACGACCTGCTCCCCCGGCCCCAAAACCTGACCCGGGCCTGACCCCCACGACCTGCTCCCCCGGCCCCAAAACCTGACCCGGGCCTGACCCCCACGACCTGCTCCGGCCCTAAATCTGACCCTGGCCTGACCCCCACGACCTGCTCCCCCGGCCCCACAACTGACCCGGGCCCGGCCCCTCACGATCTGCTCCCCTGGCCCCAAAACCTGACTCGGGTCTGACCCCCACGACCTGCTCCCCCGGCCCCAAAACCTGACCCGGGCCTGCCCCACGCCCCCATCCCCCGACTCGGGCTCGTTCACCCCGCCCCCCACAGTCCCCCCACTGCCCCGACCTGGGCCCGCCCCCAGCCCGGTGGCGGGTCCTCACGCACGCGCCGTAGGCGCCACGCGGCGTACCGAGGCAAGGCGGCGGCGCTCCTCAGCTGGCCTCCATGCGGCGAGGACCCTCTACGGACGGGGCGGGCCGGGGCCGCGGGCCGGGGCGGGGCAGACGGACCGAGGGCGCCGACGGCCCCGCGGCATGCCGGGAAGGGTAGTCCTAAGCGCCTCCTACTCGGCCCTGGCCCGCGACTCCGGACTACACTTCCCAGGAAGCCGCGCGCGAGGCCCCCGCCCCGCCCCTTCGCCCCCGGGTCCTAAGGATCATTGGCGCGCACTCCAGAAAGTGGGTTCGAGTCTCGCCCCTGCCGCGGCCTTACGAGGCGCGCCCACGTT